GAAACTGCAATCTGGAGTCGCGCGAGCCCGCAAAATCGTAAAACTTGGCTGGACGATTTAGTAATCTTGCAGCGAGCACATTTTCCATGGGTGGCAGCCGGTAAGTAAGCCATAGATTTATGCAGCCGCCTGTTGAATGCAATTTATGTTGAATAGAGAAGGGCGGAACATCCACTGATAAACAAAATGAAACTCGATCCAGTCCTGTTAGACGTAAGGGTAACGCCATGACGCTCTTGACGTAATTTGCATGCAAATTTCAATTCACTTTGAGTTTTATGTGCGAACTTTGTAACCGAGGGCCCAGCAGTGAAGTGTGACGTCAAAGAGGGAACTGAACAGACTGCTGTTACTGTCCCTGGCTATGGTATAGTAATTTTACGAGTATGCTGTTAAATGAAATTATGAATGAAAATTTACTGGCTTGCCGCCTCGTAAAATTGAATGATACGACCTTCCACCTGCATATACATATCGCATAGGTTCTTAATTAATTTGCAAAATTCAGTCCTCCTTGTCGTTCGTTATTTGCAGATCGAAAATACAATATTTTTGTTACGCAGGATAAGGGTAGGCACTGATAAGGAAAGCCATAGAAATAATGAGGATGTTGAGTCGGAAGCAGGAAAAAATAAAGATATGATCGAGGAGAAAAACAAACAGAATAGAATCTCTATTTTCACAGCCTCTCTCGCAGGAGTGCGTCTGAATAGATCTGATAAAGATCCTATAACCGGATCGGATGGGCATATTGTGAAATATAAAGTAAACTATCTAACATTGTCGGAATATTGGAGAAGCTCGCGGGACGACATCATCGTGTGAATATTGATGCGTTATAAGATATAACGCGTTGCCACTTCAGAGGCGCTCAACGAGATTCTCCTCGACGCCGACGTCTCACTTTTCCTACGTAATTTCCATGACACTCTCCTCGACGCGGGACTCATCGTAAGCTCGCTCTGCTCATACTCCACCTTTTCCTTAGCACTTTATAAAACCCCATAGAATGAAGATTCATCGTCTGGGCGTTTTCCACACTTTTTAGTATAGATATAGCGTATACGAATATGTGCCAGACTGTATCTACTTACCAGGATAGATGCAGCAGCCGAAGTTGAAGCTGCATTCGAAAGAGAGCACGTAGCCACTAAAGCATCGAGTAAGGAGTAGAGGATAGTAACGTCGAGTAATGCTTTCCTAAAACGGACATAATCGCGTCAACGGCTTAGACCGACATCCCCTTTAACCCTAGAACGAACTGGGCTTCGTCGTTTCGTCTGCTAACGTGATTTCGTGTCGTCGACCTGACGTTCATTCATGCGCCTGTCGGTCTTCTAAAGGATGGCAGTCCCGTTCGCCGTTCGTACACTGAAATAACGGCTTTACCTTCGCATCCAATAAAAGAGAAACAAGTACGAGACGCGGCTACGCTTCCTCCAACGTACTTTCGATTTCATTCGTACACTGCCCGCCGCCTACCGGAGAGACTGCGAACACCTTTCCGGTTACTGTGCTGCTGGCAATTCTCATATTTCACGACAGAGGGTTCTCGTCTCGGCTATCACGGACTACGTAACCAGCTGACTGCGTTATGCCCATAGTCGCGTGTTTATGGAAAACTTTTATTGATGGCGTTAAGAAACTAAAGAGGCTGTTGCCTAATTATAGTAATTAAAAATGTAGAAATCGATTGCGAATCCTAATAAATAGTGAATTGTGTACACGTGGAGGAAGGAGAGCTCCGTAAGTTTCTGTCTGTTTAATGCACTTTGATTGTGAAACCGTCGTGATTTTTTTATGGTCTTATGATAAAAGAAAGAAACGAGACAGGGAAGAGTTTTTCGTAACCTCTGTCGACGACGTCAGCTGATATTTTTCAGGATTAATTAAGTCAATCGACCCGCACCGAGAATAATTTCCTGGTACCCTGCTGGGCTTTCATCGTTTCCTTTAAACAGAGTCACGAAGCGTGCAAAGGGGAAATGATTGCTAAGCTTCAAAGACGAAAAATTCTCGTGGCGGTATGGCCATCGTTTTTGCTTTAATTGAGTTCTTTAAATTCATCCAAATTTCGTCCCTCGACGTTTCTCTCTTTTCTCCTTATCTCGTTTTCATATGGCACTCCTTGGGGTTATACCTTCTCAGTATGACGTGTTCTTTGATTCGATCCGATCGCCCGTGCGGAAAGCTTCAGCTTAAAATTTCACTTGGACTTTCGTTCAGCCTGCGTTTGCTAGTCTCGACGTGGCTAGTTTAGAATCTGGCATCTGTCCAACTGATAAACATGAAATAAGAACGGATGGCATCTAGATCAGCGTCTGGAATGTTGGCATCCTTTCAAAACGAAAGGTTTCTACGAATTTCGACTGCACCATTTTTTTACACTTACTCATCGCTCTGTACCCTTTACAAAATATTCTAAGCTTCGCTTTTAATTTTTTTTTCCACAGACCATACACGGTGTACATAACATTTAGTAGAAAATAGAAACTCCTCTCCCACTCTCATGTCCTATCGCCTCTTCACGCGTGTCTGCCTCGCCAAATGTGCAAATTGTTTACATCGCATTGAACGTAGCTGTGACTGGTTTTGCGGTTACAGAATGCAGTCGCAATGCGTAAGAAAAAGCAGACCGGTACAGTGTCAAGGAATGTGGTAATCTAGAATCACATTCAGAATTATCAATGAAGTTTCTTCCCCACGAAGTCTCTTTGACAGTCCACGTTTGTGGTTAAAAGGTAACCTAGTCATGCTGCAACAATCTTCGGGATCAGATCGCGGCATCACAATTGTGTCAACCGCATGACACGTGTCTTATACCTTTTTTTTGTCAGTCTTCAAACACAAGTTCCAAGTTGATCGATATCACGCATAGGCAATATAAATCAAGAATGATTTTCTTTTTCACAATATAAATAGCATAAATCAAGAGTGATTTTACGTTTTGATAAATAACAAGAGACATGCGTGTGCAGATGTGCATTCTCCAGGTACAATAATATTCGCCGCGTTTATGTTTCACGCTCTAATACTCAACTGGCTTATGACTCGTGACCAAGTAGTCAGTGATTAAAATCATTATGTAATGAAATAATAAGGCATTCCCCATAGGTGCATATTGAAATCGAGCTACAAGGAACGGTCGTAGCCAGCATCATGAAATATGTCAGAATGGAAGATTTTTTTTTTCAAAAAATCTTTGCCCCACGGCTACCCGTATAAGAATTATTATTTCTGCCTATTTTCTTTATTTCGCTCACACGTTTACCAGTTCGCAAACCTGCGAACACCGACTCGCGCGAGTTCGCACGAACGATCGAATCTTGCGAAACGGCTGCAGTACTCGTTTGTGCGAAATTGCTAAACGTATCGCGATTTCGCGTAAAAGTAAGGGGTAAAAAAAAAGAGAGTTATCGATAAAAAGAAAGGCGTCCGAAGAAAAACATAAAATACACAATAGTCACGGTGATAGGTTTTCTACTCTTTGAATTTTATTACCTGTAAGATACGCTCAATTCGCTACCGGCACTTTGTAAAATTGTTCGTCGCCCGCATAGAAATGCTCCAAGCGCGAGATGCCTGATATATCGAGGGATATTGCATCTTGTAGTTATCTTAATATTTTCATGCTTCGCGTGGACGCTATTACTGTGTATGGTATATTTACCTACTACCTAACCTATAGTGATGTGCTATATGGTTAACTATGGAAAAATCTTATGGCGCGGTTAGAATGGTCAAAGGAAACCGATTTGCAGCTAGTTCCTTTCAACCATTTGGATTTTATATTCGGACACTCTTAAAACACCTGACCTGTTTTACGCACGAAATACTGATAGTAAATTTTTTTTTTTTTTTTCTTGACGACGGAATCTACAGCGCCTTGAGATTTGCGTGCGCAATAAAAGATAATTAAAGCTATACTCGCAATGGCTGCTCTGTTATTATTCCACCGCTTTATTGACTCCCTGGCTGAACTACGTACTCGGCAGAATTTAATTTCTCTTTTTTTTTTCTTAATAACGATCATAGCCATTACGATTAAAATTTTTGAATTTTATAAATGTCAAATTTTTTAGAAAATATCAAAAAATCATATCGTCATCATACATGACAAAGTTCATAAAAGTCTTAAGTCAATGATACCGTGTTTTCTCAAGAATGCCGGCCGAGAAGCCAGTTTCACTTTCGTGCGTGTCTGTTTGCGACTTTTCACGCATCGTAAAACACACAGCATTCGTGGTCCAGACTGAATAATCTCGGTTACCGATAATCTCGATACTGTTAGAGTGATTAGAAAGGGTAACAAAACTAGTAAGTGTATCTCGCTAATTGCTATTATTTATTGTCCGTTAATGATCTCCGCATACGTATCCTTCCGGTTGAATGAGAAGTAACTTGTTAACCTGTTTGCGAAATTCTAACAAAAAATTCCGCGGATTCTGTAAATCGGAGAAATACATGATTCCACGATTCATTACTTTGCATCGGCTGAATATTAAATAGGTTACACTGTACACAGTAGGTACAGCCATAGGCCAGAACAGCCAGGCCGTATTCACTGTTGCGAATGTTCGCTTTCGCTTGGCTCAAAGATACACACGTGTGTACCTGCATTTGCAATTTATTCTGCATCACGGCAGGAGAAGTGCATACAGTGCACACTGCACTGGTAGCAGGCACAAGTTGTTTGAAAATTAAAATTTAACTCAAAATAAGCTAATTTTTTTTTTACTGAGACAAATCTCAAAGACGAAATTTCATGGCGTAAAATGGCGATAGCTCGGGACGATTCGGGAGAGAAAAGAGAATTGGAAAGTTACGTTTATAATTAACGACCAGTAAAATTAACACACACTGCTTTTCCAGCCAATGAATTATTATCATTATTCAGGTCAAAACCTCAGCTGCACCTCACCTGCACGGAAGGGATCTCAAAAGAGAAGTATGTCATTTTCTTTTTTGTGCACTATCCGTTTCTTCGATCAACAAAAATATGCATGAGGAAGTATAATATTTATTTGTATTAATTGTGTAACTGTACACAATATCCAATACTATTATATAAATTGCATAAAAGGTATTTTAATAATTAATTATCGTATAATCTGTACATATTAATAACCTAGCATACATTGTATATCTAATATCTACTGTTATGGTTTCTTTCTCTATTTCGTTTTATTCTCTTTCCCTACCGTTATCCATAAAATGGAGTCACGCGTTCATTGCAATCATTGCGCTTTCGAATTTAATCAGAAACGCAGGCGCGAGATCATTGAGACTTCTTTCCAGAATCAGATCAAATTTCTATTATTAGTCACTATACAAATAAATAATTCGGATTTTGTCAATTCGTCTCCCTCCAGATACCATATATCAATTCCACGTACAAAATTCAAGTGACGTATCGAAGTAAATATTTACAAAAATTGCACTTCAACCACAAAAAAATTGCAGAAAATTTCCAATAAATCGATATTTACTCTATCGATCGGTAATTGATTTCTTCTAGCATTTTTAGTTATTTCACATCTGTCAATCAATATTACATTTTTTCGTGGTTGAACCACAAAGTATTTTCTTACTCAAACACATGTACCCGTGTTTCCTCGTGTTTTGCGACTGGTATGAGAATTTTGTAAATTTCTCAATAAAGCCACTAGGCACACGAGAAACGAATTGACAAAAAGCAAGTAGGCTATCATTAAATAATGATTATGGTCTATTAAACTAATCGTCCGTTTCTCCATATACTTCGCGGAGATGAGGTGAGAGTCTCGTTAAAAGAGATTCTGAATATCCCGAAAGCAATGAATTTACTAAAGACCACGAAAAAACTTTCGCACGTACGTTTAACACGTACGTGTCCACATACGAAGATGGTCGTTTATCTACCTTAACACAAGTTAATACGTGTAAGACCAACTTGTAATCGCTGGAATAGTTTCAATTTTAAAATTTTGAGTAAATAAAGCTCAGAGTATACACATGTTACCAGACAATTTTCATACGTGATACAGTTAGCTATGAACACATGTGTGGTTAACATTAAAACTTGCCTTGATTTCAGTTACACGTATATCAAAAATAAATACTTGCCCTTAAGCCGCGGTTGGCGTATCACTCGCAGATCAATAATTTGAATGGAGTCGGTAAGAAATTAAAAAATGTTACCAGCACACAATCCCTCGTTATTATCAAAGCGTCTCGCGATTCATTGAACTGAATTTCGTTTAAAGATAAATTTTAAAAAATTGTTCCACTACCAAAAGACCCCCTGGGAGAAGTTACAGTGTTTACTCGTACGAAATAGTCCAGGAATCCATAATATAGTCATAAGTCGCAGTAAGTCCTTAAGTACTCGAGAACACTAGAGATGGATTAGAAAATCGTAATTAACTAAAATGGCATTATTATCTCGGCTTTAGCACTATAAAGCCACGTGTGCATACACTATATACATATATAACATACGCGAGCTCAGTGACGAGACTCACATATGTACGAAACGTCTTAGGGCTTAAGACTCCGACTGTGTTAATTTCTCGAGTAACTAAGGAAACGGCCACTTCGATGATCTTTTCAAAACCCCTCGATTCTACCTTAGCAATGATGATCCGTATCGAGACGTCTCTTTAACGATTAAGCGAATTACAGCAATATAAATGCGTATCCACCTTTACGGTATACTCGTGAAATTCGTATTCTTATCTACAGACTCTCCTATGCGTTTCATTTCATTACGATTCTTTTCAATGACTCCCACAATAATTCTATTGACCATTCGATGACTTGGCCTTAGAACTTTCTCACTCTGACCACGTGACGTTAATGACTCTCCGTGATGACGTACGAGAGCTGGGCTCTCTATGGGACGTCCGACCAGCCTTGAGTAAACGTATGAGTTCTTATTAGATTTTATGCATGGATGACGTATGCGTCTTCACATATGACGTGACGTTGCTCTAGTAATAAAAGGTGTAAATTCCTGAAACAAAAGATAATCATTAGGTTATAATTGACTGATTTTCAATCATTGAAGTATCTCATAGAATTGAATTGCCATGAGAATGCATATGGATGTAGTAAATGGAGTATAGATGTATATATATATATACATATATATATATGTATTATATATATATATATATATATATATATATATATATATGTATATATATAACCCATATGTATATATACATATGGGTTACGTAACGATTGCATAATCTTTAAAAGGCTGGATGACCCGCGTGCGTTCGAGTTCCAATGGTGTATTCAGGAAATTAATGATTTCGCAAGTGCCTGTCGCTAAGAGGAGCCAAGGAATCGCGTTAATTGTCACGTCATTAATTTATAATGACGACGTGACCAGCTTTTCTCGTCGGGACCTTGACGAGTCGATGATTCGATAAATGATCGAAGTCACTGAACTGTTTTTTTTTTGGAAATTCAGTGTTGCCGGGTCTGGTACACAGGAATTTTGACAAATGAAATTGATCGTCCAGACGCTCCTGTTATTCAGTCCACCAGACCACCAGGTCAGTCCTCATGGGTGGAAACGTTGAGAATGACTCAATGCAAATTTACCTTCGACCACCGTACATTTCGGATTTCCATTGTCAAAGCAGCCGACTGTACTGTCGGCTGTGAACGCTCAGCGCGCACGGAGCTCTGAGCATTCTGAGTCTGACAGGATATTGCGCTCTCGAGTAACGGAGTAAAGGGGTCCCGCTCGCAGATTGTGGGGTTGGCCATGTTAAACTAACAAGTCATGTGGACAAACACCAACTGTGTTCTTTGAGGGGTGCCAACCCCCTTGTCTAGGGTATTTGCTTGACAAACTATGTACGTGCTTTACTACGAGCGACCTCAGAGATGAAAACAGTCTTTTTCTTTTAATCATACCAATTGGCGTATGGTTGAGGGTTGTTTCTGCGAAATTGAATACCTTTTTGGCCTCTTTCCCAGAAACCGTTTACGCCTGGTTCCCATACGTTATGCCGGGTTTTTAATTAAGCCGACGCGACTTAAGGCTGGGTTGTTTTTTTTTTTTGAAATATCCCTGTTGCTTTTTAAACACAATATCAATCCCTGCGTGGACACGGTCCAGTGCGTCAGTTTGGGGTGACAAGTCTCTCTGATGTCCAGCCTCTTCTCGGAGGTTGATTTATCAGGGGTGGACACTGCGCAGTGACTGTAGTGGCTGTGCTAGCACGTTTTCAAATCACGTCGCGCTCGTGAATTTCAAATTGAAAGGTTTTTTTTTAGATAGTTGGTAGATGGTTCGATTCAGTGGGAGAAAAAAGAGATTTGAAATATTATTAGAGAAATTTGTAAAATGAGGGAAAATCGAAGACGAGTCGTGCATGTCGACGTTTTATTACCTGGGATGTTTTATTTATTTTCTCGATAGTTTCTGATCGTTCGAGCGTTTCCTATCCAATGCACCTTTTGCTTTCTCCTTTAGAGTTCAACCGTATGTACGTATATAAATGTTAATGATTATATATATATTGATGACGATTACATATGAAAGACCAGGGTACCTAAAAGCTATAAAGTATTCAGAGTTCATTCCTGCGCGACCATTGTGCCGCAGCTTTCAATTTGGCTTGTGAACTAATTTAGGCAAAAGTGAGCAATTACGAGAGGCCTTTGTTCCAGGCTCCGCCTATGGATTTTCCACGTTTTATATTCATCGATTGTACCCGAAAAGGGTTGAGGTGTGGTGATTTGGCTTTGGGATGAAGTGCCGAAAACCCGGGAGAACGTTCTTGTCCCAAAAGCAGACTGAATTTAAAAAAGTCGATTTAGGGACGAACAGAATTTAGGGGTCGTGATGAGCGATACAATGGGAGAGTAGAGTTTAAAGATACTCAAGAGATCTTTGAAATCCCCTAGAAGTCCCTAGAATCGTTTGAAACTCTAATACTAGTAGCTACACTCTAATGGACTTTTTATGAAAAATCAACTGAATTTCACGACTGCTCTCCACAGGTTTCCCAATTTTCCTCCCTGCTGAACCGTTCATCCCCCATAGGTGGCCAGGGACTTAAATATCTTTAAATAAGCCTGCAGTTCGCCACATGACCACCGGTAACGAGAAGCTGTCCACTTCAAAGCGCCTAATTATGACCCTTATCACCTTCGCTATGTTCCCCCTTGGCAACTAGTCAGGACTCCCAGGACTCCCAAGACCCCCCTGGACTCTCTTGATTAGCAAGCAGTTTGACCATGAGATAGACCCCTAGTTAGTTGGTAGATGATCACGCCGACGATGCTGTCCTTCAGGATGGTTGGGGTAAGTGGGACCCCACTGATTCCATTATAGTATCATTTGGAGATACGGCTTAAAGAGGACTGTCCCATAGGAGAATGAACTTTTCTCCAGAGTTACGTCACACCCCCCAACCTTAGAGTGGCGAGAGAAATGCCATCCATACATACGAACAAGCCAAACAAGAGACTCCATGTAAATACATTTGGGGTGATGCGTCTGGCAAAAAATTATGACTCGAATAATTTTCAAAAAAATTTTTAAATTGGTTTTCACCAAGATAAACACGTTCCGCTCTTGTCCTGGACGTAGGGTGGCTATTAACACGCGGTAATTAAATACGTAGCAATTTTACAGCATTTTAAAATAAAAACAGGGTTGTTTCAAGCCGAAAAAAGGGATCTTCACGGTCTACGTATATATACAGGGTGGCTCCAATTGGAATGGACAGGAGAACCTGACTTCGTTTTCCCTCGGAATTGGGTCCAAGCCGATTATGGAAATGCGCTCGCTAATATCTTCATCATCGGAGGACAAAGAGCTCGATGAGTGGTAGGCAGCCCAGAGGTCTCGCATTTACGAAATTTTGCATAATGTCTACCCTGTCCTCCTCGCACCCCTTATCCTCAAGGAAAACCCACATTTCATGTTCGATTACGGACGCGTTTTCACGGTATCCTAACCTTCGCATTTTTTCATTAACATTCAAATCCAAATTTTTTAACAACCCCAACAATTTCAACGATTCTTATCACTTACTGCCACAATTACTATCACTTTTTATCCCAATACCCATCGTCAACTATCAATGATTAATTAACCAAAAAAAAAATGATAACCAATGTATTAACATAACAGTATCGGCTGTTCTACGAAAAATTGGGGTACGGTCGACGAATGTGTCTAATAACGGTAAATGAGATTCTGATACTCAATACTCGGTATATCTATAACGAATCCAATCAAAGTGAGAGGCTCTGAACTTGAGAGATCGGCCATGAGACTGTATCGTATTACCGATACCTTCGTCGATGCTTTCCTGTTAATTATAAGAGCGGGATTAAAAAATCCATACACGAACACGTCCGTGCAATGAGTTCCAGGAGAAAGGAGCGCAGTGTAATCCATATGCTATATCTATAGACAACTAGTCTTTTTATCATAACCATAGGTATCCGCCATTTCCTATAAGGTTGTCGATCTATAACGTAGACACCTCGTTATTCCCCCTTTCATCAAAGAGAACAATGCATTGCATATTGTTGCGCGTCGATGTACATATATCAAGTTTGTTCCATCCCGCCCGTACCCCCATACGTATAGTCGCATACAGAATTATCCGTGCATGTAAATAAAATGCCGTAGGGTGCAACGGGGGACAGACACGTGTTTCTTTGCAATCTCGATAATGAATCACGCGATATCACTATCGTTACGCCTTGCAAATAATAATCGCGTGCAAGACCGTAAATACTATTCTTCTCACATCGGAGACTCGTATATCCTGAATGGCATCCGGCTATAGAATAGAATGCATTTTTCGATGCATTCGTGCAAATCGTGACCTGGAATTACAGGCTTAAATTTTAGGTCTAAAAGTACTTTGAAAACCTTGAGTTTTAATCAGACCGAATTACTGTTCTGCTATTATTAAAAGGTTTACATATTAATTATAATCCTAATATGCTCATGGGTGTATATACATATATATAATAGTAATATATATATATATATATAATAGTAATGTAATATATAGAATACATGGTCGCAGAAGTTCAAACTCAAATGATAATTCCTTGTACGGGTATACATTATCTTCTTATCTGACGGAAGGGTCTTTTGGGAAATAGGGCTGATTTACCATGAATCAGTCCCTGCGTACTACTGGCTGCCAGTAGGGATAAGGTACTATCTATTCAATAAGCCAATCCGATGTCCCATGAGAATCGTAACACTCGTCTCAGTTCCATGGGGAACATTGAGTCAAGGAAAAAACAAATCCCATCGAACTTTGTATTTTCCCATATAATACCGGTAAGAATGGAATAAAAAGGAACAGAGAAAGAGAAATAGAAGAAAACCATTTGCGAGCTCGAAACGTTTATGGGTCGGAGTAATGCAACTCCAATTTTTGCTAATTGATTAACCATGGCCTTTTTGGATAAACTAATTAAGGGGGTGCCCCCCCCCCGCCAGCCCCGATTGCTCGTTTGAAAATTTTCCATATGGTGGATATCATGATAAGTTAGTTTCGCTATGCCTTGTAGATATGTAGAATGGAAGACATTTCTTTTTTTTTCCATTGTAATTTACGAGAGCCAGCTAATTGCAAGGTACGCAATGTACGTAGACACGTAACTACTAAGTGATCCATTATTGGGTCAAGGCGTGGGAATTGTGTCTCTCAATAGATAACTGGAGATTAAGGCTAAGGAAGACAATGTTTTATTTCAAAGTACGACAACTAAACTCGGATCGTTTCGATGTTAATGCTGTTCTCTGTAAATTTTTGTTTATGATAACTATGGAAACGATACGCGAAGCTGATCAGACAGTCAATGAACAGGCGTCGCGATGGTGGGCGTCGTAAGACTTTTTATCTCCCGCAAAGTGACTCAACATATTTATTCAACGAACTTGACCTATAGAGAGTTCAGAGATCATTGATCCTGAAGCTGCTCTTAGAGAGGTGAATTGGCTAGTGCGAAATATGACCTTGACCTCCGGGTTTGCCTGCCCTCGTAACATTATGCTACGCGTATATAAGGAAGGTTACGTGAAAACGAGTTTGAGCCGTGAGACTCGACGAATCAAATTTACTTTCACCGGATCTACGAGAAGACATAATACTAGTGGAAATACGAATAGATCACCAGATATGGATCGTTTACTTTTAGCATTTTGATCCCATAATCCGATACTCATAATTTCATATTCCCGGTTGAAAGTTGATGTGATTATTTTTTATCATTAATTATAGCGTCGTTTGGATGTCAATTTTGGCTGTGATAATTATTACATATGTGTTGCGCGATTATAGATCTGATTATTACTTCAGTCATTTATTTTCAATACTTCTATTTACCGCGTCTTTGTTAAGTATGCATGCCGTAATTACAAGTGCCAGTTTAGTCGATGACTTTTAACATCCGGTGCGTGAGAATGGTATACCATACAGGATACGCACATAAAACCACAAATATATACAAGTACCCGTGTATACGGTATACTCACCGCAAGTGCACGTTCTTCGGTAAATATTAGAGCTACGTCTATTTATATGCATACCCATACGTACCTTCGTGGGATTAATGAAAAATTACCTAAAACGACGAAAAGCGAATGTTACTCTATTTGATTTAGAGTGTTCGCCTGCTTTGAGTGCGTGATAACCAAAACCAGTCAGAAAGCGAAAAATCACATTTCCATGTCATGCGAGTCAATTAAATTTCACACGTGTCATTTAAACGGTGCACACATTCACACTGTCACTCATAATCAGTCAATGTTTTATGAGAAACAAATCACTCAAAAAACGCAGCATGCCGTGCCTGTACAATTTTCAGATCCAACGTTCTTGGACCATTTCGTGCACTTAATCTGACTCTCACTCGAATCGCGGTTGAATTGATTGTATCAAGTAACAATATGAACCTTCATGCAGTCCATGACAAATTCAAGGCGCTTTCTCGTTGGTCCCAGCATCCAAAATTAAATACATCAAAAACCAGGGTTATTTAACAAGTAAAACATAAATAGCATTTATTCATAAATTAAAGTGCAAGGGAGTCCAGGAGTGCAAAGTGGTGAAATTGTGGGACAAGGGAGATTCGTCGTGAGGTACCGTGTCAGGATTATTGGTAGTTCTAATGTGTCGTAGCAATTGATTGTTGCAACTCCTATATACACTGTGCGATGATTTGGCTTGTTCCAGGAATTTTTTCAGTGACTCGACATTCGCCACTGTCGTCTCTGTTGTTTCGACTCACGATTGTCCAGGTTCTTTACCTGAGTTGGGAGGAACGAAGCCAAAGCCACTGGCACCGACGATCACGCCACTGGTATCAGCATCGTTCGGTGGTGGTCCAGCAGGGAAGAGGACCGGTCCTGAAACGATACGAAGAACCCAAAAATTTGTATTAGAAAATTTGATCGACTGATCGAAATATAGTAGGATAAGATAGTAGACAAGAAGTTGACTCGTGGCGAACGCAGGCGACGGTCGCCAATGGAAATTAAGTACGAATTACTTTCGTCGACAATTACGGGATAAGCGTAAAATTTGTAAGTGCAAATAAACGAGTAATGTGCTGAACTTAATATCAATTACGGTAGAACGTCTTATTAGTCCGTGGACATGTATATTTATATATATCCCTTTTATGCCTGACAATTTGTCACGTCGTATTGTCCCAGTAAAAAATTTTAGCAATTAGTAGCTCAATTCCTAGCAGGAAATTAGACGAATTCTAGTTGAGCAGACACAGGAACGAGCAGCAATTCTTTTATGAATAATATCCCAACTTTCCTTGGTTACGTTTGAGATTGTCTAGTGAAAAATTGGTGAGAATTAAATTTCTACGTTACTTTCTAAAAGACGATTATTCTAACGGTTGTATGTACTGTATCAACGCGTGGGTAGTTTTCATTGAATTATCGTGTCCCCTTGGATTACATATTTGATCTCTGTACTGTGCGATAAAAAAAAAGGAACAAATCAATGAAATCGTAAAAACGTCACGTTTCCATCGGACGATTGACCTTGATGACTCGTTACGATAACAGTGGCAAACTCATAAAACAAATTTATTCTCATGCAATCGTGCGTGAAACAATTGGTATCGTTACCGATCTACAACGCAGATTCATCGTTGGAAAATCAATTGGCTAATCGTTAACGAGGATCGATTTTGCACGCATCGAGTGTCGGACAAGCGACACCAATTATTCCGGAATTTCTTCTAGCCGATCGTCGGTATGAGATTATGCAAGGATCGGCCTTCACGGTCATTGATCTAATGAGAGACAGACATGCTATAGGTAAGAAAACAGAGTGAAGAGGTAGAGCGTTAGAAATAGAGAAAGAGACAGGGAGATACGAAAATAGATTTTATATTGACTATATCGCCCCGTTGTATATTGGGCTTTACACTGCCATCGAATACGACTGTGTTAGGACGAAAGTTGAAAAAAAAAAAACAAAGCTAGCGAGCATGTAGTACAGGCATAAGATAACGAGGAAAAGTCAAGATACTTGAAAATTATTATACTACGAAACCTTGACGCCCCTTTCACATAGTCACATATGACTTTTACCCGTGTAACGTCTTGCGGTTGCTGTTGCGCAGAATTTCTTATCAACGTGAAACTGATTCCCGGTCGATCCACTGTGTCGTGTTCTTGCTTAATTTTTTGGACAATCGATCGTATCAATGGCGACCGTCATGCTCCGCATGATTTCAACGAAAAGAGCGAGAGTCATTGTTACTATGCATATGTGTTGCTCAAATTTACAATCTGCATTTCGCAAGTCGGTGATAAGAAAAAAAACTTGAAGACAGTCGAGAGATGCCTTTCGCACGGGTTCGAAGTTTTCACAGAATTTTGTAAAAAAAAAAAAAAAAGAATTTGTGTTGGAATTTATGTATACTTATATTTATTGCCAAATAATTGTACTTGTCCGATTGTCTCGATTCGTATATATATTCTTGTTCGATTTGACGTGAAGTCTCGTGAATCATTTATTGCGTCTGATGTAGCGTGTAATAATTCACGTGGACGTAACTATATGTATACAATCGATATACCGATGGTTCCATCTAGCGTAACGTTACGATGATTCGGACTTTTTGCTTTCTAATTCGCGAAGGCACCAATCGAAAATCAATGAAGAACGATGCAAAGAGACATGAGAAATTAACTTGTCCTTCATAAATAACTCGAGTCAAATTACAGAACGACTTGAAATACGTGTTTTCTCCTTCACAGCAAATACGTCTCCAGCCAGTCAGCATTCCAATTGGCAAATTCACTCATAAATTTCACGTCGGTCAAGAAGACAGCGTCAATCTTACATAAGCCTGCTCCTTTGCCAATTAATTGGCGAATAGAGACACATCCAATTTCGTAAAGGAATATCCAAGCGACTACGAAGACGCTTCGATGATCATTTGATAATTGAAATGTTTAAGAAACGCCGCGAGGCTTTACGGTAGTTAAACATTAAATTAATTAACATTAAAATTTTCGAGATTACGTAATATCACGTGGATCGTCGTCAAGCCCTTAATCACTCAATTAATTTCCTTTTGAATGACAGTTTATTTAGTATATAGCAATAATAATAACCGTAAACATTTTTATTTTCTTTTTTCGAAACTGAATTTTCACTTTTCATTTATTTTTTATTAACACTGATTATGAAATAGTGGACCCAGGGTCTTATCTAATCCAGAGAAAGGGCACTTTTTTTCAAGTTTCAACGTCATTACGAAATTTAGAAAAGTTCCCTGCAACCGTATTCAGTTATTCTTCCATGAATTCTTAATGCTCGAATAAAAAAAAATTGATCGAAAGTTTCACGCTATACGTTCACTAAGGTTGACTCTTAGGGCTGGTATCTATCATTAATTCATTATTCCATTAGACGCGATTGCACCACGTTTTCAGGACGAAATTGAGCCAGACAAGAGCAACTCGAGCCTTTCCATTTCTCTTGACAAATATTCCTCGAAGTCTTATGTATTGTAAGCGCAGACCAGGTAGAAATAAAATAGAGGCAGTCACGTCTCTTTACCTTTCGTCGTCGCTCGAGTAAGACGTGATAAAGTCGTTACCAATAACAATAGGTTAGTTTAGCTATAGATATAATTAGTCGAGTAAGTTACTGTGTACATTCAGCACAGAGATAGGGAATCTGATAAAAAATACAATTAAACGGTAACAATACAAATGAAAAAGTATCGGTATCACGCGATCGTAGAAAAGTGTGGTCTAACTTGTAACTTCCTCGTCAACTGTTAAATTCGAGAAAAAAATGTACACGTAACACGATTCGCTGTGGTATTGCGAAACAGGAGGGACGTATGTGTCAGCCGTAGGACCGCTGGCCCGTGAAAAACTTTGGGAACCAGTGCATGACGGGATTATTAAATATGATCGAATAACTTCACAATGGATGATAATGCAACGAATAAAAAGTAAGAAACGAGGTTACAGAAATAAATTCACTTTTCGCGTCATCTTACAGTGAAATTATGTAAAATTATTTCCCAATGCAAAATTTTTTTTTTAAGTATCATCGGTAGCTAAATTATTTTTTATGACATAAAAAATTAACTATTTCGTAAATTTGCCTCGTTAATCCCGTCTTTCCCTTTCTAGACCATTAACATTATATATCCAGTTCCGTTTTATCTTTTTCTCTGTATGACGAACCTATCGAACCTGTTTAACAACCACGTGTCACATTTTATCATAGCTCAGCTGTGACTTCACATAGAACACATTTTATTTTTTTTTTCTAATAGGAAACGGTGAAAGTTTTTCCACATAAATTCGAGTTAGCTCTGAGATTGTTAAATTTTATGAAATCGATCATTTGCGTCATAAGAACATTCAAGAATATTAAAAGTCTCGTTGTCGTAGTATTGGAATCAAGTTTAAACAGACTTTGGACATTTTTTTCGGACTTACCGGTATTCGATCGGGGGTCCCTCATGCCGGAGTTACTTTGCTGCAGGTAAGGCCCAAATCCAGCGAACAGTTGACTGTAGTCTTGCGCGTAAACGCTAGCCAAGGCAGCTACAATGAAGAAGACTATGCTGATCTGAAACACCCGTAATGATTTTGATGATTGTTTTAAATTTTCAAAATAATAATAAACGCTCTTAATTAAAAAATACAATTATAGACAAGGAGGAACAAGCACGTAACTTTGAACTTGATTGAATGAGATGAGAAAGTCTTGGGTCAATAGACGCTAAAGAACTTGAATAATTTTAATGACTCACAAGTTCGACACTCAGATCTACATTGCACGCTGGATCGGTTACGTGTTCAATTCTTCCGAGACTATTACAAGTTCTGTCACGTGTCGATGAAAAATAAACTGCTAGAATCATATGTTACGGCTCTCGTTGAGAAGTCTAGAAATTTAGTGTTTTGCGTGTGACGAGGACATTAATTATTTTAATTATTGTCAAATTAACGTCTGAGGCTAGATTCGAACGTGAATGATTCAGCACTCACGTTTTCATTGAACTGTATGAATATAATTGATTATAAAATTTATCACGTGCTGTATACCTATATTTCGTGATCGATTCCCACCAACCTACGATCTGACGGCTGTTTGGAATTGAAGTTAAATTTCGCAAATCTCAGGCAGAGATCACGAGGACCGACAAAAAAATCTTATACGGATAAAACGGAGTGCGATACGATTAAGTGGCGACTAACCAGCAGCTATCTGTCCTAATGTGGGATTTTCTCTATATCAATTCAATTATCCACACGGCCTGCTCATGCAAATCGAATCGATAGAAAAAATGTATAAATGATCGAATAAATAAGTGTGGCTGCTCGAATCGCATTGGTATTCCAAACAGAATTTATTTATCAACCTCTTAATTGAAATTTTGTAGGAAACGCAAAAACCGTTAAAAATCATGGTCGATGCCATTTTCAAAATTCTTTGACAAGTCAGACGCTTCTGAGCGACAGCTTCGAGACCGCTAAGAATACTTAGAAGAGACAAATTACCAAAAATAGTCGGTAGAAAAAAGATGTAACCAGAGAAATTCGAGAATAGTCAAAATCATTAATATCCTTGTAAATAAGGATCGCTCTGCAGTTTGCATCTTTATTATAAGATCGTATATGTGAAATCCGATTTCTCAAATGGCAGATGAGAACTCGCGGATACGTATTTCGCACAGATTACGTTATATAAGCCAAAAACGAAGTCGTTATTTCGATTTACGATTTTGATCAGGACACCCAAACGAATGTGCTGCCCGTTATGAAGTCAAGCTTCCTCGAACACCCGGAACGTTCTTTACACAGGAGAAAAGAAATCCGGAAGGATTCGTGTCCTCGAAGAGTACAATAAATTTCGTGATAATTAATGGCCATAATATTGTACCATCCAGTCCCATAAAAATAACGTCCATTACGTAACACTAAAGCCGAACGTATTATTAATGACATGTCGCACTATAGACACAATCACTCACGGCAAATTCAAAGCATTGGAAAGTCTTCGGAAAATTAGTCTGTTCTCATTTTCAAGTTTCCAAACGAATGAGCGAAGAAATAGAATTATTGATATTTTGAAAAAAAAGGCGAAAGAAACTCTCGAGTCGAATAAAAAGAACATTGACGACTTTGTGTCATTTTTCGGAGGACATACAAAGTTACCGCGAACGTACTTTCACATTTCTTACATCCGTTTGATATAACACTGCTATCGTTATCCCCTTAATTGGCACTGCAGCATTTTCACGGCTGTCCCACCAAAGAAATACTTTTCTTTTTCGTCATACCTCACGCACGACTTCTTGCGTAATCATTGTGAAATGTAAACACTGTTATCGTATATCCTAGTGATATCTGTTATTCGTATACTCGCTATGGGTATTTGGTACTGGAATTAGTATGCAGGTAAATATGAATTCCCTATGATCAAACTCCCTAGAGAATGGAAAAGACTGTATGAAGATTCCATTAATTGTTAGCTAGACGCGCAGTGACATAAGTTACATTTGTTTACAAGGATAACTTCATCGCGAAGGATCTGATCACGTGTGACACACATGTGCGAGAACCGTGACACGTGGAATTGTAATATTCCCGTTTTATACATACCGAGAATTATAATGGCAAGCTTGAATATCTGAATCTCTCACAACTTGAAAATCTCAGATGATTCCATAACGATATAATGAAAAATTCGATTTTATTATACTTATGGTGAGATTATGGGAATAACAGAGCTTAACGCGAATATATACGGTCATTCGTTTGACTCGTAATTGAATTCGAGAGAATCGATCGATATTAATTTAACGATCGATCGACGTTCGATTTTCATTACCGGTTATCCCAGCAGCCACGATTCGATCGTTGCTAGTTAACGTGTTTCTGATCATTTTGCGATCCTTCGAAGAGAATCGAGAAATCGATTGATCGTAATCATTGGTAATTATAGAGTCATCTGACTGATTAGGAAATCGCATGCGCGATATAGTTGTGGCAGTGACGTCATAGCGAGCAAGTAACTTGAAAAATGTTATATCAGAAGATGCCACAGATATACAAGGACTTGGGCCACGGATAATTACGCAATTAGATTTATACGGAAGCACGTGGCCGCGATGAATTTCACCATTACGTTCATTCTTGATAAATATTTTTAATAACCGTCGATTGTTCATTTCTCAATGAGAGATCGTTACGAATATTTTTTAACGCTGCGACTGGATACTTCCGCGTAACGGTACGTTAAGCAGACCACACACTTTCCACACTGTTCAAACATCCAACTCGATAAAGTAATTTATTAACAGATCGTACTAAACAGCCATAAAGTATCATACCTAAATCGAACAATGAATACTCATAAGAATGCGTATTGACGGGAAAACTCAATTTCCATTGAAATACTACTGCATTAGAAGGGATTGAAAAGTGATCGAAATTCAAATAGGAAATCCTAACAGTTGAGAAACGACTGGCAGTTCGTATCACGACGACGCCATTAAGAATCGATTTCCTGCGAGTCCCCATCGACAGCAAGAAATATCACAGGATAAGAAAACATTGGCGAGAGACGTCGACGTCGCGACGTTAAAATTCCAATCTCGAATGAATCTTATTTTTGTTGCGAGTATTTTAATAAATGGAAAATTCTATAAGCATCTATTCGTCAACACCGTTACGCTCCTTTGGTCTATACTGTTATTCAGGTACTTTTGCCTGCAGTGATGTTACCGTTAGTGTGCATAATGCATGAACCATGTGCATAAATATGCTTAACGCGCCGCCACTTTATGCAAGTCTATGCAAGTTTATGCATTGTCTAACGTCTCTGTCGTATCTGTAGTCCGTCTATACGTGCACAGGGATTCGCCCGCATAACTTTTACTATCGCAAACCCATAGCCCATTTTCCCCTATTGCACCGGCAACCCCATAAAGATATATTGTATCGGCTGGCGGAGATTTCATATTTTCACTAAGTTATAGGCTGTCAATGAGTTTTCATTAAAGTCGAGCATATTGGATGGTGCTGCTCGGCGCTCCAAAAGGGATATTGATCATGCTGGAAATTTAATGGACGTTACCCGTGAGGGCTTACCCCACCATTTCTATGAGACTCCTAACTTTCGATCACCTTGGCACTGTCAAGAGGAATTTCACAAAATTGCACGAATAACGTAAGAACCCTCGTTTGCCAAACTTCTCGTGACATAACGTTAAACGTGTTCGCCTACCCTCATTTGGCCGTCAACGAGACTGTAATTTTCAGTCGGTCATTTGTTTCACGTAATACATCTAAAAATCTATTCGAGAACTGGCGCTATCGGTGAAAGTGGCTGCGTTTGTTCGCTCAACGTTAACGCTACGTCAGCGCCTGTATAAGAGACTGAAACAATCGATATTAGAATTCCTACAAGAAGCCTCCAAGGTTTTTGACACTCAACAGGGAACGGACAAGTCGCAAGGCCGTGAAGAGATTAAGTCACTTTTCGGATGGAAGTGAAAGGACAAAGAAGAATGCGTGCAGGATGGCAAAATGTGGCAAAAAGTGACGTGCTCTTTGTGTAGTTTCAAACGTGCGACAGGAAGGTGCCGTTTCTCCTGGATCGATATAGAAAGGATGATGCTCGTCGCTTCTTGCCATTTTTCTTAGGCAAAATTTTTGATTTAACTACTCGCTGATACATTTCTTGAATTTTTTTCTAATAGCCTGGACGATTTCCTGTGAATTTCCCCAAGACGAGGCAGGTTTACAAAACCTTCTACGAGGACCAGTTATATGAAAAACACGAATTTCGCTGAAAGGGTTTTCAAAGTCTTGGACTAATAGGGCAATTTTCGAAGAAAGCACGTTCTCTTGTCTTACGACACTAATCGAATGTCTACTGGGTAACCCAGAGTGTTCAAGCGATACGTTCTACTGGTTCCTTTGTAGCTATATGCACATATATATATATATATGCGTTTGTCTCGTTCTCCCATGTACTATCTATGTCACGGGGACTATCACGCTGGGCGAGTTCGCAATTCCGATTCCTCCCAAGAGTCGCCGTGATATTTGGACTGTTCGTTCGTAGGTTAGTCTGTCCGGGTCGTCACGGATCGCGAACAACATGGAGCAAGCTGCTTGTCAGTGAAACCGATAGGTTGCTAAAATCGAGAAATTCGATTAATCACCTGTGACGCCATTCTTATTAGCCCCAGAATGCTTGGCCACCGTGTGATAATCGATCAAACACTTATGTCAGAAAGAATTTCATAAACAAATCGAACGTGACTATATAAGTTATTTAGCAATATTTTTGAAACGATTTTCAGGAAGGAAGTTGAAGTGAATGCTTCCGTTCAGTATCTCCCAGTGGGTAGAATGTCAAATGGATATTCGATAATGACTATTGGAAATGTGATGCACGCTGAAGTTAGTGAATTTACGTAAGACGGTCGGAATAAGTTTTTGCAAAATGTCCAAAATAAAATAATACAAATGGAGAAAGAGTTAATGTATATCTGTAAAAAGTGACAACCAACCTTTTTTTTTTCAAAACTATTAGATCACCCAGTATATAACAATACGAGGATCGAACTAGTTCTACTTGTATTTTTGCAAGACATTAGTCAATATTGCCAATCCACTATCCTTTACTTCAGCTACTAGAAATTTTGCACTGGGCAAATTATTAAGAAAGTAAAATTGCACGTTTCGCCTTTTCCATCGCGAGAGACGATTCTTCGTGTAAGGCATAAACTTTATATATAAATCCAAAGCTATTTCCAAGCGCTCGTTCTTGTTTCAAGAATTATCTGATTTCTCCAACGAGACGTTCTTGCTTGCTTATGTATTTTAACTTGGCTGCCTGTCCGACTCGCTCGACTTTTGCTTTTTACAGGAGGATTGATACTCTAGAACCAACACGTTCCAATATCAGTACCAAATCAATAAAAATTCTAGACTCCAAGAGATCGTTAAGCAACTTTCAAAGGATTCTTATCATTATCAGTATCAATCGTATAAGGACTAGTACGATGAGAGTATCCGCATCGAGCATTAAAAGAATCTCAATAAGATAGTTATCTGCTTCGAAAGGTAGATGATGGCGATAACAAAAATTCTAGCCGGAAGTGACTAGATATACACGTACTGCATAGCAGCGTGACCAACGATTTGCTATACAATAGAGATATCAGCTTGATCGATACAAATTTACCAAAGCATGTAAAAGCATGAGCGACTATCACGATTCGTATGTAAAATGATGAAAAAATAAAAAAATTGAATATGAAACAGCAAAGTGTGCGAACGTGCATTCGGTTAATGGCTGAGAAATAAAGAGATGAAATTAACCTAACCTGAATTGCATAAAGTGCATTTCAATCTAATTACGTAGATTTTTCAAATCTTTTAAATAATTTATTTAAAAATAGAGAGAGAGAGAGAGAGAGAGAGAGAGAGAGAGAGAGAGAGAGGAAAAAGTTTATAGAAAGTTATTGTCATGTACGATTGTATTTCATGTATGATTGTATGTATTTCATGAAATGGCACAGATTTCCACAGGTGCATTGGAATAGTGCATAGAAAGCATTTACGGCAGTGTAAGCGTGCCTATGGATTATAGTAATTATTGACAATGCCAGTGATAACAATTATTAATATTAAGCCAGTATCAATTGGATACACCACCAAGCAGAGAAATTCGAATCCACTGCACTTCTTGTACCAGCATGGATTAAGACCTCTTCGGCGCCTGTGTATGCGATTTCTGCAATTCCACATGAAATGATATTACATGCGTGTTCGTGCTCGAGTAACGCAACGTGCGAAAGCGTATCCACCTGCCACCATCGCTAATAAATATTTCTAGGCAGCCTTTCAGAAACTATGCGAATTCTCATGGTATCCATACTGCATAACCGGTATATACGATTTCGCAGCTTTCGTACAGCAGGATACAGGGCGTCGGGACGCCTCCCTAATCGGCTCTACGATTTGTGCCTACGCTCTATTGCGATATCCAATTTGTTTGGTGCAAGTGTTATACGTATAATGCCCTGGATACCCATAAGGAGAAATCTCAGCAGTAGTTAGTAGCTACGAACTATTTAATCAGATAGCCGATCCAAGTACCAGTAGATACGATCCTGCAGCATTGTACCGACAATATCAACTCAAAATCCTCAAATTTCACGAATTCTCAATGTAGCTTTTCGATTTTCATATTACACAAATTACACGGTATTTCGCGTTACTCGTAATCGCTAATGACTGCCCGAGGTATCTTAGGGTATAGAACGTTGGTCCACAGTGTGTTCCGTGAGCCTGGGGCAAGGCCGGCGACCTGTCTCGCCGAGGGCTACGATCTGACAATCTGATGAATGAATCAGCATTTCGTACACTTGTTTATTTATTTTATTTACTCGTATCAATACCCGATACCGTTTACAGAAAACAAGAGTGTTCCAAGTGCTCCGGATAAAAAAGTCGATATATATATTATGAGCGAAGCAGCCGAATGAAGGTATCTCAGTATACTGGTTAATCGTGTCAATGAACTTAAATTTTTTTAGTGCGATTCACTTTACATATCAATTGAATTAATCGAGCCGACTGACTGAATCTTAGCTGGGATGAACTTCGGGGAAGCATAATCGTATATGGAGAGTTAGGTGAAATCGTGTATAAGCACTTGACACTTAGTCGACGCTGGCACGAATGGCACGAATCGCACAATGACACTTCCTAGAGGATCTAAGTAGCACTGTATTCCAAGAGCGAGAGTCTAATAAAGAAAGGACTCGAGCAGTAAGTCAGGTACTTACGAATTTCATGGCGTTTCTCAAGACGAGACTTTTCTCCAGGAGTAGGCAAAGACTGGCTTTATTTCCGTCCACCGGATAAGTCGGTCAACTACTGAAGTAGTCTTGTTAACTGTTCGAATTACTACACAGGGGTAGGGTAGGGTACACTGTGTAGTGTGGTGTGGTGCTCTGTTTGAGGTGGGGGCCCGGTTGGGTCTTATATCTCAGCTGCGGAGGCCGTGTGGCCCCCCCTCCCCATTAGGCTCTCCACGTGACGGTCAAGGTAACCCCTGCCTCCGGGGCCCCAGGACTTCGAGGCTAAAGGGTACATTCGCCGAGAGAATCCGTAGGGGAGGGTCTGCCGATTCCGGAAGTCGTGTCGGCGTTGTCGAGAATCTCATTAATTTTAATGATTGAGGTGATAATTATGTGAGGCCCTGAGCGGAAGGAAATCTTTGCCTTTCATTTTACTTTCGATTTGCCCTTTTATTCTAAGTACTTTATTTTTTTTTTTTTTTTCAAAAACTCTTCATTGCTACAGCCAACGACTCTGTTCAAGGTCAATTGGTGATACGTGTGGTTATGCTGGTAGTCGAAGAATTTCTCGGATGATGTGTGAGATGCTGGGAAATAATAAATGAAAATATCTTCAACTTGCGCCAAACCACGAACGGTGCAACATCTAATTGCAAAAAGATAATTTGTTCTTGTAAAAAGTCTCATACGGAGATATATTTTCTACGTAGATTTTTCAATGTCAATTACGAACGATTCCACGATGGAATCCGGACCTTTCCAACGCAGTCAATGTCGCTAAAAGGAATCGCGCAAACGAGCCGACTCTTGTCAGTTGTTTGTGCTTAATTAATTAGCACGATATATTTGTCACCTTCGATGGTCCCTGAGAGTCGATCCTCGGGTTCAGGTGAATATCGAAAGTCCTGATCTTTCTTCGCAGCATCGCTGGTGGGTCTAAGTACATTTTTGCAAGTTACATAAATACTATACTGCAATCGACAGATATTTGGCGAAATATGATCGAACGATTCAAGGCTACGATCAATCACGGGTCTCTCGATCGTTGCGATCAATTATCATTCCGGACTCGGAAATTCTATGCATTTTTTCTTGGCTTATTCGCCAATAAAAAATTCTGAAGCTCCGCTATTGACGTAGCACGCGTGTCTGACGAAACGCTTAAGGATTATTCTCTTTATCATTTCTGTGCATATATGATGACTCGCGCCACGCATTATGGTATCATTAAGTCATTGCTATTCAATCCTGTATGAATTTATTAATTGACTATATTTACCTACTCGTAGCCACCAAGTGGGGAAAACGTTCAACAAAGTGAATTAGCAAAAGAATCCTGTCTGTGATTATGAGTCACGTACGCCCGTGAGACTAGTTCTTACCATATGGGATCATATGTTGGCTGCTTCAGGGAATTGATAATCGTAGAGTGATTGATTGCACAATTAATCTGCATTCGGGAAAAATGAAGGCACGCGCCGATGCCTGGAGCACTTCTTAAGTACCGGACACATATGGTTCAAGGATTTTTCTTCACGCCATTAGTGCAGGAAGGTCATGGATTAGAAAAAGGAAAAAAACATAAAAGTGAAAAAAAAGAATCCAAAAAAATGGATCAAGTCTAAAAATAATTCGAAGCTTCGATAAACGAGACTCACGTGAAGCAAACAAATTACATGGCATGAAAATACTGTGACTTTCCTCACGTACCAAACAATGATTTCCTAATTTGAATAGTTGAAAATAAAAAAAAAAGCGTCACAAGTAGCCTAACCTTAAATCTCTAATTATCAGATTTTTCAGGGAGTCCTGTGCAAGGCGAGTATCTGCTTTGCATCACGTTTTCCAATACGAGCAGTTTACACTTCGCGACCTGGAAGGTTAGACCATAAACGATCGATTAGCCTTAATTTCCTAAAATCGAACAACCGAGGAGGTCAGCGCGACTACGGAATTCAGTGAAAGATACGATATTATAAAGATGCATAAAAAAAGAGTCGAGCAAAAAAAAAAGCAAAGAATTAAAAATTGTCATTCGACAAAAAATACTGCACGTTGCTGCACTCGATGACCTCGATTAACGTTGCATCTTCTCTTGGGATAAATTTACTAGAAACAAAAGCCTCGCTCGCAATAATCGACCATCGATCACAATCGCTGCATCGCTCATTATAACTCGTTAATGATTCTACAGTCAATCACGAGAAAACTTTGAGACGGAATACTCATGACTAAAGTGGATAATAGAAAAAAAAGGGAAAAAATTGCTAATCGCAAAATGACTCTTTCATGAGATTAGATACTTGCATATACGTAGCACTGTATATTAACAACGATACACATGATACCCATTCACTGGTAAAATCAGTATGAGGGAATGAGCAAATGACTTCGAGAGAACCATACAGCATTGAAAGCTGATCTTGAACCAGTTATTGAGAATGACTCAGGAGGGTGTCAATGATTCGGATGTCGAGGGTCCCCTCACGTAATAATAAAACTAGCTTAATTGACGTCGGACGATTATGCCGCGTGAGTGTTTAGCCTTCGGATACATTTTTTTTTCCCAACAATTTTTTTTCAACTCCACTGATTTCTCCGGCGACTCTTGAATGACTTCACGGCAATGCATTTGCTGCTCGATGACAATAACAAGGAGTGGACTGAGTTGGTATAGGGTACAGTTGGTATTTTTGAGAAATCTTGGACCACCAGCCAGTTTGATCAGTCGATATATAAATTTTGTGAAAAAGATCGTAAAACCGGAAATTCACTGATATCCTTTAAAATTAACACATAAAAGCTGACAGTTCTATTGATAAGCGATTAGAGAAGCCACGTGAGAATGACGCTAGATCGGAGTCATTTTCTAATCTTCGCGTGAAACGTCGTAGTGTATATTGGTAAAAGTCATAAAGCGACTATCTTCAGAGTCAATGGTCAGCAATTACTGTCAGACGTATACGATCTAAGTTAATTAATGTGATTTTATTCATTTAGGATGAAACGAATTCACATTAGGTAGATATCTTGAAAAATAATTATAGCACTTCTTATAGTGGGTCTGTTAAATGGAAAATATGTTCTAGCTAAGGCAGCAAGACTTCAGTCACGAGTCGAGTTACGTTCTAATCTAATCTCTTGTCTGATCTTTCGTAGCTCTAACGCGAGAGGACATTGGTGCACAAAGTATAAGTACGTGTCCAATCCGTTCACAAAGTGTTCTTCGTTGGGAGTTTACTTGAAAAAAATATTTGCCTTACGTTATTTCCGAGCCAGCTTGCATTAATCGTTAATACGGAAATCCTTTTTTTTTCGCTTCATCACCTTCTACAATCGTTAGGAAGGTAACGAGCACTGGCACGCCACGATAAAAGAACCTCAGATGGAATTTCGAAACGTCCAGGGTGTCCCTGTCCATGGCGAATCGAACCAGTGGAAAACCAATAAACCGTACCGACGAAGGTAACGGCACTCTCGTAAAAGGTACATTTGCCTACTAATTAGTAATTACGCTTTCAATGAACGGCAGCGCTACCTTCTGCAACAACCTGGCAATTTACTTTAACGCGCTTACACACGCAGGCTCGCGTCCATGAACTGAATATATCTTCAACGGAAGTCAGAAGACTGTCCACTTCCGGCGGGACGGACACGAGTCAGATTCATCCGTCGTAGGAATTAAATTATGTTAAAAAAAAAGAAAATAATAATATACAAATAAAATAATTTCAGTGATTCGATACTACAATTTTTACAGAACATCCAAATGACCTGTATGCTTGGGATTTCTGGATTTTGAATAATAGAAAGAAAAGAAATATATTAAAATTCCAAAACTTGAAAATATTACTGTTTTATATTATTCGAAAGAAAGTCACGCATTGTCACCCATCCCGCTCCCAGGATACTTACAGCAGTCCTGTTAAGGAAACAACGTTAATTAGTAAGAGCACGAGTCCGTGTTAATTGTGCCTTCGGCTCGAAGTTACGCAATAGCTTGATTAATATAAAATATCAGCGAGTATCCTGGCAGGTAGACGGATAACAGCTTTTCCATAAATCTCGGACTATTCCGTCGTATCAAGGGCTTCGGGAAGGAACGACTAACAAAATAAGCTGATAGAATCAGGGACGTCGATACGGCGTGGCGTCGTTTAAACTATTAGCATTGTTAGACGCTACACGCGTTACGATTGTCATGTCGGTCTGACGTGAAAGATTAAGAAGTCGAGTCGTTCGAGGCACAGGGCTATCAGTCCAGCATAACAACCTAATTTCCAGCTGGCGAGGACCCAACTAGAAACTTTCCCGTTTCTTAGGAGAGGACGAATTGTGCAATTCGAATGTTCCGGCTGAATTTTTCCACAAGATTCATCGACAGGGTCATTTCAATAATTTTCTGCGTACATTTGGTTCATGTGCGAAAGATCGTTAACAGTGTACAGTCTGTATAGAAAGTTTCTCTTAGACACGTGGTATTACTTAGGAATTCATTATTAAAGTGAAAAACTAAATTATCCGTATATCCTGAATTGACTTTAGCATAACTAATTACATTATTTTACCTATCCGACTGTAGTGTCGCAAAAGTACGAGCTGCTCATTGTGTTGCTGGCGTATGGTGTCGCTATGTTTTGCAAATACGCATGTGCAATAGAGTGCGGCGAATCTCAGGAGGAAAAGAAAGTCTCGATTAATGTCTAGGAAGGAAGTGCGAATGGTATAGAGAGTGTGTGCGTGCGCGCGCGCGCGCGCGCGCGTGTGTGTGTGTGTGTGTGTGGGAGAGAGAGAGAGAGAAAAAGAGAGGATTGCAAGTTTTTGTACCGTCTTGTCATATTTTCTAGTCACGTGTTAACCAAGTTTTTTGTTCTTACCGAAAATTTTTCGTCGCTCGTTACAAAACTTTCCATATTGCCATATAGCGGAATGTCCGCACCTTCTCCATGTAAATTTACATGTTTTTGTAAAATTTCGATATACTTATAGTTGTCGAATCTGCGATTAGTTTACGCAAATTCTCTTGGCCAACGAAACGTTGATCAATCGATGATACACCATAAGCAAGAATGTGGTATAGAATTCGGTATGGATAATTTTTAAATCGTTATATAGAAAATAACAAAAATCCTTGACATTTTCAAAAGATAGATAATCAAAATAATTTCATCAAATCCAGCAGCTACGGTCACGCGAAGCTACGTTTGTACTTGAGAATTTTACGTTACTCATCCTTCCTGCAATTTTCGTATTTATGTTTCCCAGGCTCTTTACGTTAATTTGACATGTCAAAAAAAACCGTAAACAAGGTTGATATCTTATATCCTCAAAAATAATTTGTTGTCATCACTTTACCCTTTCAATCCAATAAAACAGCCTGACAGCAAGAATCAAGTCGTGATCTCAATGTAAAACCTGCAGACCTCGTTAGGTCATTTTACTTTGATATTTACAAGTCAAATAGAAACGGTTGCATCAATTTACCGTGATTTCTGTTATTCTCGCCGTATCGAGTTTTGAAAGCGATTTCGTCGTCACGCGTTTGAACGAACGTTAGACAGCCGCAAGATTGCGAAATTTAAGAGAATGCCGTGAGTGCGTCCAAAGTGCGTGTCTACTGCGTTAAAGCATTCCGTACACCTTGCTACATCTTCCTACACCTTCCTACACCCTCCTACACCTTCATATAGCCTTTTATTTTTCATCTCTTTTTTTTCGATTTAACGCAACCAATAAACTCGTATACCTAAAAAAGCCACATGTTCGATACCTACACGACTTAATTAACACAGCCTAATTATCAATCATTATAACTCGACATGCCGTGGTGCCTCAGCATGCTTGAGGTATCCCTAGTATAATTTTTCGCCAATAACTCAGTTCACTGATAGCGAAACTATCAATTGAATGCCAAGAATCACTGGGGTATCTATAATAGTTACGTGTTGCACGCAATGCCAGCCAGAGGTAGCTATGCGTTGAATGCGTGTAAAACGCAGAGAATTCAGTATCCATGTAGCAGCTTGAAACGGCTATGGTACGTTTCCAATAACATGGAGAACAAGAAGTCTATTACGTTGTAACACTTGGCGCCGACACCTAATAAAGTAAAACATTCAAAACAACGTTTCGAGAGTTCTATTCAATTATTACATCGTTTAATGAACCGACGAACCTTCGACACCTTTTTCAGTAAAAACAACATTCGACAGAAAAACAATAAGTGCTACGTTCACTCCGCTCTAGCACCTTTGTTTCTGCATTGTCATGTGCGCTGAATTCTTCTTTGGATTCTGCGTACTGTCAACATCGGTATACCGGAAGCGTTTCCGGATTTTATTATGGGTCCACCGGAAGTGGATTGCGAGAAAGAAATAAAAAAGAAAGGAACCGGACTCACAATTCACATTCTGGGTAACCTTGTCGGATTATACTTGGACCTGGTCAGGAGGCTGATTCAGGGTCGGTCATCACCCTCTCCCAATCAAATGCGATCGTTTTCTACTTGGAGAACGTATCTTCGCGGAACCGAACTCGCACTTGATCTTGAGATCCTTTTAAAGTGACGAGAGTCCATCGATTCACCTCGATCCTAATCAATTTAATTATATACATATGTATATAGATATTGGTTTTAAGCTTTGAATGTCCGTACAGACGTTTCAAACAACGTCTGGACCAGTAAGTAAAATTCAATAGAAATCATGTGGACCTCGGACTGATGCTGAATCGGTATGGCGTATCGAACGTTTATTAATAAAATTTTATATTATCGCTTTATATCCTTGGGATTGGATTGCGCCTACGTGGGGACCTTAAATTAGAATGTGTGTACTTGTCGCATTGAAAGGATTTGGTAACAGATTAAATAGCATTTTTTTTATTGATTTTCTATCGATCATAACAAATGATGATTGATAATGATTCTATTAATTTTTTTGCTTTGCAGAATAATTGATTGTTGAGTAATGGTTTTATGAATTTTTCGAATTTATTGAATTTTTCTTAATATGCTCTTTGCGTGACTGGCCTTGATCGTGAGGATAGATACAGGATCGATCGGGTATTGTAAATTTTTTTTAATAGTGCAGGTACTTGTAACCTGTCACATGAAAAAAATAAGAAGATATAAGAAATTACTAAACTGATTAACGAGTAACATGTCGCTACAGTGGCAAACGAGATTAAATGATTAAATCTTCGATCGTGTCTAACAAGTCATATGAACAATATTTCAATTTTTTTGGACGTCAGTAGTTTTGGAGGCCAGGCAGTCAATCTCGTCATCCTTCCTATCATCAATTATTATTCAATAGTTCCGTGTGAAAAAAAATTATTAAGTAAAAACATTATTGAGGAATCTACAGATTTATTGTTCGTGACCCCAAACCTACTGAAGATCATGGTTAACTATTTGTCTTATAGCAACAAGTTCCTATTCAACTTCTTGTAAGCGAAAGATGCATAAAAACGCGATACGTAATAATATATACTTTTTTTTTTAATAGCATATACTACTTATATATTGGTTTAATCGCGCGTCATCTGGTTTCGAACTCAGGAAACTATGACGCAAAAGTATACATTTTTTGTCATTACTGTATTACCATACGAACTGTATCGTAAGAGAAAGACATCGATCCGTGTTTCTGTAAAAACCGTGCGATGGCGGGGTCTTTCAATTCTAAGATTGTTCCCAGTTGACATAAAAAGAATTGCCTAAACTAAATAAATAATTAACTGTTTATTCTATGTATTCACTTCTATCGTTACGAGGCCATGATTGTTATCGTTATCAGATAATCCGCAACGGTACGTTTATTCAAGATTCTCTTCCATTTTCCCATAGAAACTTTAATAAGCTTGTCAATATATAGATTCAGTGAACTTACAGCGAAATATAGTGATCCCTGTAAGCCTACAGTCTCTTGTAGTTGACCACTTGTTGCCAATTGAGAGAAACGAACTTCACACTGTTTATCGGCGTTAACGAAGTAATAGACGCTTCCACTCAGAGATGGCAGCACTTTCGATGGCGCGTCAGTACGACTGACTCGCGCGGTATTGAACACATCTGTTTATGTTCTGTCAACGTTCGTTGCAATGACTCGTTAGTTTAACACATTGACACATCCCTTGAATCATCCCTCATTTGTGTCGACAATCCCCTACACAACTTGTAAGTATTTGGACAAATAGGTTTATTCGATTTGGGTCAAAATCCAATCGGTTCGTGATTTCTTTTATTTTCATCCCTTAACCAGAGGTAGAGAGGATGGAAATACGCGAGAAGTCCTTTAGTCTGCATAGTTCTGTATCCCGTTAACATTTCCATGGCGTCCGGCCATGGTTTACTGGCCCCGAGCCGCATCATCTGTCTGTCGTAAAATTATAGTAAGAATTGAGTTGTTCATTGGATATTTCTATTGGCTCATATTAATGACTGAACTTTAAACCAATTCCTGCTTCAAGGCTGCCATAAATATCGCAACGATGTAGCGGCCTGTGCACGTCGCCGGGATCGTATTGTCCAGAAGCCAAACAGACGGCTTCGAGAAATTGAAATTGTATAATAAAACTGACCAGGTATCTAAAAGTAACAAATACAATAGTGATATTAAGTCAATCGTAAATTGTTATATTAAGAGCTTTTTGTGGTAACTACCTTATGTATGGTACATTAGCAGCAATATGATACTTTGCACCAGGATCAAAGTCCTCCTTGGTACGATCGATTGGTGGTTCGATACCTTGAATTTCCTCTCTGTGTTAAATATCAATTATAAGTCATCTAATGGTTTTAAAGTTTAAAATAAACTACCTTAATTTCCACCATAGTCCATTGTAATTTTTTGGATTAGTTTCATCTCCGAATATGATCCATCGCCATTTATCAACCACGTAAGCAAATGGTAAAAAAGCTACTTTTTGCAGAGCCATTAAAAATAAAAAATTTATATCTTCCTCTGTACTATAACTACTGGATTCTGTAAGTCCCAGACGCGCTGTGTGTACAGGAGATGACACTGAGAGTGCAATGGTATCGCCTATTGCTTCATGGAATCCTAAAGATATTGTTTCCATCATTATCTTTATAAGGAACATTTATCATATTTAATACGACCTGGATTGCCCCCTTCGCGAAATATGATTGGTTGATCTTTATACTGCATGTAATAATAAACATGTCCCATTTCGTGATGGACGATGACCAAATCATCGTAGGTCACTTGAGTGCACATTTTTATACTGCAAATAAAATCTTTAATAAATTTATAAGTAATAATTAGATCAAAATTCTTTATTCTTACCGAAAATCTTGTCCGTCATACATATCCCATGCCGAACCGTGACAAACCAATTCCCTGTTATCTCTTGGCCTCGCGAGTATCGAGTTGTTCCAAAACGTTGAAGGTAACATGGGAAACCCTATGGAATGAAAGAAATCTTCGGCGATCTTGAAAAACACAATTTCGGTAAAATTCTGAAAATAATAAAATCAATATTTATAGCAGTGCTAAAAATTTTCAACGAATTTAACCTTTTCCATTATAGCTTTCGTCAAGTCCAATTTCGTAACATTAGGATAAGGCATAGCAAACCTATGAACGTGAATCCAAGATTGGGCCCACATATCACCTGGCATAAAAAGATCAATTAGTAAAAATTATATTAATTTGAAATTATTTACTCACCCAACAAATGACCAGGAATATAACCTTCTCTCCGAACGACCTTTGACCCGTATTTTTTACGAAGTCGATGTCTCACGTAAGCATGAAGTTGCAAATATAATGGCTTCACCTCTTTCCAAAGATCCTCTACAGTCTTTTCGAAGTCAGGATCTTCGTACGCATGAGTCCAGTATTTTCCGGCAGATGAGAAATCTGCAAGAGACTTAATCCTTTTTTCACAAACGCACGACTAAACTGCACTGGTACTACAGATGCATAGGCGTTCACGAGCCATAGAGAGAAAAAGAGACAGGAGAGAGACAAGAGAAAGTCAAAGAGAAATGATTACAAGTTGTCACAAGCTTACTGTTTAATGTTGCAATTTCCTTCATCAATTCGACGTACGTGACGTACTTGTTCTTTATCTTCCTTCCAGTAGCATCGTGCCAGGCTTTCCAAACGTGGCCCAGTTCTTCGGGATCCTCGGATTGAGCCATGATTTTGACCAAGTCTAAAAAATAAGAAAAAATAAAAAATCCAAAATTAACATGTTTTCCTACGTGTATGTTCTCATAAGTTACCTGGTTCTAAACGCAATTTTTTCTGACTTTTATTATCGCTAGAAAATCTGGTCTGACTGGATTTTTGGACATTTTGACTATTATTATTATTTTCCTTTTTCACCGATATTTTTAATTTCACACTCTTCTTGGTATTATTTACTTTTTTAATAATGTGTGCTTTATTCTTGTGCTTGGTATACGGAACTATAGTGGCTGTGCTATACACTGATTCCATATGATTAACTATTTCGTCAAGCTATAATCAATATCGAACAGTAATACATGAATTGATCAAGATCCATAAAATGTATCGATTACCTGAGAAAATTTCTTATCGTCGAGAGCAGCAGAGCCTAATACCGATAACAATTGGAATTGTCTTTTCCAGTTTTGAGAATCATTAAAATTTTTCCAATCGTATTGCATAGCCGCATGCCATACGGCTCTTTGAAATTGTGCCAATCTTTTAGATGATTTTAACTAAAATCAAGCAACACTCGATTCGAGCTATGAAATTGATTGTATATTAAATTTATTTTAAATAAATGCTTACAGCAGCCTTTCTCGTATGCTCCGTAATGTTACTTTCAAAGTTCCACTGGTCCATTGCGTTTCTATGGTACTCCGCAATACTGACGTTATTCAACATCTCAAGAAACTACACGTGACGTCATTACTAATTTATACGTCAAAGCCTCGGCATTTTAATTGATAAGAAATATTACAATTTTTCATCAAACGTACCATAGCTGGTTCTGGAAGACTCGATTCTCCTGGAAATTCAGAGTGAAGATTTTCTCTCTCGCCTCTCTTGAATCTCTGCAAAACTTCTGCGTAACCTAATGAGGCTTTGACGTATCGAAAACCCGACCCTTCTTTCGCATTTGCTTCTTCTCTCGTAATTCCCTGACAGATCTGAGAAGCAGTTAAAATAGCTGTCACGTATAACAGCGTATAAATCCATATTGACATATCATTAACAGTTAAAAAATTTAATTAAAAATTATCTAAGTGCGATGACAGTGTTCTTTGATAATTCATTTTTTTTTGTATCAAAAATAAAATATAGCAACCTTATATCACAGCCTGTGTGATTCTGCTAACTATGCATTTTATAAGGTCTGATCTGATCTGTCCAAAAATCCAAATTCCTGGTTCACTCTGTTAATAGCCATAGTGCAGTTAGATTAATGATGGAATCATTACTCGAGAATCGTGCACATAAATTGAGGGCAATCAACGTATTTATGGCGATAAAGTGCAAAAGCAATAATGTCGATAAGTCATTAGAGATTGTAACTTGGAACAATTCGTCTGGCGTTCCGGAAGTCATGAAAGTCGTTAGTCGAACATTTTGCGCTATGACGTGCTGGCAGGTAATTTTAATATTAAGTGCCTTAGGTCATGCAGCACCGCGAAGCCTGGAGGTTTACCAACATGATGAAGAAAAAGTGGCCCAGGGTGTAATCGAGGGGCTGGATAGGGAGTACACGCTGAAAAAGCGTCAGGAAGCACTGGTTACGTACTTCTACAACGTTGACATCAGTGATGACAACTTGCACCGGATGGTAAATCATCATCAGTCATCATTTGACTCATCGGAATGATGATCGATTTAGTCCTGGTCATAAAAGTTACGACGAATGATTAATCAGTTTGAATCAATAGTATGCAAAGTACAGTGAAGACCTGTGTTCTAGAAAAGTCAAGGCATCGTGACGCCCATTTGATGTGTCTGGTTAATTTAATTCTATAATTAGTAGCGATGTGAGGAAACGGCTACTACGCCTATAAAGTCATTTAGCAATGACCTTCTAGGAGCAGTCATGCCAATTAAGATAGGAGAACGAAAGTTTCATTGTGATGCTGGTATAAGAGTCGTACGATTTCACTTTAATTTAGCGTGGAGAAGTGTCATTGATGAATGGAATATTTTTACGTAGGTGGCCGCCGTAATGGAGACCAGCCTTTTTTTGGGTAAAACCAAACGACAGTTGGAGGACTTCAGATGGCAGGATTTTAGAAATGAGACGCTAAAACGGCTTTTTTATAAAATGAATAGTAACGTTGGCAGCGCTGTTTTACCTGAGCACAAACTTGGTTCGGTGAGTATTTTTGATTTTTAGAAAATTAATAAAAAAAATTTTTAACAATGTTATCATGTCATTTATTTATTATGGCAGTATCTGAATCTTCTGGTTAATCTGAAGAAACGATATTCCAATGCGGTTGTGTGCAGATACAATGATGATACTGATTGTACAGTGACGTTATCGGGTAAATTATTTTTGATGTTCCCAATTTTGAAAATTATTATGTTGCTATTGTTTCCTGTAGATATTTCAAATATTATGGCTACCTCGAGGGATCAGGCGGAATTACTTTATTACTGGAAAATATGGCGAAATGCAACGGGTGCACCGGTTTTGGAAGAAATGCATCAACTTTTCGAAATCAATAACGAAATTGCTAATTTACTAAGTTGGTCTATTATTTTATTATTGTTTAGTAAGGTCAATTATGTCCGTTAACAAAAAATACGTTGCAATCTGTGATTCTACAGATTTTTCTAACGCTGCCGATATGTGGATTAGCCAGTACGAATCAAATACGTTCGAAAGTGACATTATGAACCTTTGGTCTGATATCAAACCTCTGTACACACAATTGCACGCTTATGTACGAAGGAAATTGCGAAAGATTTATGGCGGTAAAACTATAACCGAGGATGGCACAATACCTGCCCATTTGTTAGGTAAAATATGATCAGCAAAAAATACAAAATTTATCAACTTCCCAAGTATTGTGTTTCTCGTAGGAAATATGTGGGGACAAAAGTGGCTGGTATATAAATTAACAGCACCTTATCCACTCAACAATTATCCAAACGTGACGGATAGACTATTGAAAAAGGTAATTAATCACTTGTATATAATACTTGAGACGTACTCTAAATGCAAAATTACTTTTACAGAATTTTACGGTTAAATGCATGGCTCAGGTTGCGGAAGAATTTTTTCAAAATCTCAACCAAGTGAGTCTCAGTTCAAGATTTTGGGAAAAAAGTATTCTGGAAAAACCAGAAGACAGAGAGATTTCATGTCAGGCCTCAGCATGGGATTTATTCACTGGAAAAGATTATCGGCATGTATCTAAGTAATTGAGATTAATATTAATTTTTCAAAAACACTTTTTCCCATTATAGATTAAAAATGTGTCTGACTGTCAATGCCGCTAATTTTTTGAGTCTTCATCACGAAATGGCCCATATACATTATTTTATGGAGTATCGACAACAACCGACACTATTTCACGAAGAACTCAATCCAGGATTTTCGGAGGCTGTGGGAGATGCAGTTGTTTTGGCAGCTGGTACAAACAGGTATCACGAGTATTATATAGTTCTAAAAAATTATTTTCATTCATTCAAAGATTATCTCGACACGGTATTTTTCCTTGCATCTCAAAAAAAAAAGTACTGACCCGTCACGTACATCAAGATAAACGAATAATGTAAATTCGTCCAAGGACTCTAAAAATAATTGTTGACTTTCTTGTTTCTCAACAATAACAGCTGACCACTGGAAATTCATTTTTAACTGTCCGATCGATCTATAGTATTGAGACCTGGAGAAATCGTACTGATTTCAAGAGTCATTAACCGTTCTTACAGACACCTGCAGAGCATAGGTTTACTGACCAGGCACGTCGAGGTCAGAGAAGCAATGATAAATTACTTATTCAATATCGCACTAAACAAAATCACTGAGCTGCCATACGCCCTCATTATGGATTTGCATCGATGGAATATATTCAGGAACGCTTATAACTTGGACAACTATAATTGCGAATGGTGGAAACTGAGGTATTTGACAAGTCAATAAATCCCGTGACTTTCTTTTTATAATACAAACAAATGATTTTATACCACAGAGAAAAATTCCAAGGTATCAGTTCACCTGTGAAACGCAGTAATTTAGATTTTGATCCAGCATCCAAGCATCATGTTATTGCGAACAAACCATACATCAGGTATATCAAAAGTCTGAAACATACACGATGAAAAATTATAATTGCCAATTGAATCATTGAGAAATTCATTTAGTTACTTCGTGAGCATCATTCAACAATTTCAACTCTACAAAACATTATGCATCAAGGCTAATCAGTACGATCCACAAGATCCAATGGATCCTCATAAGCTATTACACAACTGTGATTTCTCCTCTAGTATTTACGCTGGAAAATATCTCAAGTATGTTAAAAGAAGTATTTTCAATTTACCTAAAGACTGACAAACACATATTCTAATGAATGATTAAAAATAAATGTTACAGAGAACTCTTAGGATATGGCAGTTCCCAGCCTTGGCATCGTATCATGAAAATATTCACAGGCGATAAAAAACTCTCGGCAAAGCCACTGCTAGAATTTTTCCGTCCTCTCCAAGATTATCTCGAGCAAGAGAATCGCAGAGCTGGCGAATTTATTGGCTGGCATGAATCGCGTAAGTCTCTTGCATCGTCAATTTTTATTTAAAATATTTTTCCACGTCCAACTAGCTACGCAAAAGCCAGGATATCAGAATGAAAATAAATCGTACATCCCACCTTGGCTGCACAGCAAATTGTTTACATATGCACATACACAGAAATATGTATTGTTACTTAACCTGCGTGATTCACGAAGCCAGGGTCGTGAGTGTCTGCCCAACGACATGTGCAATTTTATTAATAACAGTGTCATTAGAGTATGAAAGAAGAAAAACGAAAGAATACTCTTTCGAATTAAGCCTGTCTGTCATCCGACCAACGAATCCCTTATAAGTTAACTTTTTTCTCATTTATTTTATACGCATCGCCAATGCTCTTTATTGTTCTCAAGATGTCGCGACCACATACCACGTGGTGCCTTTACACTCTGTCGCTTCTAATTAGATCAATTAACAATCTGCATCCTTCATGTTACAGGTAACCTGTGCCGACACTCGTCCATGCATAAGAGGAAATAATCGAACTGGAATCATTGCTGACTCTGCGAGCAGAGTAAAATGCGTAGAATTCTCACATGTGCTAGAAGGATTACCATGTTACATATTTTCACATTTGTCTTTTCGATTTTCCTCTATGCACGTGCTCACTTTATCTTCTTGTCCTTTCTGCACACGCAGTAAGTATTTTCTGCCAATCTCATTTTGCCAGAGCGAATTCGTTCGCTCGTTCTTGATATCCTTGGAATTCTATTCTATATGTGGAATAAAATACGAGAGATAAAATAACAAAGTCCAATATCTTCCTTCTGTTCCCACGGTGACACGAGAAGGAGTATGAATAACAAGGAGAAATCAACCGAAAAAAATCCTTCGATAGGATTTATTTTTTCTTCTAAATTCTGATTCATGTAGAATAGATTAAGTTTTTGATTAATCGAATAATCGATAGACCGGGCTATAAATATATTTATGTTGAAAATCAAAATTCGATCTGTTGATCGATTTTGAATTTAATAATTCTAGGCAGATACGTCATCACTCTGACCTTTTAAAACTCTTGCTTTCGTTATAACAGTGAATAAAGAGGTGGAGTAGGCAATCTTGGAAAGTGCATCCTGAAAAATGCATAATCTTCGTATTAATTAACCTCTGGATGAAAAATCATTTACTTATTTATTTACACGATGATAAGAACCTTCATTCTCGAGTGTTAAGTTGATATCAATAATGATCGATAATGACGATCGAAAACCATTTTACTCGATCGTCATGAAATTATGCAGTTTACCTACTATAGCTAGAATAAAAGCAATAGATTATCGATGCTTAGTACCATTAACATTATATAGGTAGATCACACCCGTTTCATTCGCATAATTATGTAATCCAAACATAACATTTACCATTACGATTAATAAAAACATGAAGCGAAGGTGTACAAGATTTGTTGCATAGTTTCTCACGGTAACCGCGCATTGTGCTTTAATTATACAAAACGATTTATTCAAACCATGGAAATCTGATAATAAATTTCTGAAAATTTGCACATATCCAAATTTACGATTCCACGTATACACGTATAACGGTGGGAGTATTTTGCGAACTCTTATCCAGTAGCTGAATACGATTAGCTGCTTATTAATGTCAGTAACGTGTAATAGCATTAAGAGGCACAAATTATTGCACAAGTACCGCTATATATTGTACTTTCGTACTTGAACCCAGATTGTGGCCGCGTGCCGTTCGTGGGATCGGATTTTCTTATCTCCTCAGCAGATTAGTATTGTCTCAGACCTCTCGACATGAAGACTAGGATGTTAGACTTTCAAGTAACTACCGGTGTAATACGACAGCACATAACACTTGGCATTGAAATTCATGCCGTACATGATTATGATGCTGAGAAGGGACAATTAACTTTTATTTTTTATATTTTCATTAAACATCGTATAAACGAGCAGCATATAGATTAGGTAACATTTTTATGAGACAAAAACAAAAATTAAAAAATTCATATTATTTTTAAAAAATTTCCTTTTATGAAATCTCATATTTTTATTTTAATGCATAATCAATTATTTCATCTGTTCGGTTGATTTGTGACGAGAAACCGTGATCCCTGTTTATCAGGATGAAATAGATGCTCGTGTTGTGTTATGCAATGGGCAATGTATGCGCTAGGCAAGAGCATTGTTACGGGGACTCAAGGTCTTCTACTCTTCTGGGCCAGTCTGGGACGTAATTACGGCCAGAGTAAATCATCGTGAGACTATTCAGACTGTCATCCAGGGTGTGTCTGGATAATGATTTTTTTATTTTTAATAATGTTTCACCTCCATTTGTCCATGAGATGTGTCATGGTGGCCATGTGTTTACAGATTGTAATGCGAAGGTGATAATTGCATGGTATGTAAATGCAAATCATTTCCAAGATCATGTGCAGTCATGATCATAGTGCTAGATCATCGTGGGATCTAGATTAGGATTTATATTGATCAAGTGAATGGAATAATTTCTTGTTATGATTCGTTGTGTTTACATTGCAATAATATTTGTTTAATGGACTCGCATACCGAGTGCAGCTTCAATCCAGACGTGCACTTCGTTGGTCATGAAAACAGGAAGGTGAATCAATCTGGCAGGTGCGAATTAGTACGATAAATTTTAATTGCGTAATTAGATAGCTGAGTAATGTTCGCAGAATTATTGAGGACGTATGAGAGTGAATGAGAAATCATTTCGAATTGAAGGTTTGAAAATATTTAAATTTCATTAAAAGAATGATTTTTATCAATCACGTATTTGCTGTAATTAATGCAAAATTTGTTACGTAAATTATCCGCATGATAAAATCTCTTATGGTTTCAACTATACCTTGAAAAATAGAAAATAAAAAAAAGACGTGACTATGACTATTCCTTTAGCTAGTGAAAATGTTTTTTTCGTACATACGTCATCTTGGGGTTTTGACAATGACCTACCTAGGATACGTCTAACATTTCAGGAAAGAAGTAATTACACATAAGACTGCAATAAACAAAGCAACTCATTCTGCCATAGGTCAATATCAGAGACAAGGACAATTCAAAAATATGCCGTAACATATTCAGTGCCCTGATCCACTTCGAGTGACGAGTGTAAAATTTTTTAAAAAATTTTAATTAGTTCCCCGGGATATAAAATTTATATTTTTCATCTTTCCATTTAGCGCTTCGTGTCACTTTGATGTTTTATAATAATTTGCCAAATTCTTTCTATTCCTTAGATCGAGCGAATGCATATCTTGACAATGGGCCTCATTGAGCCTATCATCGTGGGAATAGGTGTCGCAAGTTGCGTCCTCCTAGTCGGACTAACAACGCCTCATTTTTCCCCCTTTTATGCCCTCGCAGTTACGTCTTCTGTCTTTTACTGCAGGTTCCGAGCATAATAATGGTATATCCCCACTACCATGGATGACCTCTCATGTCGTTCGAACTACTCGCAGAGATAAATGTGTACGTTGAGGCCTACGTCGCTTTTAGTATCGGCAGAAGTAAAGAGCAGTGAAGTCAGAGGCGGATTGGTTCCTTGCTAATGAAAAGTGCAATTTTAATTTAAAAAATTGACATATCATCAATCAAATCGAAGACAGGATGGAGGTGCTACAGCGACCAGTCGTGGTCGTCATCGTGAATCACAGCAGAAGATATTTAGTAAGTTTTGCATATGTACTTACAATTAGTAAGGTGATCCATGAGAGCAGAAGTCCCTTAGTCAGAATTGGAATTTCACTAGGGAGTGGAAAGTTCAAGGGATATACAGGGTGGTCCACCTGAAACGTCAAAATTATAATTGAATTAAAAAAATATTTTTAAAGCTATTTTATGATTTATCAATTTGTAAATTTTTTAGACACACTGCTACATAATCTTGAATCAAAGTTGTCACGTGACAATGATAAACTTTAACCTTTGCCTTCGAACTGAATAACACTGTAAATTTGAACAAGGCGTAGACACGTGAAATATCTTAGTCCCCAAGGCACCGAAGCAACCCCTTTAATTTCTCACCGGGGATTAATGCGACGACCACTACACGCGTGTACACAAAGGGGTCGATTCAAAGGGCGACGTCCTCAGCGAATGTTCATCTTAGCTGGCGAACCATCCCTTGACCTTATAAAGCTTAGGTACTTCTATCGTATCGCCATAAAACATTAAACGCTCGATCGATTCCATCCACTAGTCCTACTCTCTGACCTTTGTGCCGAACGAAACATTAGAGAGAGCTTACCATAGAAGGTCCTACACCACAAGGTACCTGACAGTTCAAGTACGGTATTCCTATACTTTACCAGTAATTGCGTCGTTTCTTGCCTTCCCACAATATTCGGTAGTCTAGATTTTCATTTATTCAATGATACCGTGATATTTTCCAACTTTCAATGTAATTCTCACTTTTTACATTCTCGTTGTAGCTACTTGCTATGATAGTGGTGTTCTACCTGCTATCGGTGGTTTCCGGTCAATTGGACTTGCCACCTTTACCGGATGAAACCGACAGACTCGTTGGCAGACAAAGTGTCGACTATCAGGATTACAGAAATGTCCTGGCTAGTTTGGATTTTATTGGCACTACTCGCTGCAGCAATAATGTTGCCTATCAGTGGGCCTATGAGACCAATGTGAATGTAAATAGTCAACTGGACGCGGTGAGTATATTTTGTTAATGTATTTATATGACGAGTAATACGTATTTGATATAAAAAATATGTATTGCACCAGACTGCAATAAATCACGAATTATCACGTTACACGAAACTCATTGACATTTCTCGAATCATCAGTATATTAATTGGCAGCACGAGACACGGGACTTGCCAATTTATGAAACCATGCCCAATGACTAGGTACAATTTCATTACGTCACGCTTAGCTGATTCCGATGGTTTGCTTCTGTGGCTTCATAATATTTTCATCGTTAAAATTGGCCTGTTATCGATCGACCTACAAAACGATTCATAACCCTCATTTCTTACCGCTATCATTAATCGCCCCTATATTGCATTAAATACTGGTAATACCTATGCATTTCTGATTCCCCAAAAATTACCAGTGGGTTATGCCCTACTTATTAAAAGATTTATAATATTAATTAAAATAGTATTTCTAATGATAAATAAAATTTTAACGGCAACTGTATATTTGTTGTAATAATGATTTTGAAAAATCATTAAAGTACCGTAGTGTAGCGTCATCGTCAACCAATGATTATCATGCTTCACGTGAATTTCCCTGACACGGGATGCCCTTGTCGTATGAGAAGTGGGAGCCTCGTTTACGGGAAACGTTCCCAGGTGATGCCATTGTAGTTACCTGAACGATTGAGTAACAGACCTTTTATCCACGAATACGTAAGAAACGGCTTTTACAGTTTACGTTAAAACCGTCATCGGCAGTAGTGACACCAAAAGAATCACAACGGCTAAGTTGTGACACTAATTGTCATAAGCTCATCCGCGAGATTTTTTGTCTTGGAGAATTAATCCTGGATGGATTTTGCAATTAGCCATTCCCTCGAGACACCCCAGTCGAATGTAGAATTTTTTCTCGCCATTGTTTCAACGTACATCATCATTTTGTCAACGCAATCGACACCGCTTTCATTTCTACATTGCACCTAATCACACTTAACCATACCTTCTCTATGGAGCGATTAAGAATTTTATGACAAATCATTGACATTTATTTTCATAATCGTTAACCAAGTCTATTGTAACCTGTGCTAAATCCTGCAGTAGGTTAGCCATAGGGTGCAGTGTGCTATGGAGATTAGCTTAATCGCAAATGCATCGTATACCGTATTCCTAGTAACACATGGAAGTGCCAACGTGAAGAAAGTTAGTTCCAGGTCTAAGAAATATTTACCAAAGATCTTTTCTTATTTACTTCACAGCTTGAAGCGCAGAGAAAATACGCAGAGTTTCAAAACAGAGCTTGGCAGATGATCAATAAATTGGATCTAAGCAAGATCAGAGATCCTGCAGTTAGAAGACGTCTGAGATACTTATCTGTTGTTGGGCCTGCTGCACTTCCACCGGATCAATTCGATAGAGTATGTATCGTGAAATCGATCAATCATTCAGGCGAAAGTTTTATCTCGTGAAAAATTATCTTTCCATTGAAACAGACCAATTGGGTATTAATTGGGAAGCTGTGATGGGTGAACGATAATATTCGGATATTTCGTGACGGATATTCGCATGTAAATTTTATAGTATATTTGATCATTCACATATGCATATACTGCATGTATATACACTGTACTAAAGTTGCTTCCGATAATGAACCGGAACTTCATTTTATCAAACAGAATGTATGCACCGGGTAAACTAGAGTCTGTTTAGTATAGCACCGTATGACTTTCACTTGAATACACCTGCGGGAATGCAACCCGACATACACCGAAGCTGTATCTGCTGCATCTCTTACGGCGCCTTAATATAGAGTCTACATGGATGTTTTGTATATATATACACATATATTAGATGGATCAGATTGAGATTTTAATTGTATTTTTTTTTTTTTTTATAGTACAACAGAATTTTGAATGACTTACTCACGATATATAACAGCGCATCCATATGTGGTTACAACGATCCTTTCAGATGCGATCTTCGTTTGTATCCAGGTACGAGTATAAGATTATTGTTGAATATGACATTTACTTCTAGGAGTCATCGTGTCTTCTTACTTTCAATGATATTTCAAGGATCCTTGAAAGATCACTTGCTACTACTTTTCTTTATATTGTATTTCATCCGTTTGACACAGTTAACGTGAAAGTGATGTGTTTAAATGCACAGTTTATTATCCCTCAGATGGTATAAATTTTGTTTGTTATTAAATCAATATAAGAATTACCATTGGAACTATTTATAATTTCAGATTTATCACGTATCATGGCGCAAAGTCATAACTGGGAAGAATTGCAATACGTCTGGACCGAATGGCGTAGAAGAAGTGGTGCACCGATGAGAGAGCTTTATCAACAGCTTGTACAGCTGAACAACGAAGCAGCGAGATTAAACAGTATGAAAAAAAAAGAATTTATCTGAATTGTTATTTATATGTTTATTTACTATATAAATTAATCACTTTCTTCTCCGCAGACTTTACGGATGCTGCAGAATATTGGATGTTTCCGTACGAGACGTATAATTTTGAGATGGAGATTGATGACGTATGGGAGTCAATACGTCCTCTTTACGAAGAACTGCATGCTTACGTGAGAAGGAAGCTAAGAGACCTATATGGTCCAGAGAAGATAAATCCACAAGCACCTCTCCCATCGCATATTCTTGGTAACAAAAATTCCGAAATTCCTATAGTAACTCAATATACAAATCAAGTAATTATTACTGCGAATGATTTCCTATGATTTTTCTTTTAATCGAATGTGAAACTTTATCCCGCCTGTCTAAGTTGCTTACAGAGAAAGTATTTTGCAAAGAGTAGTAATTTTTTGTTTTTCAGGAAATATGTACGCACAATCCTGGAGCAACATCTTGGACATTACTCTGCCTTATCCAGGAAAAAGATATCTGGACGTCACTCAAGAGATGCAAGAACAGGCGAGTGTTTAAAGAGAGTGATAGAGAGAGAAAGAGAAACGTCATGTTAGCTACACGTGTTTGCTATTCACTAGAGTCAATCTCTCAACCGTCATCCACTGAAGCGTATAATTATTCAATTGCTATGATCACAATGATTTAACTTTGACTACTAGATCAATAGGACGCAATTTCAAGTATCAGCTTAAAAAGAACTTCAAAACTTTTTTTTTTATATGTATTTATACTCTTACTGATCATATTGGGATGTTCGGTAAACTCGTAACTATTTAATGACCTTGTACAAAAGCTAAAAACTTTCACTGTATAAATTGACCACATATTATATTCGAATATAATTACGTTGTAACATTCTCTACAGGGTTATACGCCACTGCACATGTTTCAAATAGCTGAGGAATTTTATCTCTCTTTGAATCTGAGCGCGATGCCACCAGAATTCTGGTACAAGAGTATCTTCACGGATCCAGAAGACGTTCCATTGATCTGCGAAGCTTCTGCCTGGGACTTTTGCAACAGAGTGGACTACAGGTGATGACAAATAAAAAAAAACAAATCCGATTACATAAAATCTCTTAACAATATTTTAGTAAACATTTAAAATGATTTCTTCAGGATCAAAATGTGCACAAAGGTCACAATGAAGGATTTAATTACCGTTCATCATGAAATGGCACACATTGAGTATTTCCTACAATATTCTGGACTTCCACGAGAATTTCGCGATGGCGCCAATCCAGGTGAGAAAATATAATTATCAATTAAATTAATCACTATCTATATAGTCATACAAATTGGACTAGGCGATACGATTATCGATTCCATCAATTTAATTAGGATTAACATCGAATGAATAGCTCTTGATTATTACTGTACTGCTACATGCTACTTACGTAAGGCCAAGTGTGTTCTAATTGAATCCGGAAGTTAACGTATCAGCTTTTACGAATAACAGCTCGAAAGCGAACGATACGGTTGAGATGGATTCATATAAATACATGTCTGGAAGTGGCATGAACGTTTACAGCTGATTATGTGTGTATTGTGCACTCAGTAGTATAAGCATTAAAATATTTTTATCGCAGCGTAATTACACTTTCTCCATCACATTGCAGACTGCGGTTGTTCCCTTCCGTTTAAATAGAAGATATATACCAGCTGCTATAGCAGATCCCTATTACGATTAAAATTACCCCAGAAGATTCACCACTCAGTCCAATGACTTTTATTCCAATGAACTAAGCACATCTATGCATATCATTTGTACTATTTTCAATGATTCCGTCGTCTTCTTACTCGCACATTTTTCATGAATTAATAATGGAAATAGTGGATGCAGTCATGCAAATCTAATTGATATAGAAGCTTCGGGCTTTCATCTTAGCGAACATCGACAATATTGATAATCGCATATTGGCTGCAATTTAATTATGAATTAAACGAAAGCTAGTTTCATATATACCTGTTATTTAGTACCTGATATATCTATAGATCTATAAGATCCAGGGCCTTGGAGATTTAACTGGAGAAAACAGCAGTCATGCTTCGCAGCGTGACTCAATAATCGCGTGAATTAATAATCAAATAACATGGCCTCAATTTTTTTGATTCCAGGATTTCACGAAGCTGTCGGTGAAGCTGTTGCCCTTAGCGTCGCGACGCCTCGTCATCTACAAACTCTTGGACTTGCCAATATTTTCGTGGAGGATCCTATGACCGATATCAATTATCTCTTCACTTTGGCTATGGATAAACTCGTTTCCTTGCCGTTCAGCATCACTATGGATAGATGGCGCTGGGATGTTTTTCACGGTAATGTTAATCGGGAGGAATGGAACTGTCATTGGCATCGATTGAGGGAACTATACTCTGGCGTGAAACCACCTGTACTTAGATCTGAAGATGATTTTGATCCTGGCGCTAAATACTCCATACCAGCCAACATCCCTCACATTCGGTGAGTACTGTTTCTGTGTTAATCAACGCATTGTGTTATATACTATATATATACTGTTTTTCATATACGGAAGTGCTTAATGATGTCCTGGAGCTACGTCATTTCTTTTACGTAACGTAACGCTATCTCCTGCATTTCACTTTCCTTATATACACAATGATGACAGTGCGCATATCTTGTGATTGTTTCAAAAAATAATTATTCTGATTGTGATAGTTTCGGGAAGAGAGAACAATTAAATTCTTCTTTGGTTTTATTAGAAAGTATATAAAATTCTCGTTGTATGGACGAGTCCGTATAAAAAGATTTCAGTCGGTATACACAAACTAACAAAAATATAAAAAATTATGTATGAAGATAATGAAAACAGCATTAGCACGATAAAAAATACTTATATCGGTAACAAAGGTACTAGTTAATTAAAATCCATGGGAATCGGCATGTCCCCCGAAACTAGACTCGTAATCTCCGAACGAAGCGCCACCACCGTAATGGCCTCCATAATCACCACCTTCGTAGGAACCTGAGTCCCCGTGTACAGGTACGGCTACAGGTACCTTCACAGGATACGGAACAGGCTTTTCTACGGGGTAAGGCACGTGCTTCGTGACGGGAACAGGAATCGGTCGTTCCACTGGTACTTTCACGGCATACGGTACAGGTTTCTCAACCGGAACAGGAACCGGCTTCTCTACGGGGTATGGTGCAGGTACGGGTACCTTGACAGGAACCGGAACCGGTTTGTCCACTGGTACCGGTACTGGTCTCTCTACGTGAACCTTGACTGGGTATGGAACCGGTTTCTCAACGGGAACCGGTACGTGTTTCTCGAACGCTACGGGATACGGTTTAGGTACGTGAACAGGGATAGGTCTGTCAACTGGTACCTTAACCGGATAGGGAACTGGTTTTTCAACTGGGAAGGGAGCTGGTACATGAACCGGTACCTTGACGGGATAAGGTATATGTTTTTCAACTGGATATGGTGCTGGTACTGGTACCTTAACATGGTAGTGTACCTTCTTCTCAACTGGGTATGGTTGAGGCACGTAGACTTTGTACGGTACTGGTCTGTCAACTGGTACGTGAACCGGATATGGTACCTTCTTTTCAACTGGATAAGGTTGAGGAATGTGTACCGGTACCTTTACCAAGACCTTCACTGGATACGGTACCTTCTTCTCGACCGGATATGGCTGTGGTACCGGTACCTTTACTGGATAGGGCACTTCCTTCTCCACTGGATAAGGGATCTTCTTCTCTACCGGATATGGAACCTTGACATTTTTCACGATCGTGATTTGCTTGATCTTGCCCCCATCACCACCAGACGATCCAGAACCATAATCACCACCGCCGTAACCTCCACCAAACTCAATGCTACCGCCTCCGTGAGCTTCAAAGCTGATTCCACCTCCTTCATGACCACCCAATTCTACGCCACCTCCGTGTCCTCCAAAATCTTGTCCGTGACCTCCACCTATGTGACTACTGCCAATGAAACCTCCATGACCTTCCCCGAGACTGAGACCATGACCTGCGCCAATCTCAGAACCAAAGTCATGCCCATATCCTTCCGAATGGATCAATCCTCTCTTGTCCTGTTTCTTCTCAGTCGCAGAAGATTCCGCTTCCTTCTCTTCGGACACCTTCTTCGTTTCCTCCTTCTCGCAAGATGCCAAGACCACAAGGCCCAGCAACGTTAATAACTGAAACAAATGAAATTTGCTATCAAAACGTTTAATTCCAATTAACCCAAATATTCTTCCCCTTATCAACGACACTTCGTATCCTCGCTGAACCAAACCAATGCAGACTCTTTTTCTCAATCAGAAATATCTTACCAAAATTCTCATGCTTCCGTTCTCACGATGCCCGAAGTCCAGAGTTTACTGGATGCTTCCCCCCAGTATGCCGCAGACTTTATACCCGAGTCTGCTTTCCCCGCTAACATTGTGTCCCGAGTATACGCTTGAAAGTGAAATACATATATTTTTACTATCTCCACCTGCATGCGAGGCTATCTTTGCGTATACGCACGTGAACAGATTCACTGGTGTTCGTCGGAATCGTTCATATAGTATTCGTATAACCACCGGGGGTAATCTCTCTAACGACAAGGAACTGAGAAACAACTTTATCTATGGGAAGTTGTCTCGCTTGATGACAAACGATCTTCGCTATAGATAAAAATTAAAAAACCAACACCGTATGCATTTATTTAACAATATCGAGCACAATGTTTTCGAAAGTTTTACTTGCCTGGGATAAAATCTATTACCAAATTTCATTTATATTATTCTAATATTTTCCGCAACATCCATGAATTCTCGCACGCTATCCCGCAATCTACCTAAATTCAAATCATATTAATTTACATAATTATCATATTTTATATATTTATAGACACTTCTGAAATTGTCCCTAGTAGCATAATGTACTATTTTATATGGTTACTCTATACTCAATCATCTAGTCTCTTTTACGGGACAGCAACTGCTTCTTTACGTGTATGGGCAGTGACTTATCTTACGATTACGAGAACTTCGTTACGAAAAAGAATGCGGATAAATTTCATACATGGTAGCTGTATCATTCCTCCTTTGAGATTGACGCGGGCGAAAGTAGTGCCTTATACTATTCGTGTTTACCTGAAGTTTCATTTTAGAGAGTGAGATCCACGATCTTCTGGCTTTGGAGACACAAACATTATAGAGGTACCATGTCGTCATTTTAAGATTGATTTTAAAAATTTGTAAAAGAATTTCCATAACAACTATATATATGTATATATGTGTATATATATGTGTATATATATATATATATATATATATATATATATATATATGTATATACGTACTCCGTCTAATACGCAAAATCGCAAGTGCCGTAAATCACTTTTCGATATTATTAATATTCCTTGAAAGTAGGAAATCAAAGATTAATCGTACTCTTCGTATATTACTGCATCACGTGTACGTAGTACTCCAGCCAGAAATAAACGTCTCGCTTTACGATCGTCATTTACATTACAATAAATTACGACAGCAGAATCGAGGAAGTAAAACTGCACTGCAAGTTCATTGTTACTCGATTTACATGATTGCATCCACATGGTCGATGCTTACCGGTGCACCAATGCAATATGAAAGTAAACGGTAATTCTGTCAAATAACATAGTAAATAGCACCTGGGTAACGTTCAAGTCTCGTGCACAACGAAAGTCATCCGAAATCTTAAAATTACTTTGCATTCCATTCGTACAAATCACACGGATCAATGATACTCAATGATTCTGTCGGTTAACCATAAAAATAATAAGAATTGACAGCACCTGATTGGTCGTTATAGTATCGATTATTGACAAGTAATAATCGTCGTGTCAATTATACATCATAAGCTGATAATCGGCTTTTGATTAAAGTTATAGTACGCGAAAGCGATTGTGCTTATATATATATATATATATATATATATAAATTAATTTGAAAATTAAGATGGATATATTTTTTTATTTATTAATATACATTAATATATTTTTTTAGCCTTCTGAATTTTCAAAAGAACCTCTTTCTCTCTATATATATATGTGCTGATGTACTTTCACGAGGAAAATCGTCCGAGTGTTAAGATCGGCTGCCACGTGCCACTGACTGTAAAATTATCGGTATGAAAGTTTACGTAAGGCCTGATCAAAGTACTCGGTATGCTCCGCGAGTGAGTACGGTTTGATGGTAGTGATTCGATCGGTAGTAAATTATGATGTACTCTCGAATAAAAGCACTTTTGTTCGTGAATGACGTTGTTATACTGTTCGACAAGAATAATATATCTGGAATGGATTGAAATATAGGATCGAGTGTTAATTTAACCAGCAGGAGTACAAAGCCGATTTGATTTCATCGAACAAGACGAACCTTCGATCGACTGAGCGGCGAAATTATCGGATTTCACTTTTACGCAGCTGCCAACTGTGATTGGTAACCGATCCGTACAATTCTATTAATGTATTAGTAACGTCATATGTAAAAGCTACTAAAACCAAATCATTTATTTCAACCTTTCTTCGTATATAAATTGAACTGCGTTTACGACGCCATTAAAATTGCTCATTGGGTTACGAAACGTTTCTATCTCGTAACGTCATATTTTCACCGTATAATCATCTTCGCTTCGTAGCTCAATAGGTAACAACATAACGATACCATAGGTACCTGCTCCAAATTAAATTTCGTTATTTCGCAACACACGAATATTCGGTAACCAATTTCACTGGGAGATTGTAGGATATCGAGTGAAAGACAAGGAAAGGAAATGTTTGTGGGTATTAAAAAGAAAGAGAGAAAATTTGAGAAATGCTCGAAATTAATGAAAAAAAAAATCCAATGATGGAATCTCGCGGGAAGTGTATAGTCCCAGTTATGCTCAGTCTGGATACTGTTTGGTGAAAGTAAAAAGTGGAGATCCAAATAATACGAATGAACGCTGTAGATCCGACTTACGAGTACGAAGTACATATAGCTGACTGATTACATTTCTACAGAATGTCGATGGTCTCCAGTGAAAGAAATTGGGGCCTATTTCGAAACTGGTTCATTGCGTAATTTACCGATGATGGTATTTTCTAATCCACATCACTTTGGTGAAATGTATCTGGAAGCTGCCAACTTCTGTATTGTTGCACCTTAATGGATATTACTTGCGACAGGTTCCGCACGTATTACTGCAGTTGTTATGTAACGTGCGTTTCGAATATCGATAAATTTTTAAACGCTAATTGATTTCTTTTTTTTTATACACGACTCGTCTGCATGATTAATGACAGGACATGGCATACTAATTGGTACGATGACATTATTTTTTTTAATATTGAGAAATTTTGTTATACACGTACTTGTCTATAGTCGTGTTACCTTTGGGAACAGTAATTAATCAAGCGTAATGTTGCAGATTAGCATATCATTTTTTTTTCATACCGTTAAGCTTTATTTTACTCGGAGATTACTATTGAGCAAAATATATGAACCTTGCGAAATTTTATATTGATTTCGCAAGTTCATGTAATTTTATAAAAATCAGATGCCAGTCCTTATCTAAGCTGCAAAAGTATGTTCAAGACTATATTGAAGATAGGAACTCGTTCGGGTATATATAGAAAGTGCACAGGGTGTCGAGAATGAAAATGAAAGAGTAACGATAACATGGCTGTCAATTTGCAAAAAGTTCAAATCGGTTGAAATTTATTGGTGCTACTTTATTGATTATTAAAATGGCCGGAAGGTGCACAGGCCGCACCCGCTTCTCACTTTACGTATACGGGATGACAATTTCTTCCTGTAGCCGTGAGACAAGATCAGGGGAGAAGTGATATAAGAAATTATTGTAGGTAGATTCAGGAAAGCAATAAACAGCTGTTATGTTTTATTCAAAGCTGAAAGCAAAGATTATCAATGCATTACTGATTTAATGAAGTAATTAAAACTTTGCATTTAAAGAAATGAAAAGTTTACTAATTAAAGTGGCAGCGTTGGTTATCCTCTAATTCCGACGCACGTTACGTAGAACCAGCACCTAATCCTTTTTCAGGTAACAATGGGTGATTTCTCATTGTCAGAGAAATCGGGACATTTGAGAAATGAGTTCTATCCATTTTTGATAGAAAAATTCATACGCTTTCGGCGTTGCGCGACATTTCGATTGGATACAGTTTCCTACTCGTGTCAAGGAATCTTTATGACTGACTCTCTAGTTACCTTGTTTTCGTTTACCATATAAGTACACACTGTATATTATTACTAATTACTGTTACAGTAATGGGATTCGAATGTATGGTAACAGTTGCAGACCTAGAACATTCTCTGATAGTAACATGTGTACTGGGTGGTTCAACTGAAAGTAACCATTCAAATACGTTATTTATGGTGAATTCCAATCAGGTCACCCGGTATGTATACAGAGTCAGCTAGTATTTGCTTATGGGAGAAGTTTGACTGGGACTTGATGAAATCTCAGGAGAATACTTTCTTGCGTGAATTTGAGAAGTGAAATTTGAAAAAAATGTTAACGAAAAAAAAGACGGAGGGAGAATAATGCCTGATGCATTTATCTAAGGGAACTGACAAAGATCTTGCCATTCTGGTAATTTTTAATGAACCATGAAATCTTGCGTATTCGTTACCTTGACACGGTTTCTGTGCATTTACTGTAATTCATTGCTGTCTTCTCTGTTTTATGTATGAACTCCACATATCATTTTGGCAATTAGAGTTCTTGAAATTCCTTTTTTTTTTCAACTTGACCACGACGGCCATTATCGTTTATATGGGAACTGAGTCGTGGAGTTGGGCATAAAATTTCCTTTAGTCATGAAAGCGTCAGACTGATTCTGATCATAAATAACAAAATATTTTAAGGAACGAATGTAGTTCGTGTGATACTGAACTAGAGCGGAACGTCCAGTGAAATTTCACAGTCGTTAAAACATTCGTTTATGATTCTATTAAACTTTCAAAAGTTCTCAGACTGTCATTTGATTTGACGAGGTTGAATTTGCTTTTTGCATAAATGAATAGAGGATTTGATACGTAAAAAAAAAACATGTCTTTATTAATATCCGTAATTGATACGTATCACTATGCGTAGAGACGTAATATTAAGTTATAACGAGAAATGTACAAGAGGTGCATATCCAAACGTTAGGTATTAATCGCTGGACCATCCTTGATTTCCCGACCAGTCGCTATTTCCACCTGCCCATCCGGCTGATTCTTGGTTCCATCCACCTGTCGAAATTTCACTTCCGGACCAGCCGTGGTTCTCAACCTTCACTGGAACCGGAACCTTAATGTGGACTGGGAATGGTTTTTCTACGGCTACTGGTACTGGTTTTTCGACGTGGACTGTGTAGGGTCTGTCAACGGGTACTTTTATGTGAACTGGATAAGGTTTCTCAACCTCAACAGGTACGGGCTTTTCAACTGGGTAGGGTTGAGGTACTGGTACTTTGACTGGAACTGGAACTGGCCTGTCAACAGGGACGTGATAAGGTCTGTCTACTGGGACCTTGATATGAACTGGGTAGGGTTTAGCTACTTCAACTGGGTAGGGTCTCTCAACTTCAACGGGATAGGGTTTAGGTACGGGAACTGGGTAAGGACGATCAACAGGAACCTGTACAGGTACTGGAACCTTCTTTATAACTTCGTACGGGGTCGGTACGTGTACTGGAACCTTGACTTCGTACGGAACCTTCTTCTCAACAGTGTAGGGTTGAGGAACACCGACTTTCACTTCGACAGGTACCCTCTTCTCAACTGTATAGGGTTGAGGTACTGGAACCTCTACCTTGTACGGGACTGGTCTGTCAACCTTAACCTCGTAGGGAACATGCTTCTCAACATGATACGGTTGTGGTACATGAACGGGAACATTGACGTAGACCTTCACTGGGTAGGGAACCTTCTTTTCAACAGTGTAAGGTTGTGGAACTGGTACTTTAACTTCGTAAGGGACATGCTTGTAGACTGTAACTGGAACTTTTTTTTCAACTGTAACGGGAACTGGTACTTTCTTCTCAACTGTAACAGTTTTGACCGATTCGTGTCCTCCGACATTCCATCCGGAGGATCCAGTATCCCATCCTGAAGATCCTGCACCTGACCATCCTCCACCGTAGTTCAAAGCGTATCCTGAACCTGCTCCTGCGTTCCAGCCTCCTCCGACGCTACCCCCAGCATTCCAACCATCTCCGATATTAACTCCAGAGTTCCAACCTTCGTTTCCGCCACTCAACTCGAAGGCTCCACGCTTCTGATTCTTCTTATCTACACTGGAATGAGATTCGTAGATCGTATCGGTTTTTGTTTCCGTCGATCCACTTTCCAGGGCCTTCTCGACTGCCCTTTCCGCTGCTCTCTCTGCAGCACGTTCCACTGCAAGTTCAGCAGCACGTTCAAGATCCTCTTTCTTACTAGCAGCGCTTGTCAAGGCAAGGATGCCGAGAAAGGCAACGAGACACTGCAATGAAAACACAAAACCTGTTAGAAAACTCGGTCGATTCTCATTACGATCGATCGAAAGTGAAAAACACCTGCAGACAATTATATTTTCCATTAAAAAAATGTGTTAACCCTTTCTTCAACTCTATCCAGTTCATATAATTTTCTAGAATTTGAAAATTAATATTTTTATTATTCACGTAAATTCAACGTATAAGTATGTTTGGTTGGACCAGGCACTAAGTTATTTATGGCAAATTTTGATGGCAAAAAAAATTTTCAAAGTCACCGTTACAATGCTATTTTGCTGATCAAGGATCTAGGTTACTCAAGACACTATTTCGATATTTACTGATGCACAGCACTGATAATTATCATTGAATTTCACTAAATTGCAAATGAAAGAGTATCGGAAAATTCGATTGGAAAGCTAAAAAAGTCTTTACTGACCAGGTGTCTCATGGCTATGGGTTTAAGAGACGGTGGCTTAACGAGAACTGGATGCTGCCGGAGAATTCTCGAGCATTATTTATACCACGGACGACTTTCGCCAGTCCGGCCGCCCGGGCCTATACAGATACATACACGCTTACCTCTCTACGTATCCAATCATATTTAGACTTTTAGATTATCAACATTGTTCAATTTTTTAGAACCGTTCGATGAGTCTGCGAACAGACTAGGCATTGCTACCACATGCGATGCGTAACGTAGGTTAACACATCTTTTATTATTTTTCGTTGTACAAACACATGAACCCATATTCAAATTTGATAAGAAAGTATTAGATATTACGTAAGATACCGATAGAAACAAATCACTTTAAGATTTCTTGAATCACGATAAAAAAAATTTTGAATTTCAAATATCACAAGATACTCGATAAAGTTGTACAGAACGAAAGTTCTTGGGTGAAAAGTATTATAGATCTTATATATTTTTTTTCTATTAGACACTTCATCCAATGCTAAGAATTCACAAAGTAATTTCAACTTTATTACACAAACGTCCTGCCTTTTACGATGTTCGTTCCGCCATCTTTCATTTTCTACACTCTAGGCAACAATAAACGACAATGTTCAACGACTGTATCTGTTCTTTTATTTTCCGGGAAAATTAATACCGGTTCGATGCTTTCCCTGTGGTTGTTGAAAAGACCTTTTTTTCATGGAAAAATATTTTCATTGCATTATGGATGTTTTTTTTTTTTTTTTCATTACTGAGAAATACGAATTATTTGTGGAATGTTAGAAACAACCGAGTGACACTCGCTACTACTTTACTGCACTACGCGACGACGTACGTGACGATGTTTGCGATTTCAGTCGTTCAAACTACTCGCCTTCTAAGGCGAATCCATATAGCGAGTCCCGTGGCGACGATTTCTTAACACGCATGAAACTTCACGTGGTCGTTATCAAAGTCGACTTGAATTTGCCTGTAGAATAATTAATATGGAAATCCGAAAAGACATATGACAATTTGCATACTCGATTATTTCGCATTACGTGAGATAATATTATTTAATGATCAAGCATCGGTTATAATTTTTAGGGTTCAGTAATGAACGATAAATTTCAAGGAGAAAGAGAAAATCAAAATTTAAAATTTGCATGAATCATATTAAGTTTTTTTTAATGCTCGTACGAGTTTTTGTGTTATAATACAATAAACCTGTTTACTTTTTTTATATCGATTCAATGATGTGAATTCATATAAAAATATATCCATTATCATTTTTTGCTTATATCATTCGCCAGATATTTTGAACCCGGATTCACTTAATGGATTCCGAATTTATATTTGATTCTGATAATTATAGGGAGATAAGGCTTTTCGATTATATAATTGGTAGTTGAAACAAACATTAATAATTTATATCTATTTATATATCTTTATATTATCTGCATATTCGAGGACCGCTCGAAAATGCTCGTAACTCGTAACGTACTGCACACGTTCGGCATTCGGTGATTATCGAAAGTTGGTGAAATTTTTCCTGCCAAGAAATTTGTTGCTCCGAAAGAGAAGATTTCCAGGCACTCTCGTTGAAAATCTCAACGTTATAACATTAAAACACCTAACGCGGAAGAGAATTCCGTAAGGTGGAAGTCCTGATTGCCGTGCAATTAGTATCTTCCTTCCTGAAACGTAATAACAAATTTGTTGCAGGTACTTTCCAATCTTTTTGGCAATTCGATTATTCGCCAAATTGCAGGCTACGAATCTTCCCCTGTTCTATATAAAAAGGTTTGAATTGAATCGATGCGAGGAGTCGTGACATAATAAATTTCTTTTCGTCACAGTTAAAAACCAGTTTCCTACTGTTTGTCTTGACGTAATACTTGTCTCCGAGAAAAGTCTAATGTACTGTAAATAACTGAATTAGAACGACGTATGAAATAGTACGTAAAATCTAAATCAGTAGGTAACAAAGCATTAGAAATTTTGAAATTGCTCGTACATTTTATCATAAGAAAACTCTAAAAAATTTATATTTTTATTATTAATCAAATCCACTTCATACCACATCAGTAATATCAACTTGACCTAGGCATAAGTTAGATTTATAATGAAACTTAGAACGACCAAAGTTTCGAGTTCAAATTAAAAAGTTAAAACTACCGTTTGTGCAGTGATTAGTTAAAATGTCTCTTCTGTCTTAGAATTTAAATTAAACCTAAAAAGAAATCTTTAATTTCCTTAAAAAGTTTTTCTCAGCTTTTATATCTCTGACTACTCCCTTTATCCAGTTACCCAGTTTTTAATGAGCGGCTGCCAGTTGGGTATACATAATCAACTAGACGTAACGAAAGTCATCATTTGGAATTCCGCTCGCGATTCACAACGTTCTCAAGTTAAAACAAAATTTCATTAAAGTCTTAACAATTTACGTATTTAGTGAAATTTACTGTTCTCAACTAGAAACATCACAAAACTGCTGTCATACCCTTGACATTCTGAATTCTCCAACCATTGACGTCGTACACTGACATTCTCATCCAAATACATACACTATCTGCGTTAACGTGAACATTTCGTCTTTTATCCATGTTCCATAAATGACGTCCCATTACGTAATCTGGACCCAAAAATAAACGCTTGTGAAACTGCATCCGCAGTGAAATTACCAGAACGAATATTCTCCCAACTAGTTTTACCATATCTACCATCTTTCTTCTTCGCCTCCTTCGTCCACTCTCTGCAGCGTGATTCTTGTTCACTTTTATTTTTCTCTCCTGTTCTTCCTTTTAGGTTTCATTCTTCTGACGCGAAAGTCACCAAACACTTTCCCGTTATATTTTATAACAGTATGAGGTCGTAAAGTCAATTCGTCATTGCAATATGCATTTACATGTGCATGTAACCCTTAAAATAATAACCCTTCCAATCAGTTTCATAAATTTTCGTCCATTTTTTTTTTCATTCATTTTTTTTATCATTATCCAACCTTCTGCGTCGACTTTGAATTATTTGAACTAATCCGCATAACCTATGCCCCGCGTCAGTCATTGAGAAATCTCAGTCGGATGATCTATCATTATAGCTGGCAATTTCGCGAGGGACTTAAAATTAAATTTACAATTGTACTGCGTCTAGCAGGTAATTCATCATCATTTTTTGTCTACTCTTACTATGCCAAGTCAAACAACGAATTTATTTAATGATTATAATTAACCTATAACACTTTCGATGATGCGCGATAATTGAATGCGCCGTTAAAGATGCCAAAGATCGCACTCAATCTGTCCAGGAAATGATTCTGGAAAGATTGAACTAACACCCTGAGAGTTGCTACTCGGAATGCTTTCGTTTAATTGTTATTACGCAATTCACTTATCCGAACGTGAGCACTTGACGATGTTTAAGTGCGCAGCGATCGTCGCTATTGAGAAGCACTTAATAATAATTTATTAGAGAAGAGCGTGAAGTGAAATATAACATTGCTCTAAGGAAGTCAATTTTAAGGTAATTTCGTAACACAGTATACATGTAGTCTCCATCGACGAAACGAGTTGTAAGCAATATTAAATTCTCTTTTACTGTGATATGTAGACATCGAAGCAGCTTTTGATTACATATAATGTATATAAATATTTGTGTAATACGTAATTAATGATACTCGTTAAAGAACGAAAACTCATTTACATTTTGGTAACACGCGATTCTTGATATTTCATGAAAATATGTGTGACTTATTTAGTAATAAGGTGTTGGGTGCTTGAGCGTAATTTATAATTGAGACGAAGCCTCTATTAACGGATATAACATATCCCGTAATTAGCGTAAAAAAGTCGGAGAAGGTCGTTAAGAGTCGATCTGGCAATGCTTTGGAAAGCGGAAGCGACTGACGTCCAGCGACGCTTGGCGTCCGAAAACTTTCGTAACCAGAAACGAAATCAGATCATCTTTTGACCTTACGCGAAATACTTTCTAAATTGAAATGTATTTGGTATCTTTTTTTTTGTATTCCTGTTGGTTAGAACCATGTTAATCCATCTGGTAACTTCTGTTGGATTGATGACAGAGAACCGATGAGAGTCTGTATGGTTATCACAATGTTAACAAATTTCTATAATTAGCATTGGTACACACTGTTTTACGTATTATTGATTTTTATCTACTCGTGATACTTTGTAGAAATTGAAAGTGGCACAGCTTCATTTTTTCGCGATGAATCAACGTGTAGCATAGACGAAGATAAAAGATATTTTGGCATTTTGATTATTTTAATTTCATTACAAAACTTGTTTTGTATAAATAGAAATTACAATATATAAATCTTTATTTTATACCGAACTTCGATGAAGAAGAACCGGGCTTGACTTTTTTGTAAAATATCATCAGGTTCGGGTCAAAGTTCAATGATGATAACTTTCATAACTGCTACCTCCGTAACCTCCTCCGTATTCTCCACCACCTTCGTGTCCTCCGCCAAAACCTCCGTGTCCTCCATGTCCTCCACCTCCTCCGTAACTACCGTGGTAATCGTGAACCGGTACAGGAACTGGTACCTTAACTGGATAAGGAACTGGTTTCTCTACGGGATACGGTACCGGTTTCGGCACGTGAACTGGATAAGGTCTATCAACGTGAACTTTAACCGGATACGGTACTGGTTTCTCAACGGGATAGGGAACTGGTTTATGGACCGGATATGGTGCTGGAACCGGTACTTTAACGGGGTATGGAACTGGTTTAGGTACATGAACAGGGTATGGCCTATCCACTGGTACCTTAACGGGGTAGGGTACAGGTTTCTCAACAGGATAAGGTACTCGTTTTTCAACGGGATAAGGTACTGGTTTAGGTACGTGTACAGGGTAAGGTCTATCAACATGAACCTTGACAGGGTAAGGTACTAACTTTTCAACTGGATAAGGTTGCGGTACGTGTACTGGTACCTTCACTGGTACATGTACCTTCTTGTACACTGGGTAAGGTTGAGGTACGTGAACGTGTACGGGGTACGGTACCTTTTTCTCTACTGGGTAAGGTTGTGGAACGAACACTTTAACAGGCACTGGTTTTTCTACCGGAACGTGTACAGGATAGGGAATCTTTTTCTCAACCGGATATGGTTGTGGAACGTGTACCGGAACTTTCACGTAAACCTTTACGGGGTAAGGTACTTCCTTGACAACTGGATAAGGTTCTGGTACTGGTACTTTAACTGGATAAGGTACACGTTTCTCGACGGGGTACGGCACGTGCTTCTCTACGGGATATGGCACTGGCACCTGATGCAATAAAAAAATAATCATTATAGGTTATTAATTATTTCTTACACATCTTTTTTATACCTTTTTGTAAACTGTGATTGTTTTACTGTGGTGATCGCCATATCCCCCGCCTGAGTCACCTCCCCCGTAACCACCGTAATCACTACCGCCGTATCCACCGCCATAACCACCGCCATAACCACCATCGCCTAATCCGTGCAATCCTCGTTTTTCATGATTTTTCACTCCTTCGGCGTTCCTATTTTCTTGGGTGTGTTCTTCGCAGGAGGATAGAACCAGGAGGCCAAGCCCAATTATTACGACCTGTTTGAATGCCGTTCAAATAAGGAAAAACAAAATTTAACGATATTAGAAAAATATTCCGCAATTGTTTTGATTAATTTACCAGTGCGAATAATTTTTTCCATTCTTATTTAATAAAGCTGATCCCATTTCAGTGAGCACAAATTTTACCAGTGGATAAACCATGACAGTTAGTTTTATTTATTGAAGTCCAATTACAAGTACATTAGATTCTATTGCACATTCTATACAGCTATATGTTATATCAAAGAGGCTTATTGTGCAAATATTTAACGGATCCTTGGGATTGACACTAAGTTAAAAAAAGTCACGAGCTTTTTTTTTCGAAAAATCATTCCTAATCGATTAACGAGCACATGGATACAGTAATTTGTCTACGTCAACCAAGCTTACCGTAATTTAAATCAAGCTACTCTACATTGCAGAATGCATTTTGTCGTAGTATAAATATTACCAAGTGTTTTGAAAATTTTGAAAATACACTAGCAAGGGTTATTGAAATGAAAAGTCAAAATTACATACGGTGATCTGCATTCCTGGTTTCTTAGCCGGTGGTAAGTCCAGTACTGGATACGGGGCCCAAGTTAACTACAATTTTATACTGGGCTCCGACCTGCACTTTCCCTACTTCGATATCTCACTGCCCAATACCCAAGCTCGATGCACCACAATGTTCATTATTTTTGAAAGTGAGAGTACCCGTAACCTCATATCGTAGCACCCCCTCCCCATTGTGTTCTTCGTCCTTTACCTCCATAGCTACATCATCCCCTCCCCATAAACAAAATCCATATTTTTTAAATCCCACACAGTGTCAACTTTATTTGTTTCGGTATGTAACTTTAATAACATCGATTTCATAATCGTCAAAAAGACTCACCATCGTCTCAAACGAGAAGAACGAGGAGGGGACTTTCACCGGCCCACTAAAAATCCCTCCTAAGCAGGACTATCTTCCCCGCTGGACCCATAAGCTGAATTTTTTATTTCCCACCACTAATCGATGATGAGTAAGTCCCCGATTTCGTTACATAAGACAGATTGAGTGTATAAAATATCACGTAGATCTATTAGTGCTCAACTTCGAACTCTCTTATTTTGGAGTATAGAGACAATTTTTGAAAATTCAGGATCTCGTGTTAGATATAAAAAAAAATGTTCGACTAATTTTAAGACACCCTGTATATCTTTGACATTTGTGAGGAATTTCCTTAATTGGTAATTTAATTCGATCCTAAGCCAACGTGTCATTTTGGATGAATGATGCAACCTATCGGGACAATACCCTCATTCCATCATGGTCATTAGCACCGGGAGACAACGTTCAATGCACTTTGTGACGTTTCTTTCTGTCCCATGGATGCAACCTTTGAGAAGATGGCGTTGCCAATTACATGCGTTACAAGATATCCGGTCGATAATGTCGTGACTCTTACGAAACTCTGTGCGCACACTCTTCCGCCGGTTACTTTCTTTCGAGAAAGGAAGAAAGTCACGGGATTGGCTACCCAGTTTGCCAACTCATATGTTACAATTCTGTGACCCTATTTCAGTTGGGCTTCGTAATTATTAAAATTTTGTATATGAGCAGGTCGCTCACGTAGTGAACCCAACCATAAGGTCGTTAACCTTTCGAGAACGGAACATATATATTCCCACAAACGTGACTCAATTATCATTCGAATGTTGCTATATCTGAAACGTAGAAATTTTTTTTTTTTTTTTTTTTTTTTTTTTTTTTTTTTTTTTTTTTTTTTTTTTTTTTTTTTTTTTTTTTAGTGTTGCGTGTAAATCTTGACGATAGGCTAAGACAGTATAGGGTATAAATAAAGAAAAAGCTGTTTCCGTGACGGAAAAAGAATTTACATCGGCGGAAAGTAGGCAGATCGCTAGATAACTTAACTGGAATACTGCATAGTAATATTGTTGTAGAATGAATATACATTCCGCTCATTAATTTTGAATTTTTAAATATTCCATCCATTACTCTGAGCTTTTCTTCCTGGAAGCTTTTATCCTTTTCTCGTAATAAAATTGTAGCCTTTTATCAATGTCAATAAGGTATAACGATGAATTACCCTGAAGTTCCGAATGGTGAAATAATTCTGTTGAAAGTCTTGTGAACTTGTCGCGGAGTCATCAACCTTGAATTATAATCGGCAATCAATGACTCACGATCTTCCACGTTCTTGCGCGGTAAATCGGATCATTTTTATACTCCGAATTACGCTGATTCACGATCAGAGAATTATATTCTTTTTTTCCAAATTTAAGGGAAAACCGAAACTTCGTGACTTCCGTTTTTCGATTACCTGTTTTTATCAAACCATCGTCACCGACAAGACTGCCGAATGATGATCTCCCCGTGATAAATCAAATTATGGTTAATCGATCGACCTTGTTAATAAGATTACAAGATAAAAATTTACAACCTACATTAAATTTTCCATAAGAAGGAAATTGCTGGCTTTTCTTTCCGTGTTCTTTAATGCAACCTGCCATGTTTAATGACAGGCGCCACTTTTATTCCGTCAATTAAAATCGAGGAGGAGTTCTATATACATATACCTGCATCGAACGACATACTTTCTATCACCTGCACAAACGGAAGCTCGTATGCGAGTTGTGCGTCAGCAGTAAAAATTTCCCTCTTAAAACTGCACCCAAACAATTAATAACACATAGAATCATAAGTGCATAATGAGAAGAATTAGCCGAAGCGATAGGATAAAATTTTCTTTATTTACAAAAGTAAACAACAACAATGGATTTATTCAACAAGATCTTGCAGAGTCTTAACTTACGCTTAAAATAATTCGCTCAACTGTGAAAGGCTGAGTATATTATATACAGTCTATATATACACACACCCACAGATACAGGTGTTTTCTCACAGAAACAATAGTACGTGCTTCGGTACTTTAACAGAAATATAGTACATCGTGAAGAAAAGTAGCAAATCGTTGGAGCCTAATCAGGGCAATCGGTTAGAATGGATTCTGGTTGCAGCAGACATGCACCGATCTCTTGCAGCAGCCACTTGCCAATGTAAATGGTTATATATCTGGTTGATCGTGAGATACTTCTTGATACCGGTTACTATCGGGTTACAACGTTGCTGCAATTCACCTTTGCTTCCAATAAAAAAGTTTTAGCGAGATGAATTGGGTAACGGTTTCAACTATAACGATACCAGTTCTTTGGTAAATTCGCAAAAATAAGTCATCCGACTTGATAACACTTTTATGTACCTCGAAGAAGAATTGTTCCGAGCGAATGACGGATTCGAATTGAATTCCTACAAATCCCCTGTTAAGTAATTCTACATCCTGTAATTATCTAATGGTTCAATGATGACCTTGCTCACGGATAGGTATACCTACTGGTACTTTAACCTCGTAAGGTACAGGCTTCTGTATGGGATATGCTACAGACTTGATCACTTGAACCGGATAAGGTCTGTCGACCGGTACCTTAACAGGATAAGGTACGTGCTTCTCAACAGGATAGGGAACTTCCTTCTCGACAGGATAAGGTGCTGGTACGGGAACCTTGACCTTGACCGGGACCAGTTTTTCAATTCTCACTGGAACCGGCCTCTCCACTCGTACCTTTACTGGAACTGGAACAGGCTTCTCTACTGGATATGGAACAGGCTTAGACACAGGAACGGGATATGGTTTTGCAACTGGTACAGGAACTGGTCTCTCTACTTTTATATGCACCGGATAGTGCACGACCTTCTCAACTGGATAAGGTTGAGGCACATGGACCGTTACCTTCACAGGAACTGGTATCTTTCTCTCGATTGGGAACGGTTCCGAAACTGGAACTTTAACCTCGTAGTGAACCTTTTTCTCCACTGGAAAAGGTTGGGGTACGTAAACCTTGACAGGAACTGGTCTGTCAACTGGTACCTTCACCGGATAAGGTACTTCCTTTATAACGGGTACTGGTTCTGGTATCTTCACTGGAACCTTTACGAAGACCTTCACCGGCACTGGAACCTCCTTCTGCACTGCGTAAGGTTGAGGAACTGGAACCTTAACGGGATAGGGAACTTTCTTTATCACTGGATAGTGAACAGTTTTTTCCACTGGATAAGGAGCAGCGACTTTCTTAATTATCGTTATGATCTTGTGAACGTCTTCGTGCACCTGGTGACCCAGAACGTGACCCTCGGAATTTGAAAAACTTTGATCCACCTCTGTAGCAAAACAATCAACGATTAATTTACCTGATCCAATGTTATTCAAGGCGATAGTATTTACCGTGACTATTGGAATTCGACGAGTAATCATGACTGTCGTAAAACGATCCGTGGTCGTTTCCTTGAAAACTAGCTCTATCTGCATTGTGCTCGCCAGACGCAGCATCCCCATTGTCACTCCTCTTCAGATTTCCTTCCGATACGTAATACCGAAGAATCTGGTATCCAACAGGTGATCTCCGATTTGACGTGTTTTCATATTTCATTCTGGACGTCAATCCTAACGACGTTGCACAAACCGCAAACAATCCAATCAGAATGGCCTGACATGTCTGCAAATGAAAACAAGTAACGTTACTCCTGTGTCTAACCATACAGTCAGTAGATTCTCACACAAGTCCCAACACTCTCGCCAGTCCCATACTTATCAAGTCTTATTCCCGGAAAAACCAAATTTCACAATTATTATAATCGCTCACACGTACCGCGTGTCCCATGATTGAATCGAGCGCGAATAAGACTCCTTCCTTGTTCACCCTGTTTCGATCGTCTCTGAACTAACGCATTCTCACTGCGTGTCTTCACTTTTTATACGAGAATGGAGATCAGGTTCTGCTGCTGCTGCTGCTATTATAGCGTGCATCCAGGGAGCTTTTCTAAGCCGCTTTCGCGCTCCTCGTTCTAGTGCGTTGCCTGCTAAACCAGCAGCTGACCCGTGTACGCCCAGAGACTGAAAGTGAAATCTCTGAACGTGTGTCCCGGAAAACGTATACTGCATATAGAGCATCCTAAGTGAATACCAGAGTCGCTAGAAAAAAAAGCTACCATACGTGGAGTGAGATTCAGTTGTCTATCCCAGTCCATCTTTTACCGGTACCGCTATAGGGCCTGTTCCGTTGTCAATGGCCTTCATCTCGACAACGTATATTAAAGTTCCAACCTTAACCGTAACTTTCGAAAGTAAACGAGCATTGCGTGCCGTGGGTTACTAACGCATAATGGATGCATCTTCCATTCGAGTATCCGACGTCAAAAGCACTTTGCTACTCTATTCAGCAAATTCTCTACTTCGCAAAATACCATCCTCCTCTGGTCCAGGTGATCCAGAATATTTGGCTCTTCTCGTCACGTCCCCAGGAAATGATACTTTTCCTACCTTCTTTCTTCCTTGACAAAAGACGAGACCAATGAATGGCACTTTCTTGGTCACGTGGTGGTCAAGAGCACGGTACATGGCATGGACAGCATCCGTAGTTTTCACAACTGGCACGCGATCTCTCCTGACTGCCGTCGGTTTACTCTCGATTTTAGTTTGTTCTTCTCACGCTAAGCAGTTTACGCTCGATGCCGGTACTAACCTTCTATGCAATTAGTCGAGAAGTATATACATTATTTAGTGACCTAGGATGCTGATCTGGTGCTGTTATTCTTTGGCTATATATATAGTAAGCGCGATATATTTGGAGAAGTGCTGTTTCAGTGTATGATTTGTAAACTGGTGAATTTTGCATTTGGTAATTATACAGGCGACGCTTGTATCTTTTTTTCTTTTCTTTTTTTTTTCTTTCATTCTTCTCATGGTCGGACAAGCCACAGTGTGAGAATATTCAAAGTGGATAATATGCCGGTGAAGTTTCGTGATATTGCCAAACTAATATTACGCCGCGAATGACGTATTATCCTTGGCCGGATAAATATGAAAAAAGGGCGGAAATGCCAATCTCTTTCGCTTCGAAAGAGACTATGGCGCAATTAGGGTTTATTAAGATATCGCCTTTAGACCGAGATAGGATTAACGGGTTTGGGAACCTTCATTAAAATACAATGGTTGGAGCATTGTAGGATTTTGTCACGTAATTCCAAATTTATATCTATCTTACACACTGTTAGTATACACGTCGAAAAGATGTCTTAAGTAAGTCACTTTACAGACGTGCTAAATGCTACAATTATTTTTAAGTGACGAATAAAATTTTAGAAAAAAGAAAAGGAAACTATACCATACAGTATACCGTGTTGCAAATAGAATTCTACGTGTATGCTAGTTAGCCAGCAAATTATAATATGAAAGGCGTATTGGCTCTGCGTTATCGTGAACTAATTAACTAGAAATACGCGCTTGGATGAATTCCTAACTGCTACGAATTTCAAAATAGGGATTAATGAACTTTTCTTGCGTCTCGATCATTCGTTACATTCGATTGAACAAATATGTGTTCCGGTCTCTATATAGTCTATATACAATATAGATACTCCATTGCCGGTATCCTTACTATAATAATAATTGCGCCATCGCTGATTCCGACTGTAGCAAAAGTCTCCCACGGGTTTTCATTTTTTTTTTCATCCCAAGATTAGCGAACGACGCTGTTACGACATTTCGCCATCATACGATTTGTTTACGGCTATCTTGTACTACGCGAGATGTACGTGTTGGAATCCATCATGTCTTCTACGATCGCCACATACTTGCCACACATGTGGCTGCATGGCTAGGCAGAAGAAGTACTCGAGTGAAAAGTAACATGATAGTTCTCGCGGAGACGCAGTGTGTACATATAAAAAGAAAATAGCACGCTATGCCAACAGCCGTATATTATGTTCCTTAAATCATTCGTCATTTTCACTTTTCTCGTACACGCCTCCAGCCCCGTATTAGCATACGTATCTCTTTGTTCTCACAGTATATGCTAAATATGGAAACGCGCCGTGAAGTCGATGCTCGTTGCAGCTGCAATTTCCCAACCTAAGAAATTCGCATAATCTTGAAGCATGCATTAACGCCGCCACTGGTAGTCTAGGCGGATGACAATAGAATACGACACTGGGTATAAGCATACACGTTAAAAGTTGATATTGAATTTTGTTAAATTTCATTGACTTTGTATAGGGAAATTTGCAGATTTCAAGAATAGAATCTTTAATAGTTTATTGAACCTATGAAACTTTTCAGCTTCGAAATTGTCAATTTTAGAATAAATTGAAATATTTATACTAGGCTGCTATGTAACTGATGATGTCGGAGGAAGTCTCCCTTACCAACGGTATTTTGTCGTTGTGGTTCGATTAGAAACCGTAGATGCATTTGGTGGCTCTGAAAGCAGTTCTTTGCTCGTAAGAGTCAGTTACGTCAGCGGAGAACGGATGCGTCACGATGTGGAGTCGTTATAAAATATCCACACGGGCTACAAATCCTGCATATATATCCTGGTGCGTTTACGAGTCGCTGAGAATGTCAAATCGCAAAGTTCCCAGAAGACAGGCCAGACTTGACCTAGAAAGTTATGCAGTACAGATAAGTTGATAAAATACAACTTTTTTTTAGAGTGGAAAAAAGCCCAAGGATTTATTAAGGTTGGGACAATTCACAAAGAAAAATATAAAGTGACAAAAAGCTTTGCTAAAAATTTGAGTACGATTGATTTTAGGATTTTACAATGAGTAACTATTTTACTTCTAGTTGCACTGTCCCAGTAATAACGCCTTGCCTTGTAGCCCTGTAACTTACGTTGAAGGATTGTATGCACTTAGTTAAATTCTCACTGATTACTTTTGTTGTATCTCTCGCGTTCCCCTTTTTCTTTTGCTTCTTTTACTTGCCATTTTCATTTTAGCGTAAATCACCGAACCGTGACGAACGAACGTAGCACCTAGTCGCCTTATGATAAATGTGTCCATACATTATCCAACATTTATGATCCTTGCAAAATCTCTATTGCTCTGAATTTTTAATAATATTTATGCAACACACATAATCCACGTAACACGCGTAAATGCCTGGTTTTCTTTTTCCTTATATCGAATTACGAAATCCGCCATTTACCTCATAAAAATTCACGTTCGTCATCGACTCGACGACATTTATAAATTTCTCTCCAATTTTTATTTTCTCACCAAGTGAAACTCCTCTTTCGATTTCAGGCGAATAGGTAGCACGTATTTTGTAATGATATCTCAAGAACTTCACGGGTTCGCCACCAGAGGCGCTGAGCTGCCAAACAATTGAATGATGTTTCTCATGTAATCGGCCGTGTATCTGGAGTGATAAATTATCTAACATCGTTTAGTATGGGGAATGGCGAACACTGGCGAAGGAGAGATTATTTCCTGGGCCTGAGGCCTTACTGGTCCCATTAGATTGCTCTTCGGTTAAAGAGGAGCGTGAAATAGAGAGAGGGAGGAGAGACGGGACTCTTACTTTCAGGCCCAGCGTCGCGTGCGATAATGGCCGATTGCATAACATTTCTCATCGGACAAGTACGTAAGCTGCTTGTGAGTTAAGTAGCAAAACCATCAGGGAGCTACGATCAAGTAGGTTGACGCTATGAACGTAATACGACATTATCTGGCGCGGTAGACCGGAAGAAATAAGCCAAACCTGACTACAAGTAGCGTGCGTACTCGATTCGCATGGCGACTGTGATATTGAGTAATTTTTACACGTTAAAAAGTCAATTAAAAATATCAGGTGATTTGCGAGGACTGGTTTTATAACTTCTCATGTGAACTCGCTGACCAGTCGACCAGACGATCCTGTCATCTTAATACGCAGAATGGAGAGTGAACGAAATATGGAATTTTGTGGATATAAGAAAATTACGAAATACTTTATTTTTTTAATTCTTTATATTTATTTCTGTATAAAAAATATTACACTATATATATAGGTACAAAAGAGTATCTCAAGCGGAATGGTTTAAGTTTGGTACTGAGCGAAATCGCGCGTGTTCTGTCATTGTAATTCTGTAAGATACAATAATTAAGGTACTCGTAACTTGAGGTCTCAGTGAACTTCGACCAAGACCTCAAGTTCCGACAGAACTTGAGAGATACTTGCGATCCATGATCGTTGAAATAACAATGATTTTCATAATGGATCTCAAGTAAGGTCTTCGGGGTAGGCAAACCAGCTACTACTAAATTAAGGTCTCAATTGTGTCACCATGTAGGTCGTCCATTTTTAATGGTGGTAGTATCCAGATTCTCCAGAATTGTAGGTTCCAACTTGGGAGTACGAATCTTGAGCCGATATCTGAACTCCTTGACCACCGTGTTCCTCGGCGGAGTGAACCGGATACGCTACTGGTACCTTGACCGCGTAAGGTACAGGCCTGTCGACGGCGTAGGGCACAGGCTTCTCGACGTGCACAGGGTAGGGTCTGTCGACGGGTACCTTAACCGCGTAAGGTACGGGCTTTTCCACTGGATAAGGTACAGGTTTCTCAACGGGGTAGGGTTGAGGTACAGCTACCTTTACTGGGACTGCCACGGGCCTGTCAACGTGCACAGGGTAGGGCCTGTCAACAGGTACTTTGACAGCGTAGGGAACGGGCTTTTCTACTGGATAAGGCACGTGCTTCTCGACAGTCACTGGATACGGTTTTGGTACATGAACGGCGTAGGGTCTGTCGACTGGTACCTTCACTGGGTAAGGTACCAATTTTTCAACTGGGTAAGGTTGGGGTACGTGGACGGGTACCTTGACTGGGTAGGGTACTTGCTTCTCAACAGGGTACGGCTGAGGAACGAGTACCTTGACTGGGTAAGGTACCTGCTTCTCAACTGGGTAAGGTTGAGGGACCAGAACTTTGACGGGGTAAGGACGGTCGACGGGAACGTGGACAGGGTAGGGTACCTTCTTCTCAACTGGGTACGGTTGGGGTACGTGGACTGGTACCTTGACGTAGACCTTAACTGGGTAAGGGACCTGTTTCTCAACGGGGTAGGGTTGAGGTACTGGTACCTTAACTGGGTAAGGTACGTGCTTTTCAACTGGATAAGGTATGTGCTTCTCTACTGGAACTGGAACGGCGACATTTTTAACGACGGTGACGGTCTTCACGTGTTCTCCACCGTGTCCTCCGTATCCACTGTATCCTCCGTATCCACCAAGTCCCTCAATGGAACCGCCGTGACCAGAATATCCAGAGTAGCCACTCAAGCCAGAGAGATCGATACCCGAGGAAGCGAAGGAAAGACCACCTCCATGACTTCCGGCACCGATTTCGTAACCCCCGACGTCATAGCCATAACCGTAACCTAGTCCAAAGATGCCACGCTTTTCCTGTTTCTTGGTGGAAGTCGCAGATTTGGCATCGGATGTCTTCTCGACGCTCTTGGCTTCCTTAACGTCCTCAGCCAACGCCGATACGGCCAGGGCCAGTAGTGCCAAGCAAAGCTGAAATCAAAGAAACAATAGTGTAAGATTTAACCAAGTAAAGAGATATTTAAGACTCGTCGAAATATTTCATTCGCAAGGCCCAATTTTTATGAGACGTTTCATAGCGCAAAAAAGAAAATCGAAGATCACACGAATAAACTCCCTAGATCCGATAGTCGATAATGAACTTTTTCGCATTTAATAAAAATACACTGGCTATCCTGCGTTATCGCCTTTATCACGAGCACTCATAATTCCCAGTGGGTTATCTAGTTTCTCTCGTGCATAATATCCATCGTCACGGTAAGCGATGTAAACTTGGCGAAATTGCGTGGACGTACCAGACTCCTCATTTTTGTGTTCACGATGTTCTGGGTGAGTCCAGGAGTGAACTGGATGCTGATTGCCGGCTGTTCCGGGCCTTATATACGCGGCACACTTTCGCCTTCGCACGGGCCCAACCGCCCGGGCCCTACCCCCACGTTCTTTGTTTGTATGGTGGACCGAGCCCGTTGAGGTCCCAGGCGTACGACTCCCTCTTCAGACCGACACCAGGACGCTATGAATCTACCTTGATTTAATTTCTTTTTTTTTTCATGCAATTCCCCTCTAGGAATAGCGCATGTGTCTCTTCCTCCATGAAAGTCGAATAGCTTGAATAACCGATCATAATTTAGAGCGAGAGATCGGCAGAGACCAACCACCTATTACGTAAAGGACGTTGCCGCTCGAGCCACCAGGAGAAGTAGACGCAAACCGAAAGTGCCTTCCGCTGCCCCGCCCTGGACGTTTCACGACCATCCTCAAGCATTTCCTCTTCACCTTCGATTATTTTCATTTTTTTTAAATTCCCTTCTCGTTCTTCCTTGGCGATCGGTGACTTGATACTTTTGAAATCGGATCAGCTTTTTATTCGATCTATTCGAAATTGACTATAAATTATTATTTCGCGGAGTGTTCAGACTCGTTAACTTTCCGAATGACCTTCGGGAGGCGTGGAAGACTTTCCCAATTGAATGTTTCAGCATAGATTAATTAGCCGTATATCGTATAATTATATTAACACGTCATAGCAATTATGAAATTATGTTCTGTTTTATTTTTAGTAACTTCGTTGCTGGGGTACTCCAGTTTCAGTTGTACCGTTCACTCTGTCAGGCAGCTGGACAAAGATTCTCAGATGAGTCGCGTAAGCCGTTGCACAAATGTGATTTCTATCGAAGTCCCGAAGCTGGCCGAGTATTGAGGTAAGTCGAAATTTTATTATTAAACAATTATTAGGGTGAAGTTTCCATATAAAATTGCCACCCCAAGTCCACTCGATTCACACGACGTGGATATCGGTATATCATTGTTTCACGCTACACTGATAAACCCTATCCGGATTGGTCGTGCAGTTCCGCATAGCACCGACAATCCGTGCAACGAGTATACGCCTTGTTGTACACTTCCATTCGCTGGAAGACAGATAGAATGGATTCAGCGATAGATCGCGATCGGGCACAATGGGTAAGAGGATAACGAGGACTGAAGTATCAGTGAGTTGGGTGTAAACCACGTTTTTTTTATATCAGCTATAGAAAGAGCCTTGACGATTCGAATTCTGCGTGTGATGCACTTTGCTGAAACGAATATTGATTGTGACTCGTAATTAACAAGTTTGTAAATTCAGGTTAAAAGGAGAAGGGATGGTCATCGATATAGAACATGTCAGATGATTTTTGGGAGTAGTAGCTCTGCTGTAGAATTTCGACTTCTTAATAAGAACACCGAATAAATTATTCGTCCATCTCCAAAAACTATTAGCAGAATTTGACATTTTGCGCTCATCTGTATTCAAGGGTATCAAGAATATGGAATCGACTGGCCATCTTGTGGTTTTTTTATATTCCCGGTAATAGACATCTTGAATATCTAGACATCTATAAAGACTCTTAATGGTGTGATGTAAATTATGAAATAAACGATAAATACATAATTTCGTTATATCATTATGCATAATACTCGTAGAACAATTTAATGACAAAGTTAAAAAAAGAAGCTTAAGACTTCAAAAAATCCAAGTCATTAGAAAAAAAAAACAAAATGATTAGTAAATAATCGAATATGCTTAAATCGAAATATCCGGCATACAATTTTATTCGAATATCATCAAAATTCTATCATGCTAATGCTAATTCGTCGTCGTATACCTGAAAGTTGATCCCAACCGGATATCAAGCCTTAAGGATACGAGATCAGATTAAACTAATGCATTCCCAGGGAATCAATGGTATCCTTTCGAAATCGTCGATACTCAGTTCAATTATTGATATAATGCAACGTGCACCCACAGTGCAATGGATCCGGCACAATCAAATGATATAGAACTCCCAAGTAGAGTCTCGCAAACTGTTTCCTTTCTTTTACAAGTAACGATCGCAAAGCACCTTCGCGTCGAGCTCCTCCTACATATTAGTCCTTGTCGTCAGCATCGGCGTCGGCGTCGACGTCGTGATTGCACACGATTGCAGTAGATGCACGAATGCACCTTAAGAGGCTAACGGTACTACCAACTGTTGTATAACGTTACCAAGCACATATTCCCACATTACCAAAGACCGTGGCGAACGACTACACAACAAGGCTATGGTTGGCAGCGCGACAAAAAAAATCATCAGGCAAACTTTGCCTACGGGCTGCAGACTTCGTTGCATGTCCGCCATAAATTCTGCCGGATTATCGCTAGAACGTATCGCTACGTACTCAAAGAGAGACTCACGCATTGCTCCATTTAGTTATCCACGAGTTCCCCGAAGGACTCGTTTACGCGATTGTCATTGAATTCGAAATCAATGAGAATAATGACGTGATGTGATACCTAGAAAAATTAATTTTTTAGAATAATTCATACCAGTGACTATCATCGAATCCTTTTTTATTCAGATCCATTGAATTAATTATTCGATAAAATTGCATTTGACTAGATCGATGTCTTTTATGATTGTTAACCCAAGATCCTGGTAGATTCTATCTATACTGGGCAATGCACTAATTTGCCATGACAATCTCCAGCAACCATGACTACAGTCAGTGATCCGAGATCTGATCGATGATCTAGAATCAATTTGTCAATTTTTCTACGGTTCGTGAGTTATTCCAATGTACGAATCCGTTATTGTTACTGGAAATTATTGTATACAAGTGTATAAAGGGCGCATGGAAAAGTGGCCAATTAATGGAAATTTTCTTCCTTAACCTCATAGTCAGCTATGAGAATTGGCAAAGGAATTTTTTGCGATCCCAGGCAGGTATGGTATTGTGAAAAATAAATATTTTTTTGCAATGTTATTTTTTCGATCGATTCTTTTGCCATTATATAGAAGGACCATTTATGTATTCGTGCACGTACTAGACAAATAACGTCCAACGTAATCGCGTTCCAATTTGTAGAGTTGCTTGAGCTTCGATTCTAAACGATTGCGTGTTTATTTTTTTTTACGTTCAATTTAGTACAAGAAATTCTCTCTTTCACTCTCAAGGTCACTCCTGAGCATAATCGCATGAAATATCGTACACTCTCACTCACAGACCATCCCAAGGAATCAAGAGCCTCCGGGCATGACACACTTTAAACTGGATTACTAGACAGCTCTATGGTGGTCTTCCTGTAATGGGAGTAGATACGTAAAGGCGATTTTAAACTCTCGCTGTTCTCGGCTTACCGACATGTAATACCAATAGTGGTTACGATGGACACCCACCTGCATGTCGCATACGTCTTATCCTACATGTCTTTGCTTCCTTCCGCTTGTCGCCTTCGACTACCGTGGTTTATCATTCGCTTCCGTCTTTTGACCTGTGGTAATTTATTTTATTTTTTATTTTTTTAAGTATAGGACCTATACTAATTGAATACTTTGAAATATTATAGGCAGTTTGAGTATAGCTCATAAAATGAATTTATCTTACACCCTGTAATGTGATTAACGAACTCCAGCCAATCAATTATCTACATCCACCGCGAACCGGATAGCCAACAGATATTTTCTCATAGAACTACGCAATGTCTCCAGCATCCCGGGTTGCGACATAGCTTGCAGGAAAGTGCCGATTTCGCCTCCGTACCGGATATTATAAAATTGATAAATTACAGGCGAGACTCGAAACTTCTTGCTCCCGTACAGTGATGCTGGGTTGCTTGTTTATCTCAGGGAGTGTACAAAGATTACGATGGCGATAGGGATGTATTGCGTGTTGAAGATTCTCGTGGTGCGATTAAAATAATATATTAATTTTGCTTGCTAAAATAAATCTTGATTCATCGTTCGTTTAATGATTCATATTTATATTGGTCGTTCGACGAGCAGAGTTATTCAGGCAATTTCGTAGGACAGGTTTTAGCTCTTGAAAAATCATCGGGTTAGCTTGTAATCAGTTTTTAACGGCGACCAATCGGATACTCGTTAAGATTCTCGAAGAAATTATTTCGCAACTTGGCTATATCTATACGCTCGTATACACTGTCAATATATTCCCGAGTTGCAAACTCTCGCCTGTAAGTACCGTCGGGCTGCGAACCATATTCTCAACAGCTGAATCATTAGTAACGCCTACGTATTTGACTTCGCCATAGAGTATACGTCTGATTTTCCATGGAATGCTCTACTAACTAATTAACTACTGTTTTACATAAGTATACGAATTAAATGCAGATTCCATAATGCAATCTTCTTGTTGGCCAACCACCCATTTCGATTACCGACCAGGTTGACACGGTTCCCAACGTTCTCACAATCAGTAACCTGGGTAGCCTTAGGGACCAGTGAGACCTCAAGAATAGATTCTGAGCATTACCTTTCGGAATCAGTGAGGCATCAGTTCTTGATAATGAATCAATGTCCGTTTATTAATTCGCGCTCTATATAATGAAGGTGAATTTACCATCGAGTATGTGAATTCAGATAAATCAATGTTAAGTACCTTATGTGGTATCGTGAATAAAAAAAAGAGTTTGTCACTGGGATATTTTTGAATTTAAAATACAAATATTTTGTATACAACTTTTTTACGTGTAACTATGCAAAAACGTCTGAAAATATTTTTGCACAGATTCCACTAGTCGACTCGCCCTGTCCCAGAAGCAGACAGTAAGAAGGTACCGAGACAAATTATACTCGCGATGTCCATTACATGGTTGAAATTACTGAATTATGCAAGGTATCCACTTTTTCCTGGTTTCAGGTAAAACAGGTAGTGAGATCCATACGATGCCCTATTAACAAACGTACGCGCATAAGTCAGTAGGACAAGAGGAATAATGATGGTCAATGTAAGAAAATAAATTCATGTATATTAAAATTGCCAAATCCACGTGACCATTTCTTAAGGAAACATGAAATCTTGATACGTAATCAAAAAACTGCCTCAACGTGTTATTTGATAGTGATATGTATTATTTTCCTAGCACGCTCTTAAAACATTGCTGTACATTAGATCAGTGGATTTTACAGTGACTCTAGTTACTTTACGTTTTATGCAATAATTTCTTTGGATGATATCATTTTCTTTGTTGAGCAATACGTCTCTTGCATGTTGACTAGGACATCTCAATATGTTCAGAGAGAAAGCATCAGGTTCTCGACTGGGAAACCTATAAATAGCTGTAATCGTAATTAGTCACCAACTAATTATCGAGGGCAATTCTGAACCACCAATAAAAATCTCGGTTAGTACAGTAGCACAGCATCCAATAATTATTTGACGACATGAGCGACTATCTGATAAAAATAAAAATGGTCACTTTGAACAACACGAAAACTGAATTAGTGAAAATGAGATATACGACCTATCAAAATAAACATTTTGGTAGCATTATGGGCAATAGGCAGAGGAACTGTTAAAATACTCTATATGTCATGCCACATGTGACAGAGCGAATGAAAAAGAAAGTTTTACTATTTTGGATTGTAAACGTCGTAAATCCAATTGAATAACAAGAAGAAACATAATTTCTGCATCCATTAATGTCATGGATGGATAATGATACCTATGTGTTAGATATGTATACATGGTTGAAATCTACTGATTTCGAGGAATCATGTGGAATTTTTTTGAATACCCTCATTGGTTATGAGAATATTTATTGTTCTTTATCTTTATAGCAATTCAATGAATATCTTATGACTTGTACACAACGTACACGATTTCGTCGTTCTTTTAGCATTCATAGAAAGGAATTGTCTGTACATATGCATTTATGGATATACGTATACATATGTATTACGGATTACAATTTTTTTACACTCGCAACTCGTGATTCAAACGTCGATTTTATATTTACAGAAAAATAATGGAAAAGGGGTCTTCCAGACCCTGGCAGGAAACCCTTCAGGAGGCAACAGGCGAATCCAGACTCAATGGTGAAGCACTTCGAGAATACTTCAGACCTTTGGAGGATTGGCTGAGGGCAGAAAACTTGCGAACCGGCGAAATTGTTGGCTGGTCTAACGGTGAGTGAGATTTTTCATTAGATTTGGTAATTTCAGCAGAAAGAAATATCGCATTGAGAAATTTCGAAGTGACAGAGATTTCTCTCTAGTCAAGTGAAGAAGAATAAATCGCAAATTATTAGTCGCATGTTTACCCTGCGCCTGTAGATTTTGTCGGGCGTCAAAGAGAGTGAGAGAAGGAGACAGAACAAAATTGCTGAACGAGACTTCGGATTGAAAATAAAATTTTAAACATGGCCGCGACGGATGCTGTTGAATCCAAAGCTATTATGATGCAATTCGAGTTCGACTTGACATTTCAACCGAGTTCCCGTGAACTTTTAAATTCAACTACACCTCGTTAAATGGACAAACGAGAGAGAACGCCGCCATCTTGATTCGCCTACCAACATCAACACTCTTGATGGTCCTATACTCCTATGGTTATGCGTCTAATAAAATTACGCGTTTCTATTACGTAACGTGAAAACAAAATTCCCTTGTGCATAATCGAGCCTCTATCTCACAGTACAAACAATGTGAATTCTTCCCGGCAAAGTAATCTATATAAAAGCATATAGACTCCTCGTCCACCATATAAGGATCTAGTTACAGTACCAGTAATCCTTGTATTCTCTATTTAAAAAAATGACTTCATTTTACTGTCTCAACTATAGGCGCGGTAACGAGTGCTGAAGTTTGAATTGTTTATTTTGTTACGCAATAATCCAGGATTCTGCTGGATCCGAATGAATAAATAAAATCAAAGTATCGCCTTTATCGTGATGCCTGTGAGGCTGTAGGATTATGGGATTCTGTACGAATGGTAAAGCAAATATTGAGGCAGTCAGTCATCGTATTGAACTAAATGTGTATCTAATGTTTATCTCTCCTGTTACTGGTTCAACTAGATATCTTTAATTCTAAACTGTTCAACAGATGCACGTCCCACGCTTCTTCCACTTGTTCTTGCATACCTTTATTCCATAGGAGAATTGCACAGTAAATTAAAAGCATGAGGTTTCGCAGGGCTCTCATTATTGTCTAACCTTATTCCAATTTCATGCACGATTCCCATCAATGAAGGGAACATTATTAAGTACTGCTCTACGTATGAATTAGGGGAGCTTGATGCAAGTCTGGTTAATCGTCTTGTGCAAAACAAAGGAAAGGGAAACATTCCCTGGTATAATGAGTCAGATTCGTTTGAGCCGGTTGCTTTGCTTTTATCCTTGAGCGAGTAATCTGCGTCATGGAGTAGGTCCCAGAGTATATTTTATAGCCGTGTGTAACATGCATCCTATGTAATGCATCTGTCTGTTGCAGATGGCGATTACTGCAAGCGCAGCATAGAGACTGCAGGCCTCCAGGTATACGGTAGCGGATTCTACAACTCCGCCTTCTCAGTCCTCTCCTCGACGACGTACGCAACAACCGCGTCACTCCTAGTTCTGCTTCACCTTCTCCTGTCCCGCTAAAGGATCGTCCAAGAAGCCAAGCTAATCTGAACCGAGGAAGACGATCAGGAGGATTCGATGCGCATGGGAATTGCGGAGAAAAGTTAAAGAAATCAAATCGCCAATGCATTTGGAAAAAAAATTTTTTTTAAGAAAAAATAATCGTTTCCCAGTGAAAGGGTCGATGTGAATTTTCTTCTTAATTGAGTAAGCAATTAGAGTATATATATATGTATATATAAACCTGCTCGAGATGGGAATTGAGTAATTGCAAAGTGGATTCGATTAAATCGAAGATGGAAGTGTGTATATGTCGAGTATGTGTATTTCTGCGTTAATGCTTATATGGGAATCGATGTGAAGCATGTTTTTTTTTACTTATAATTGTAATAGCAGCCAATGGGATCGTTCGGTACGAACGCTATACGTTTAAAGTTGGTCCTTTGGAATTCTTGAATTGCGGAAGTGACAGCGTGTATGTACGTTGACTTCCGGCGGTCCAATTGACCAATTACCCAGGCATCTTTCTTCGACGACAGCTGCTATCCAAGCAGCGCAACGTAGCTCGGATGTGTCCGAAAACTGGTCCTTCCAGTTTTGCGTAATCGGAAGGCTCGAGAAGTCGATCCTTTCCGCGAAATGTCAGGCGAACAATGTGCGCCACGGCTACCCGGAAGCCCAGTTGCTTTCACCCGTTTTATATCTGCAAATCGGTATTCGAATGGAATTTGCAAAAAAAAAAAACGTTTGAGCAGAGCCAGTAGCTATCCAAAGTTCTGACTGCTTCGACAGGTCGTCTATTTATTTAAACAATTGTCATTGAGATCCGTTCATCACGTAATAATTATTTATATAGTAAGTAAAATAATAAGTAAAATTTATAAATAAACACCTGATAGAATAAACTCTGTGAAGTGAAGCGAAGTCCACATTGTTTCTTAACCATCACTCCTCAGGATACACGAACTCGAAGATCACAAGAGTCAGCTACACCCAATACGTTTACGTACAATTGACTGAGGCTAAGTCGACCGTTCATTTATTTAAAGCAAATCGAAAGTTTCATTAGCATAAACAATATTGATTACCAGACCAGGATTTCTTGCTGTTTATGGAAATTCATTGTACACTGGGTACATGGACGTACATGCTGCATGTCCGACTATGAAACGTCAACTTCTTGTCAGTCTTCCCAGAGAATTTCTTAACGTTATATACGTAGGAGAGGCGAGGATCAGCCAGTAGAGAGAAACCGGAAGTAAGTAGTTGCGTCATTGTCGAGTTAGCAACGGCACGAGTAAAGGGGGGGAAAATGGCGGAGGGGTGAAGAGGGGGAACGACAGGGGAGAAGATAGTTGTCGATTCGTACATTTGGCTCACGCATACAGAAGCAAGATTTATGTTTTCGTCAGTCTCCTCTCGTACGTAATACCCAAGAGAGCTAAGAGAGCTAAGAGAGGCAAGAGAGCTAAAACCCATAGCCAAGTCAGTACGTACGTATTGGTCTACGTTTATGCAGTCTACGTTTACGTACGGTGCGTGCTTGGTGGGCAATTGCCGTAACAGTTGGTTCGGTCTGGACTCGTCTCCTTTTCACTCAGCCCTCTTCTCGGGCCTTCTGATTTCTTCGCAGTCAGGTGTGAAAACGAAGTATCACAATTATAGACATATAATCGTACAGATGACACTTTCCACTCACTTGTATAACACCGGTGGCGACAAATTACCTGTTCGATCTTCATTGCGTAAAAACTGCGTAAGCGAAGCCCCACAAGTTCGAATAGAAATTTTTCTCAGGGACGTCGATTCTCGGAGAGATATATTGCGAAAGGGAGGGTTGGTGGGAGAGAGGGGGGAAATGTAGGTATTCCGGTGGACGATGACACGAACTCCTCTCTTTATTAGGGAATTTTCACAAGACTCAGAAAATGACTTGGAGCGTATACCGGGTGTAACTATGGTTGTGAAATCTTTAAGTTTCGATAACAAGGAGTCTGCTGCGCAGTGGAGAAAAAGTTTCTGGGGAATATTTAACGTTCTGGCTCAATGAGATGGGTATTAGATACGGTTAAGTGGCATGACGCGTACTGTGAATGAGCAAAAGAGACTTTATGGCTAGTTCACACGACATCACTTTCGCGCGTTAATTTCGTCCTAACTGGTAGGTACCTGATTTATCTATACGATGTACTTTCTATTTTTTTTAGTATGCAAAAAAGATACGATTAGTGTATCAGATGAATTCGACGTTCAATGTCTGATCGATCGATTGGAATTTTGTGTGGTAGGAAGTCTCTTGGAACACATGTTAAATCTTGAGGCTTTCGTATGTGTTGCTAATACCAATTTGTATCCTTTCTTCTTGGCGCATTTGTTTTGCCCTCTAATTGGTTGGCCGCGAGCCAAGATACGATAATAGAAAGATATCGATCGTGGTTTAGTACCCTCCTATAAATTAGGTCATCCTTTCGATGTGCCATGTTCCGGCATTGTTACACATTGCAAACTAGAACGGCACGCTATGTTCAATTTTCGTTGGCGATTCCAATCTGATGAAGATATATAATAAAATTTTATATTAAGATCGATGCATTCATTATGACGTCTGTTATGGTACATTGAAATTCCGTGATACAAGATGTGTGAATATTTTAAAAAGTTGTCACATTCCTTATCGACAAGGTGCCAAACACACGATTTTTCATTGATATCGTGATCGGAATTTCAGGATGTCCTAACGACGCGTAATTTGATTTCACGCAGAAATGTCAAACGAAACCATTTGCATACTCGCCTTGCTCTTATCCCACCAGGTAATGGTCGAATATCCATGCGAGCGACGTGAATTAATCATGCAGCCAATGACCTTAGAAGGACTTCTCGGTGAAAATAGTTAACGCATTGAATTCTGCATACAACTGAACTGACACTGACATTATTCTCAGTGCAGGTGTCATCAAGGAAGTGGGTGACCATGTCAGTCTGGTACTTGCGTCACAATGCATTACTGCAATTGCATCGCTATTAAACCATAAACCTACATTTCACAGTTGCCGAAATCTAGCCAATTCAACACGTAAGGTACAGAGGCAATTTGCCAGATAATACTGCAACTGCAATTTCACGTAAGCCTCGTGCATGGCGATTGAACGAGAATCACTGCAAGGCTGTTCTCACCAAGGGCTTAAAGGGGTTAAAGGGATAGGTTCAAAGTTCAATGAATACATAACGTGAATGATATTTAAAAAACTTGTCTATCCCGATAAGACTAATCTGATTAGATTATTTTTTGTATTAAAAATATAATCACTCTTTTTCTTTTGGTTATTTAACAATTTTACTCTGACGTTCTAGACGCCTCAAGTGGCGGAAGAACGAGCATTGGCCATTTTCCAACATGATCCACATTTATTCAACCATCCATAACAATGCCGAGCCCTCCAGTTTGTTTGAGCTCAAGAGAACGACCTCGTGCCAGAACTCGAAACTCAAGAGTCGTTTTGCACGCTGCCAACCAAGTTACAACGATTCCGGTAAATTCCCTAGATTCTGGATACTAGAGAAACTCTACAAGTAAAATAGGATTTTCCGTGCGGCATGTTTGCCAGTGAATGCACGAGACATAATTTATGATTCGTTTCGTGAATCCAGACGGAATTGTCAAAGAGTCAGTTTACACGTGTAGTACTTGTATACAGATTTGAATGGACCACTGAACCACTAGAGATTGAACTGCGTAATTTATAGTACGTTGGTTAGATATGTTTTGTCGGCAAATATATAGAGTAATGGAGACTGCCACTTCAAAACAATAAAAATCTTCGTCACAAGCTAATGGCAAATACGACTAAGCACATGAGAACCCCAGGGATTAAATTGCCCTTACAATCATCCCATTACGATGCGACTGGGCTTATGGCGGAGAGACTGGAACCGGCGGAACTACATCCTTCAATACAGTTACTACTCGAGTCATTGTTAGAATCATTATATTTTAGCATCTAATAAACACAGGGTATATTGATCTTTCGAAATCAATGATAATATTAATAGATGGATTGGATCATTCTCAAAATTATTTATGTATACTTTACGTATATTTTACATTATTTAACTATTCGATCCGTGGTACAGTGTATTGACTGTACCTACGAAATGTCACTTGACACTTCTGCTCTTGACGATGTCAAGAGTTTCAAGCGCTTCACGAGTGTAGGAGTTTTACAGGGATCTTATCAGACTCGTCGCATCCGGGCATTAGATAAGAAAGAGAAAAAAAGTCAAAAAGTCATGAGCCCGGCTATCAGGAATATTTCAATGAATAATGCGCTATTGGAAAATGAAATTTTGCAACGTTCTCATCACGCTAAAAGCTTCCGGTGCTTATCCTCGAGTAATCTACCTAATTGGCTACCTTCGTACTGTTGGATGTTTTGCAAAATTGATTTTCTCGAAATGGCAAGCTGGCAATTCGTAAGGGATGCCGTTTTACGTAGTGTGTTATTTCTCGAATGAGTGCATTGCATGCATCTATGTATATGTATGCTACATGTACAAGGGAGTGGAGAGTGCAAGATTCATCGTTTAAGTAACAATGCTGGGGCTGGACCATGTGATGCTTCTACGACTGGAGGCTCAGTGTTTCATGAGTGGCCAACGAGGGTCGGAGTTCATTGTACTACAAGTGCATTCCGAGTAGCAACGCCGCCAATTGTGACGGTGGCATTGAATGTGAAGCAGTCTGTAATATAACAGCCAGAGGACACATAACAGTCGAGTCTGAAATAAAAGTCTGTTCCTACTAAAACCTGTGCAGCCCTTGGTCACGTGCGGATCTCCCGAGTTTTTCCTTGAACGTGATAGAAAAAAGTGTAAAGTGATATGGAACGTGTGGAGTATGGAGATTTTGGAAATACTTGAGGCGAGGATTGGGATTGAAATTTTGATAAGCATTGCGTACGTATCGTAGTAATTATTAAAGAAAATCATTTACAATTAGGAACAATTTTTTTAACTTTCAACAGTCAATTAATATATATATAATCCAGACGTTTTGCGTAACCTGGTATAATATGATTCTGAACCTGTTGAGTAGAGCGAAATTTATTTTTGCATTTTTATGTAAATTTGCTTCTAAAGGTTAACTCAATTTTTATTCATACATACACTGTATATAATAATCTGAAACTGCCTTCCTTTTTTTAATCTGGTTCACCTTTTCGATAAATTATAACTTTGTAGGATTATTATATTTTTATTTCAATCGCCACGTATATTTTATTCTTCCCGAAACGCTGGTTACGCGTGGAATGGCCAGTCAAACGAATAACAAGGTTAACGGAGAAATTGAAAAAGGAGAAGGAAAGAGAAAAACATGAGAATTCTAGTAAAATGTATGTCAAAGTAACCAGCTGCACTGTCCCACCTAATTGAATCCAATCAAAACAAAGGCTACATTACGTCATAATTCCAGCTGTGCGTTACGTCGGTCAAGTCAGGAATAATTTTTCGGTTTTCTCACGAACTAACTCCTACACGACTACCAGGACAATACTGAAACATTATCTAACCTACGGATGCTGTGTTTCGTATCAGAATGCTGAAGTTAAAAAAAGTTAAACTAAGCGCCATATGCTATAGTGGGAATAGTAGATGTCAAGCAGTGTCAGTCAGTGTCTGGATCATTGGATAGTACATCGCTCTAATAAAGTCTTCGTCTAATATATTCACAGAGTGGCTCAAATATATATTTTTATTAATAAATAAATAACGCAATTAATAAAAGTGCATTGACGTAATTCGGTTCCAAGTTCGATTAGTAATTTTTTAATCGTAAACCAGGTAAATTTACTACTAAAGTCATTTAGTTTCTAAGAAAGCAAACTAGCACTCTGCTTCTAATCAAATCGAAACTTCTAATATTGTTTACCTATAAAACTGCATACTCGTTACTTCAATTACCCAACATACCACTATGGTAATTCAATCAGCGATATGGAATTGAATTTTCTCTCCCATAGGTACGTGAATCTCACTCAAACTTTTCTACGATCCATAAATCACGTTTCAAAAAATCTCAACTAGACGCTGCTAGATAAATTCGAAATCTAGTCTAGAATTAAATAATCCAAAAAGTCAAAACGAACGATTCTCGTGAGTGATCGTATCTGTGAATGTTAATTGGGAGGATTTAATAACGCGTGCGAGATCCTTGATAATCTGGGACGTTACGTCAGATCTGCTCGATGGTTTTATTTTACTGTTTTGCAAGCAGACTTGACCATTAGTGAGAGAAATTGAATTGCCTCCCGTGACGATCCAATCAGTTACGTCGTGTACGGTGATAGTGACATTCATGACATAAATTTTTGGGCCGATTTACTTTTTTCAAATTTACATGAATCCTAGATAAAACCAATTAAATCTCTTATTTTTATCGCTCCTATAAAATTTTCATATCCGTAACTATACGCTTCAACCAGCAATAGCGATATGCATGCATACGTGTATCGGACTGGACATATGTTTATTATTTCAAGAATCCCTGTTCCGGCGTCAAATGACCACGTGTAGTCATATTGTAATGAATACTCTTCATTCGTAATTGGATATATGCATTTTAGACACTATCGTTACTGGTATGCATTATTGCTTCCAGGGAACGCTACTCGAGATAATGGCGGCATTGCCTGCTGGTAGAAATCATTTGCTCGTACCAAGTACATCTTAAAACCAGAACCCTAGCGTCTGGCCTCTTTTGGTGGCCACTGTAAAAGAACGGAGTTCGCACACACGGTGAGTACAAGGTGTAATAAAAAAAGAGATACAAAAAATGTCAAGATAAAAAATGGTATACATTTGAAAAATTACCTTTTTTCGTACTACAGGTTTTTCCGATCACGTGTCAACATGCACTTATGGATTCCACAGTTGTTGATCCTAGCTGTTTTACCGTCGCTCCTAGCGCTCACTGGCGACCACGTGTGTCCTCGGGTGGAAAAGTGAGTGTGAACCCCTTTTTACGATCATTTTTTTACATAGGCCTGCTGAAGCAATAACGTACATTTTTTATTTATTCTTTCATTTACTCAAAACAGTCTCGAACGACTGACGCCATTCGTAGCTGAAAAAAAAAAATCATAAGCAAATTGCATTAGCATGGGACAACATAGTGTCACAAGAAATGACTATACTTAAACAATTAAGTGTCCTTAACGTGTATTGCAATTTGCAGTTATACGGTAACAGTACGTGAGATTTACGTCGAACCGGTTATAGTGAAAACGTTTACCTGGTGTTTTGAGATACCACCCAGGTGTCCAAAATCACGTACGGAGATGAGAGAGCGATTTCGCATTAAGGTGAGTACCGGTGAACATGGGTCTTAAGTCTTCATTTATATAATTAACGTATATAGATATGAATTTGTTATCGAGGAAAATCCCATGTGATTTTACGCCGAGAGCACAGTCCTTGCCAATTAAAATATTACCTACAAGCGGATGCACTTACATGGGACTGAGAACTCTCTCCTGCTTATGCGTTACGTATTAGCCATGAACCAAATATCAAATCAAGCAATTACATTGACGCGTATAACGTCAACACCTGGTCTCATCGCTAAGCATGGAATTTCTCACATGACATATGTATACGAGGATTGAAAGTCTTTTCTTTGATGATAGAGAATACGAATCAATACCAGATGAATCAGAGACTGACTGTACTGTAGCAAATATCGATCAATTGGACACGTCACGCTTACCGTTTTGTTATAGTGGAATTACGTAAAAGACCATTTATTTCTTATTAGATCAATCGATCAGGATCAGGTCGGAGCCATTCCGAAATGGTATCTCATGGATGAATGAATCTGCGGCAAGTTCATTATCGAATAAAAAAGATTAAATGGCAAGGACACTCTTGGAAAATTCTGAGGCTAATATATATATATATATATAGGTATATATTATGCCGTTGTAAAAAGAACCGGATATCGATCGTGTAAGAATGTCAATTTTTTTGCGATTCGACGGAATCGACTGTCGAGTTATATAGTGGAAATGTAACATATCGATTAAAATTTATCAGTGACATAATGTCCTTGTATATTAGAATGTCGGGAATTATGGGTACTTGATTAATTTTTAATTTTTTTTATTATTATTAATTTTCGAGAGTAATTAACAGGGAAAGTGGGTGTCTCAATTAGTGCGTCTAATTAGAAAAATAAAATAAACGACATCGGCGTCAGCGAGTTTGGTTAAAGAAAGGAGTGAGTGGAATTCAATGGTAGTTTCTATGTCGTTAAAATAAAAGGAAACGTGACCGATTTATGCGGCAATTACGAATCGTAATCGCAGATCAAGTCCAAGTGATTGTTATGGATGGACTGGGTGTTAATAATGAAGAATGAAAGTCTCGAGAAATTATTATAATTATGCCAATCATCAAAAAGAGTTAATCGATCGAACGATATTGGATATGTATTAAATATATTGTCTATGGTTGCCAGAGAAATAGTTGATTGAATTATCTCGCTACGTAAATAGAAAAACTGGACCCATTTTTGCTAATAAAAATAATACTGTATATCGTAATGAAAAATATACATATATGTATATTCCAAGTCGTTTGGAATTCTCCGATCTACGTGATAAATGTTGTAGAACGAGAATCGTATACTTTCCTTCACTTTCATTCGTTCGTAGAATCAGCCTTTGATTTATCATTATAAAAATTTAATCACGAAACTTTAATCCATGATTTTAAGTGAAAGACAGAGCAAAGATTATTCAACGTATGTGAGTCAATTAAAAAAGTGATGCTGTATGGTACAGATTGGTCCATCTCGTAACAGATTAAAAATAAAAAAGAATCTTTAAATCCGTTACTCTTCGTCCTGCATGATGATTACTAATCAGATGATTCGATTTGAAATGATGAAATCTGAGTGTCTTAACCAATTCAAAGGTTTATGTCAGACGATTCTTGAATACCAATTAGGGTAGGTCCAATCTGTAGCTGGTGAGTCTCTCGATAAATCCAGCTGCAGGTCGGTCGGTAAATTGAAGCGATCGAAATTATGTCGAGAATTGAATAGAGCCTTTGGAATATATTGAATGGACCCTATGGCAATTTGGAGTCTGACCAATGACGAAAGAAAAACATTCAATTCAATGAAATACGTGATTATAACGATTACCAATAAAATTGATGAATCTATTCTGAGTATATGTACAATTATATATAGATATACAATAAAATTATAGAGATAAAAAAAATGTTAAGAATTCAATTTCACTAATCTATTCTATATCGTATGTGGAATTTTCATATATGGCTTTGCTTTGTCTCTAAGTAGTCTAGGCTTATTCGCAATCCAAGGCGCGACGGAACTTTCGAGAAGACGGGGAAACTGCAGTTGCTCGAATGTCGAACGATACGTGACAGTACTTTGGATTACAGTTTTGCAACGAATTCGCAAAAAGTTTTCCTTCCGTTTCCTGTATGATAAGATCACTCTCGATGCGATGCTCGCATTTCAAATAGGAAAGTGGAAAAATCGTGAGGATATTGTCGATTATTGTTACCGATGGATTTCCTAGGGTATTCAATAAAATAGGGGAAGCCGTGTGTACAGAGTTGATTGACGGTAACGAGTCTGCTCCGTTTTGCAGAAATCATTAACTAATCCTATGAGAAACTCTGAGAATCGTTTCTATCTGGTTGCAGGATATACGTTTTTATAGTATATAATAGTATATAGAACAAAATAGAAATTAATGAACAGATCGTTGAATCTGTCGGTGCTGTTACGTAAGATATACCTGGTTGTTTTGAACGCAGTAACTTCGCTTTTATCATGCATTTATTTCGTTTAAGATTACTCGATGGATTACGTAATCGTAACTTAGTTCGGTAATCTGCGAGCGATACGTGAAATTGGAGAAAGGTGTGTCGTTTGATAGATTCAAATTACAAGGCTGATATATTATTTTTTTTTCGATACGCATCGATAGAATAGATATCGAACGAGGTTTAAGATAAAAAATCATGTAGGAAACTTAGTATAAATAATGATGATTAATATTTTTGTTTAAATTCCCAAAAAAATAAAATAAAATTTTTTTATCTGTACCTACTTACGTCGATGAGGGAATTAATTAAAATTTATATAATTTCACAGTATGACTTCAAGCTGAGAAACGTGAGTGAATGTTGTGAAGGATACACAGTTCAAGAAATTCATGGCGATTCCGGTGTGGAGGCAAAGTGTGTTCCACATTGTGAGGACTGCTTAATGGGTGTTTGCATTTCGCCAAATACTTGCCAATGCGAATCGGGTTATCAGGGTGATAACTGTGCTTATGGTAAGTTAAAAAAAATGAATAAAAAATAATAATAACAAAGATGCGTCATTTCAATGATTTAATAGAAGACCTTGTTCCACCTTGAAAAATATTGCATAATGACAGTCATCAAATTTGCATTCAATGGATCATTTCGATCTTCCTAATTTGACATCATAGGAGCTCCTGTAGATTATAACGATAATAGTCATGAATCGTCATTATCGGTCCTTCTTAAATCATCGTAACGAACGTATAAAATTCAATACGTGGGATTAAACGATATCTGTCTGCTTTCTTGTTACCAACCTACGTCATCGCGTATCCTGCATCCTACATCCTATTCTCGAAGTATCCTGATTTCCAAACCTGGCGTAACCTCAATGAATTCGACAAGGTGTGGTCAGTCTCAGTGCCGCCATTGCAACTTTCATCGTTGACTTCCGGACACGTTTTCCTGTTTGCTTGTCATTGCATCTCGACTGCAGTGCACTGCGATGCACTTGGTAAACCGTAGACCTTCTTACGTCGGAGATTGAAAAGTCCTGTAACTCCAAACAACCTTTTAACCTCGCATAATAAAAATTGCCAGATCAACAAAATAATAGAAAATGAAGAATACAAAGATTTCAAATATATATCGATCGACGCTTGATCGACACTTTACAGAATGTCCGCCAGGTTCCTGGGGTAAACAATGCATGCAGCAATGCAGCTGCGGCCCTGACGCTGCATCCTGTCATCCTGTAGATGGGAGCTGTCAATGTCCACCAGGATGGCAGGGACCACTGTTAGTAATATTTTTATACATATATCTATTATATATATATATATCGTTAGATAATACAGTCTATGTTGATTATATGAAAATTTTTATTATCAGATGCAACAAACGGTGTCCAAGTGGTAAATGGGGTGTAAATTGCCAGTCGACGTGTTTCTGCAAAAATGCACAGATCAGCTGTCACCACGAGACTGGAAAATGTTTCAATTTTACTGTGTCCGTCCCTGAGGTACCTCTCGTGCAAAATTGGACAAAGGGAGAACTCTTTCGTGCTTCGCATGTATCCAGTGTTACAGTGGAACCACAAGAAAGTAATGTTTATGAGACTGATAGGGAAAGTACACTGACGGATTATCAGGCCGTTAGCGAAACTTATAGATTCGTTAATCTCACGAGATACACTCGTACGACGGAACACGTGGAAGGTATGTATAGTATACGTTATGTATATAGTAATATATTATTTTTATGAATAAAACTTCGTCTAACGATCATGCTGGGTATAGGAGCAGGATTTTTAAGACAATTTATAACAAATTTAACTTCTTAACGGGTGCCTTAAGATTGATGATTATAATCTTTAAATATGACAGTTGTAAATGATGATAATTACTATATAGAAAATACGGACGTCATCGGTACATCTACCGAACCGATTGGATCGATGATGGAATCCAAAGTCCTACAGATTTCGACACCTGCCTATACCGAGGAAGGCTACCAAAGTGGTGATGATTATTCGATGACAGAAGAAACTACGAAAGTTTCCAGCACGGAGTATATTTCCGGTTACGAGAGAGTCGTTGCTAAAGATTTGGAGGTAAACGGTACCGAGATGAAATCTTCAATGGCTATGGAAGATACGAATGACGTTGATCGTAACGACGCTACGATGTCGCCAAAACCTGATTTCGTGAAAACCATTCAAAAAGGTATTTCGAAAAGGCGGAAAATTCAAATTCGTATATCGTGAATATTTTTTAATGGCTCTCGATGCTACTGACTATTGTACTATTTTGTAGTTGTTTTTTTCTCTTCAGAAGAAGCACAAACTATACCTGTGGACATAACGGTGCTGATTATCGTTGGATCAATCATATCGCTGGGTCTCACGTCGATAGCTGTACTTATGGTATATCATATGCGGTCGAGATTATTCGAGACTGTGCGACTGTCGATCTACAATAACGAGAAAAATGAGAATTCACAGGAGAAGGGAAATACCGTGAAAATTCCGAAGATCGCTGCCAGCACTCTTCCACGTAAGACTCGTTAAGGAAGTATTTTGCAGAAAGTCGTTGATCTTTCGGATAAATTGTATTTTCTTTTTTTCTTCGATTTTCTTTCAATCCTGGCAACTGGTAGCGTCGCTATGGCTATTAAGGAAGTCGTTAAAGTCCCTGAAATATTTTTCTTTATTTTCGCACTCTGATGATATTTTCTATTTTTTCTCTTTTATTCTATTATATTCCTTGCGTTTACGCAACTTTCCTTTCGTTTGATGTTCACTCGATTCCTATTGAGAGTAGCAATGACCTTCGCTACTTACGTGTTTCGAATTACGAATTTCATACGTGACGCTTAAGAATTATTTGCGACGCTGACTTAAGCGATTATCGATGATCGTTAGGTGATTATTATAAATAGAATGTCTTTTTATTGATTATTCATTTTTCTTTTTTTCAGAACCACCAACCTTTGTCAATCCTATATTCACGTCCAGTCCTGAGGGTACGCTTATCACTTTGGATGGTGCTGAATTGAATAAAACTTATGCCAATAGAACAGCAACTATCAGCATCCGACTCTCGGGTAACCTCCGAGGTGAGGATAATCCTCTGTGTAAGGATCCTATGCTCTGTCATTTATGGTCTTACTAACTTCATTTCGTTTTTCAAAGAAATTACGTAAATCGCTCTTTACTCGCTTTTACCACAAAAACAAACTTTTTTCTAATTAAGGTTTTGACAATTTTTTTTAGATCTTCTCGAAAGTCATTACGATCGTCCACCAGCTGCAACTTGTTGTCACGCGGTGGATATGAATGGGGAACATGTCTACGATGAGATACCACTCACTACGCCACTGTGCATTCGCAAAGAAATATAACGTGAATTTCACGTGGAAGGATACAAAGAGAAAGTATAATTGTGATTTAAACAATTTAAAAAAAGAAACTACCAGCGAATTTCGTTTATACCAACTTCAAAGATATTTACCAAAGTGCACTAACTTTAATTATCATATCCAAGACTTTGTTTTTTAAAGTTTACATGTTTGGACTTAATTATACTTAAGAATAGCATTGATCATAGTATATATAGCAATACCTATAAGTATTATTTATACGAAATTAATAATATCGTTATGCCCAGATACCAGGCATTAGGTGATTATACAATTGAAATTTTCAATATGATATTTATGTATAGCGAATCATTCAACTGTCTTACTAGTTAATTGCAAAGTCCATTGAGTATTATTCATAGTACGTCTACATTTTTATGAATAATCGAAAGCAGGACATTGCTGATGTCAATAGGTGACGGATAAAGAGATGAAGACAAAGTCTTATCAGGAATGTTTCATACTTCCTCGACGTTCTTCATTGTTTATCGAGAGTCTACAGAAATACTTATTATCGCAATCATTTCGTATAAAGTTGAATACTTAGATCGCACTAATTAAGTCATTATCACAATTCTACGTAAACCATGCAATTACCAGGCTTAATGTTAAATAAAAGAAATTAAACATATCGTCAAAATAAAAAGATGAAGTAACGCTTGAAAATATTGAATATGGAAAACATACAAACTTCCTATACCGAGAACTCGTGTGCGTGCTATTCTAAAAAAAAAAAATAAACATTTTAATCAACGTTTACAAGTAAAAAGTAATAGGGACTGGGAATTACGTAGTTAGAAACTGATGTTGTGACCTCCGCATATTTATCTGGACGCATCATATCGACTACTATATTAGTCTTCAGTAGCTCTTAGGCTTTCTTACTGCGAACATGCAAGTACTGCTGGTGGTATCTTTAATTTCGGTGACGCTGGGCGTCGGGACGCTCGCCATCGAGGGTGTCAAAGGTGGAGCTCGTGGTCGTCTGATCACAGGTGTGAATTCACCTTTGCCGCCTACCAATCAAACTGGTCTTTGTTACAAAAGAGTGCCGTAAGTATTTTGAAAAAAAAATCTCCATTTTTGTTTATATATATTTTCCACATACGTTAGTGGCGTCACTTTCGATGAGGTTCTCTTTAGCTTGACGTGGGGAGTTACTTGTGAAATTAAACACGTTTAGATTGGCTTCGATCTTCTGTTCCTAAAGCCTGATTATCCGCAGTCTATGCATCGTCTTTTTATAAGGTTCTCACGAAAAATCAATAAAAGTCCAACTTGAAGCTGAATATAATTTATGGAATTATTTTGATTACCGCTGGTCGTTGAAATACATTTGGCATTCGTATCGATGAGCCATGACGTAACGTCCTTGATTGACATAAATGTGAGCCCGCATTAATCATGCTTATGAAGAAACGGAATTTAATTATTGTCTCTCAAACTTGGACACTATTTACTCATCGTATTTTTTATCAATCAACAAAATATTTTTAAAGAGACAGTCAACTTCTTTTTCTTACAGATACACTCAAACGCTTGCGAGAAATGCAACGAATGTAACTAATCCAGATGTGCCTACTGCACCCGTGGGTGTAAAATCGGTAAAAAAAATCATACCTCTTGTGTATCCATGAAATATAGTTAACATGTGCAAAATCCAAAAATGCATTTTCAGAATTCAAATCATGGCTGGGTAGTGGTAGTGGACTGTTGTGACGGTTACCAAAGGAATGAAACGTCAGGTAAATGCAAAGCAGTCTGCGAGAATGGTTGTTTCGGTGGTGTATGCACCGGTCCGAACGAATGCATATGCGATGCCGGATGGCGTCCAGAAGCTGGGATTTGCAAGCCAATCTGTCAACGTCCATGTAAAAAGAATGCATATTGTTTCGCACCTGAAGTTTGCGAATGCAGCTTAGGTTACAATGACGTAGATGGCGAATGTCGACCTGTTTGTCGCGGTGGATGCATCAATGGCGATTGCATAGCGCCAAGATTGTGCAGATGCAAGCCCGGATACACACTGGATTCTCAGAATCAGTGCATCCCTACATGCGAAGGTGGTTGTCCCCATGGGGAATGCACTGCACCTGGTATATGCACTTGCAACCAAGGGTAAGAATCAAATGAAGGGTGAACGTTTTTTATATGTATTAAAACTGCATTTTTTCTCTTGCAGTTATGTAAATCCACCCGGGGAGACAGAAGCCTGTCTGCCAGATTGTCCAGGTGGATGCAACGGCGGCGAATGCATTTCTCCAAATGTATGCAACTGCAAACCAGGATTTACTCGCGATCCTAATGGAAGCTGCAAATCCCAATGCAGCAATGGCTGTGTAAATGGACAATGCGTAGGACCTGAGCAATGCAACTGCAATCCTGGTTTTACAAAGGATCCTGAGACTCAGACTTGCGTAGCTGGCTGCGAGAGAGCTTGCTTAAATGCAGTATGCACTGGACCAAACACTTGCACCTGCAAGAGAGGCTACGTACCCGATCCTAGAGATCCCACTAGAAGCAGGTGCGTCGCTGGTTGCGTTGGAGGTTGTATCAATGGAGTCTGCTCTGGACCAAATTTCTGCATCTGCAACCCCGGTTTTATTAAAGATCGTAGCGTCAAAGGGAGCCAGCGATGCATCCCGCGTACCTGAATCTTATGCAAAGAAAGTCATCCTTTGTAAGCTCTCTATACAATAATGTGAATAAATTTTCATTCTATTATACATTAAATTAAAATTTATATATCGTCGCCTGTTAACCTTATTGGCTTTCTCCTAAAAATCCTTAAATTAACCTTGACGTAAGATATGACTAAATTTCGAGATCACCGATTGACAGATAGTTGTGTTTACTAACCTCAGATTTCTTCCGTTATGAAAATCCTGCATCCTCTCTGAGTGATAAGACGGAATCGAGGAGAGAGGAAGTGCACATAAAATGTATCACAATAGGTTTCACTGGCATTTCGTATCAGTCAAACGTCCAGTTGTCTCTCAGACAAAAGCTTAAAAATGTTATTTAAATCTGCGGTCCTGACAATAGTTATTTTAACTGAATTTACTCACGGCACGATTCCACTTACCACTATGGATGGATCATTAATTTGCCATGAATCATACAGGTATGTACGTTAAAAGAAATCAAATCACCATAGATTCATCATTTACGCAAAATAATTGCATTCCATTATTTCTGCCAATTAAAATCTCCATATACAATATTTCTCGATTTGCAGCGATTTAGAATCTCGATACGTCACGTACAGAGAAAGGTATACAGACAAAATCTACTCATTCTTCCCCACAAGGTGGCGAGTGAATTACAAAATAGTGGTAAGATATATAGCATACTTCTGATTCTAGATTGTAAAAAATATACTGTGATACCACAGTATGTACTTTTTCCTCAATATAGATTTTATGAGGTGCCAACTACACAATTTTAAAACTTACATTGTTCTACCAGTACGATACAGTTTACAAGATCAGGGAAGCATGCTGCGTCGGTTACGAGAAAGTTGGATCAGTCTGCCTGAAAATGTGCGACGCAGGATATCAGCTTGATTCGAACAAAATTCTGTGCCAGCCCATCTGCGATTCTATCTGTCAAAACGGAAGCTGCACGTCACCAAACACCTGCACGTGCAACAACGGCTATGAAAAAAGCGCAACACAGCCCAACGCTTGTATTCCCGTGTGCGACAGACCCTGCGTAAACGCAGATTGCGTAGCACCAGATCAGTGTCAATGTCACACAGGGTATAGTAAGAGCGATGATGACTTTTCCTGTGCGCCGCAGTGCACCGATGGTTGCATTCGAGGTACCTGCACGGCTCCAAATATTTGCACCTGCGATGATGGTTACGTAAGCCTTGAACTTTGGAACAGTATCTGCTTTCCTATCTGCCATGAGACTTGTGTTAATGGAACATGTATTGCACCGGATGTGTGTTTTTGCAAGTTTGGATATTACCAAATTTCATCCACCACATGTGCACCGTTGTGCGATAACGGATGTCCCAATGGAGAGTGCATATATCCGAATGTGTGCAGGTGCAACGATGGGTACGTTGGGGATCCAATATCGAGTGAAATTTGTACACCAATTTGTACGAAGCCTTGTATACACGGTATTTGCACAGCACCGGATACGTGCATGTGCAACGTTGGATTCAAACTCAACCAGACAAAATGGAATGTTTGCGATCCATTTTGTTCGGATTCCTGTGTCAATGGACATTGTGCTGCACCTGAAACTTGTGCATGTGATAATGGATACAGGAAGACTGATATTGGAAATATCTGCGAGCCCGTTTGCGAAAATTGCACTAATGGAAATTGTACGGAGCCAAATGTCTGCACGTCCTTCGAGGGGTACGAGAATGACTCCAATGCAACTTGCGTTCCTAGTTGCAACTGCATCAACGGAACTTGCACCGCACCTGATACCCGGATACAGGAAGACTGATATTGGAAATATCTGCGAGCCCGTTTGCGAAAATTGCACTAATGGAAATTGTACGGAGCCAAATGTCTGCAAGTGCTTCGAGGAGTACGAGAATGACTCCAATGCAACTTGCGTTCCTAGTTGCAACTGCATCAACGGAACTTGCACCGCACCTGATACCTGTCAATGTCATCCTGGTTTTGCCTTTGCTAACGGGAATGCAAGTCTTTGTTTACCAGAATGCAATGCAGGATGCACCAACGGAGAATGCACAGAGCCCGATGTATGCAGCTGCTATGAAGGATTTGTCAAGTTGAATGACAGTTCGGATGGAATTTGTATAGAAGCTTGTCACAATGGCAGCTGCCAACATGGTGACTGTCAATCCGATGGATATTGTCAATGTTATTATGGATGGAGCGACAAGACGTGTGATACACCTACCATGTGTGTGTTAATTCTTGAAGGAGATGCTGGGTAAGAATTTTTGTAGACAATTTTGTTGTATGCCATTTTTTTAAATTTAAGATATAGTTTCAGGCAGGTTAATGAAACGGAACAGAATGATGCAATACTCGAATCTCCATGGAATGGACCAACGTGTGATGACAGCTGTTTGGAAAATATTGACAATGAAACTCTGTGCTACAATGATACGACGCATGCAATTCCACGTGTGGCATGTTTCTTAAGGCCTGGTACGTTCCCATTCTGATTATTATGACAGTTCCAAACTAATAATGTGTGGGTTTCAGATTCTGGCTGCAAATTTTTGACTCTGGGTGTCGTCAGATTATTGCACAATCCCACAATTATAGGTGCTGCTGGCGCAATAACTGTATTAATCTTGGGAGCAACAATGGCTTTAATCATTTTATTTAATCACAGGAGGCGAAAGAGAAATGATTGTATGCTTTCATCCGGTATATGCGAAACAAATGAAAAACACTATTAGTAATTTCTTTACGTTTTCAGATGACATAGCAAACATGACCCGGGACTCATTGAATGTATTAATGAGAGAAGTAAATGACGACGAATTCAACGAGGATACCATAAATTAAATACATGTTTAGTAGTTCCATAAATTATTCACGTAGAAGCATTAAATCCGTTAAAGCAAAGATTCAATTAATATACATATATATCTACAGTCGTAAAACTTCTCAATAAGATAATACTGAAGACAGTATTCAAGTAAAAATTAATATATGTATAACAAACTAAATCTTAAAAATAATATCACGAATACTCCTCCTCTAGATACACCCGTCTAATCAATACCATAGCCATATCTGGACAAGGGTAGGTAAGTAATTTTATGATAAGGGTAGAAGTGTTCCTGAAGTCGAAGAGAGTGTCTATCTACAAAGTATAAGTAGGTTGGTAGATGCACGAAGCTGGTTTATCGAGGTGAGTGTTAGCCACCCTTCAGGTCATCCAGTTAGAATTTGAGCCGCTGGGAGGCGCTGTGGTAGCGAGCGGGCGCATTGAGCAGCGTCTCTGTTAAGGGAAGATGTCGATGCGCCGGTGGTCGGTTTCGGGGGTTGACTCGCGCCGCGGGGGCGATGAGCGCACTTCCCTTCGCCCTGAGACTGACCTGCTGGCTATCCTGCCTCGTCTTCCTGATCAGCCCGACCTGCACCACATCGGACAACCAGCAGGAATCTCTTCGCCAAGGAGATGACGTACGCACCCTCGAGGAAGGTATCAATGACGACATCGAGATCAACACCGATGAGGAGGACGAGGACTACCTCGACGGTAATACAACGGGTAAGCTTCTGTTTTTTAATCAGTTTGGATCACTTTAATTGGTACCAATGATTATCATTAAAAATCCCAATGAAATTCCCAACGCCCATTGGCTAAGTACCTTGGGTATTCATGGGGGTGGAATCCTGAATTCTTGGTGTATTGATGTTACCTTAGGGGCATGCCTCGCGATGGGTGGTTAGTCGGGCTGATCCCAAGAATTTATTTTTTTATTTTTTTATGAACCGTTGCATGCACTTTTCTTTATTTTATAAAATAGTTCATTAGCTCGCCAGGTGTTTTTATCGAGAAGTATCAAACGCAGACTATAGATTCTCGCGTGTATTTTAATAACGGGCTTTATAGTTAAATGACACTTAAATGGAGTGATAATCGATAAGGGTCGTGTTTGAAGTTGACTTGGAAAAAATAAATATGTCAGGAGTGTGTTAATGAATGGGTATTTCTTATAGTTATGAAACTGCCTGACTGCGTTCTCCGTTTTGTAATCTTATCCTGCCAGGATATGACTTTTCTTGCATTAACGTAAACCCGTGCGAATCCAATTTGGATTTCGTAAATGTCAGTGATTTGAGAGCGAGAAAAGTACGGATATTCATGCGGATATATGAAAACCCGTGAAATTGCAGGCATTACAGAAAGGCCGTTTCGTGAAAGGATGAAAATAAGCCATTTAAACGTTATATCTGCTTTCCTGACGGTAAAAGCTCTTTTGCTAGATAATTATTCGCAACGTTAAGCACCCGATAGAGCTTGGTGCACATGCAAGCTGAAGCATGAAATGTTGCCTATATATATTTTCTAGACAATTTTTTGCGCAATCAGCCATAATGAATGACGTATGAATAAATCTCTGAAGTTTCTTGAATCAATACAAAAAAAAAGCGTTAAAAATAATCCAAAACTGGATTAAACAATTTTACAACAACAAAATTTCGTGCTATATAGATCTGTTGATATTTTGAAAATTCTCGTTAAAAAATTCATTTGCATTTCATTAATCAAAACATACGTAATAGGACTGAATAAGGGAGCTTTTTCAGTTTTCTCATTGACGACAATGAACGGACGTAGAAGCACGTATCCATTAAAACGAGCGTGACCAAAGTAAAAAGTCACAGACACTATTCTACTTTCGCGAAAATTCTCGACTGTACCGACGCGTCGCGACGCTGGGCGTATTGATTTTAATGGATGCTGCAAGCTGGGAGACCGCATAGGCCTCAGTACACGAGTCACGTTACAACAATATTTTCTCAAGAAAGCCTAGATTCAGAGTGAAAAGCTCATTAGCCATTCGCCACATCTCATTGTTAATTCCAATGAGTACCACGAAAAAAACTAGAATTGGACAAAGAACCAAAAAAAAAAGAAAATTTAACAAAAATCTAATTCTCAAATAATACCTAAATCTAAAAATAAAAAACGACGTGCCATTGGAAACAATTAAAAGCTTATTAAAACTATTTGGAAAAGCTCCGTGATGAAGTAAAGCTCTTAACTCGGTCACGATTCGCCAATTCTCTATCTTCTAGTGCATTAGTCAAAAGCGCCACTTGTTTCCAGAACACGAGGATCCAGAACGAATGTTCCAGATAGACGTAGCGAGTTCGAACGTACATACACATATACCATATGATAACAGACATTGACGAACAAGAAACAATATGCAAACGCGTACAATGCATTGTTGAGAAAGTTCGGTGTAAAGCACTTTGCCGGCAGCCGCTACGAAAAGAATCTTATTGATCTGGTTGCTATACCATACACTATATTAGACGATATACCACGTAGCAGGATACTAGGTGCTGGTATAGGATAAGATAATCTAACCGATGATGCACGAGGAATTAACGTGTGATGTCTGACGGTATTTGTCTTCTGTATTTTCTGTAAAGGATACATCAGGAGTAATACAAAGAGAGAGTTACATGTATTTTGACTTTATATAGCTTGCGTGATAATACGTGGCAATCGTCGCCGAAGGAAACGTCCTTTTCCTGTTTAGAAAAAAAATATCTCTGGCGCCAGATTACGCGACAATGAAAATTGCAGCGAATGATTAATTCTATTATTGTACTTGACTCATCGTCATTTTTTTGTAATTATCTGGTATCCCGGGATATTTTGTATTGTTGTGTACAGTCCTTAAGCATCGACTATAGTGTGTACTATCGGACTGGATATAGGGTTGGACTGTATCTGGTTACCATGTACCAGAAGACTAATAGGGTAATAGCTAATGGCTAATTACCTTGATACATTCGACTTAACGTAATCGATGTGTCAGCTTGAAATGTGTTGCCTGTTGATCTATATATGGTGTCTATTGAATAAATGATAAAAATATAGTATAGAAGATAGAAGAGACGGGTATGGAGATTTAACTAGGTTTTGAGGAGAGGGAAAAGTTTATAAGAATTTGGCAGGTCGCCCGAGGGTAATTAAAAATGAAGTTGGTGAATTATTAAAGTGCTATTTGGAAATTCGTGCAAGAAAATTGCATTACCTAGTTAACTCTATGAAAAATGATTATTGGAATATGAATTTTGTTCGGATTATAATTTATTTGATTTTTAGAAAAGGGCAAGTATCTGGGATCACCCTGCGATTCGACCCAGACGTGCAATCCAGAATTACAAAACGTGTTCTGCGACGCTATCACTGGTTTGTGCGAATGCAAAAAATTGTATCCCGTACGGCTCGGTCCCACCAAAGGATGCGACAAACGTAATTATTAAATTTTTAATTGACAATTTTAATTTCTCACTGATTCGCCTCAAATTCATTTTAATCTCCTATATTCAGCGAAGAAACTTGGAGAGCAATGCTATTACCGTGCAACTTGCACTTTCGCGGTCCAGCACTCGACTTGCATCCAGGTACAGCACAATGCTATCTGTGCGTGCGAAGAAGGATACCACAGGGTGGCTCTATCGAGGCCTAATAAAAAGGATTTCTGCGCCGAAGGTATACTCAGCCTTCTTATCAGCAGAGATAAGGGGAATGCAAATAAAAAAAAATTACCATATTCAATACTTTGAAATGGTATCATTCTCAACCATATAGATCTGGTGCTGATAACTACAGACGTCCCGACCTTATTCGGTGTAGCAACCGGCTTAGCAGTATTTACGGCACTAATATGTTTCGTACTGAAACTATTTAGTCGAGCAAGATATACAAGACCACGACATTACGCCAATGCTAATCATGCGCCTCCTATGTTATTTTCCAGCGACACAGGTCAGTCATGACAATTTTATATGTTTTCGGAGTCATTCGATATGTAGATAATAATCTATATTTTTTTTAGGTATACCATTAACACTTCACGGTGGAAGGCCATCCTCTCGTACAAGTCAAAGAAGCAATGGGGCACTGACCTGCGCGTTCACCAGGAGACCAAGCAGCGGCGGAAGTAGAGGACCTCTGGTACCAGCCTCGCGAGCAGGTGCGGCACGAGCCGCGGCCATCTTGCTTATTTCGTGCCACCTGCAGGCAACCAAAGGCGGGAACAAGCATCGACGCACCCTTAGCGATGTGGCCGAGGGTTCGTCCGACGGCCTCGGTAGAACATGCTCATATCAATCTTATCGTGCTGTCATGTCATGATGTTGTCACGATGATTTTGACCTGATTGGCGGATACTCTTTGTCCTCCGGAAGGACCCACTCGCTTCCGTTTCCTCATACCGACCATTATCTCCTGCGTTATAAATATAGGGTAACTTGGAATTTTGGTCGTTCTTTGGAAACGGATATTTTTTTATTTTCCTAAATGAAAAAAAAAATACTTATAGATGACGACCCCTTCCCTACTGCGGGACACGGTTATTACGTTACTAATTAACCAGTGGGTCTTTCGTGGTAATATTGATTCGTCAGTCTGATCCCTAACTTTTTTCTTTTCTTTTTTTTTGTAAAGTGTTGTACGGTCACTGTGCTTGCATTGTTTCCTCCTTGCCTTCCTATATTCATCATCTTGAAACGTTACTGAAGTCTGTTTTTCTCACTGAAAGAAACATACGAATGACACGTGATTCATCTGTGTAGCTTTTATATATATTTTTTTGAATTCTTATGTTTGAAATTCTTTATCTGAAAAGATGAAAAGTGTCAGAGTATCCCGTGAGCGAGACATATATATATATACTGATACGAATACTGTATTATTGAAACAAATATGCACGAGTGCGTTACGAGACAGCAAGATGGCAGCGGCCATTATTGTTCTATACTATACATTTCTGGTAAGACGTAGTATTGCGGCTACGCACTAGCTCGCTTTGAAGCATCGATTATCGCATGGGACGTTTTCTTTTTTATATACTTTCGTTTTTACCTTGTTTCGAAACAATAGTACGCTCATGAGCTTCGCATTGAATTCGTGGAACAACGGAAATTTTTAATATTTACAAACACCTTTCGAATTTTACCACAGTAAACCCGAAGTCTTTGAGCTTCCTGTAGTAGTTATCTCTAAACAGTGCATCTACTTTGATATTCTGCATGTACTTTATTTGCACAGTTTAACAGTCCCTCCTGAGCAGTGAAAGAAAATCAATGAAGAACTTCACAATGCATAAGCCAGTTGCACGCTAGAAAAAAACTTCATAGACACGCTTAAGAAATTATTGAACTCATTCATTTAAAATATTCAGTCTCATCAATTATTAAAAAAAAAAAATTTAATTAATTTTACAATCATCAAGAGTAATTTTGAATCGTTATTTCAGTACAGTCAACATACAACGTACTAAAATTTATAAAATTATTTGTAGACTAGAGTGACAAATGAGCTTATACTAATTAACGCACAAGAAACAGTTAATTTTTATATCCCCCGGAACTTGCATTCCATTGTAATATTTTATTGTTAACTTTGACATTTTTATTGATTCAAGTATTTTTCTTTTGGTCAGGTTCCCGTCGTCCTAGCTTAGCGTCGGTTCACAGTTCCACGTCATCGGCAAGAAGCTACAGTGCACGGAGACTGGAACGCGAGAGAAACGAGAAGGAACACAGGCAGCAACTTCAGGAACTGAGACTAGCAAGACAACGAGATCAGCAGCAGACAGCACCGACGCCAAGTCCGAGGACGCCACATTCGACGGATGAGCTCTTGCCGTCCGTCGAGGAGGGAAAAGAGGTATTCTACAACGAGGTACATTGGATTACTGATTAGCCGAACGACTCAAAAAAATCTTGAGATATTGGGATGTCTACCGTCTTCTATTGTATTGTATACCGTCTTCTAAGTAAAATGATCCAAAATTTCAATAAGTGAGAAAATTTTGGAAAAATTTTGCTTGACAGATAGAAAAAGTTTTTGCTTGGCTATTAAAAAAAAAAATACTTCTAGATTTTAGGTAATAGTCAGTAATTCAATTAATTCCCAAATGTCGTTTTACTATGTGTATCGTACGATTTTGCATGTAATAGAACTATTAGTATGGTTGTCATGTTGTTTGACTTTTTTATTTTCCATTTAAATTTTCTATTCGACTGTTGGGCAATTCAAAATTATTATTGTTGCTTTTTGACAAATTTCAGCAAGTGCCAACAACGTCGGGTGTGGCTGGTACCACAACAACAACAGTGAACGAGGTAATGTCCGCCACTCCTACAACGTCGACGTTTAACAGGGAAATGGCACCCTGTACTTCGGGAGATATTTTCCAAGTGTAACTATAATCACAGTACGTGAATTAGTTATGTCTCGTGTATATAACTGATAGACTTTATAGCGCCACACTGTAATTCTCAGAATCGGTGGCGATTCGTCCAATGATAGGGGATTGATTAGAAAGTGATTGAAAATAATTTTTGGAACTGTCTTATAATTTTCGAAAAAGAAAAATAGTACTGTATAATATATTCTTTTTTGTACAATTCAAAGTTATCCATTTTTTGTTGTCACTCGCCCAAAATACTACGTGACTTATAAATTTAATAGACGTTTTAAAAATGCTTCGTTTCAGTTTAACGAATCCCTTCGGAATTACCGTGTGGCACGAGAATGATAACGGTAGGGATGGGTTCAAGGTCTGGTGGAAAATTTGCCTTTGTACGAGATAAAACTGTTGTAAGAACGCGTGCTATTAACAATAAGCTAATTCGTATTATTGGAATAACAATGAATGAAGATGGTAGTATTGAGTAATAATCTATAATGCGGGTTGAGCTAATGAGGAAGATATATTAAATGATATCAAGTAAGTAATATTATGCAAATGTAATATTAACACGCTGTACCGTAGGTACTTTTCAACACGTGTATTTAATTACTGATTATCGTTTGCTTTTATCGACCAACTTTATTCAGGCACGGTTTTCAATTAGACTAACTTTCTCAACCTGATTTTCAGAGACGTTAATACACGTAGGTTGGTAACCTTATATAAATTCGAAAAATTGAGAATGAAGTTTTTTTTTTAAAACTACTACTTTTTACCAGGGCTGCCAACTCAATCATTTTTTTTAATTAGCACATAGGTATCCTAAGTCACGTATGGATCCTGTATTTCTGCACACGGGTGATTCAAAAGTAAGGCGAGTTTTTTTTAAACAGTTTTTTCTTTGCTCTATATACAGGGTGAGGCGTTTATAGTGACCCAGGCAATTTTCTCCCAAACGAAGCGAGATACAAAAAAATGTTCGATACATTAGTTTCATGGCTTCGAGGGGGACACAAGATGGCGTCTTTCAATTTTTTCCTAAATAAAAGTATCAAGGTCATTTGAGGGTGAACTTTGGTTTTTTAAATGAGATGGTGTATTTTTTGTTATGGAAATCAAAAGAGCATCCAGGTCTCAAAGTACTGATATGCTATGGTGTCAAAACTAAAGGATCATGGGATATTAATTGAAATAGAAAAAAAAATCGGTTTACTTTTTAATGGCGTATACGCTCCGGGAGTTTTTTCGATGAAATTTCACAACAAATGTTCGAAATGTTGGCCATTTACTTCGATGCATTTTTGATAACGTTGAATGTAAGAACGTTGCACTGCCAATAGAGTGTCATCCTCGATATTGGCAGAGGCATCAATGATGCGCTGGCGGATGTTGTCGCATGTCGTCGGTACTTTCTTGTAAACTTTTTCTTTTATGTATCCCCACAAAAAAAATCTGGAGACGTCAGGTCCGGAGAACGGGCAGGCCAATGAACAGGTCCTCGACGTCCTATCCAGCGATCGGCATAATCTCGATCCAATATTTCACGAGCTTGAAGCGAAAAGTGAGCTGGACATCCATCATGTTGATACCACATATTGCATCGTTCCAGAAGTGGTATGTCTTCGAGCAATGTTGGAAGCACTCGATCCAAAAAGTCCTTGTACCTCTGTCCGGTGAGTGTATCTTCAAGAAAGTACGGGCCAACTATGCGGTTTCGGTAAACACCACATCAAACATTTAGAGTCCACGGCCGTTGATGTTCCACTTGCCGCAACCACCTCGGATTTTCCGTAGCCCAGTAATGCATATTGTGGCGGTTAACTTGGTTAAATTTAACTTTAACTTGTTAAATTTCATCGAAAGAACCCCCCGCAACGTATGCGCCATTAAAAAGTAAACTGATTTTTTTTTCTATTTCAATTAATATCCCATGATCCTTTAGTTTTGAGACCATAGCATATCAGTACTTTGAGACCTGGATGCTCTTTTGATTTCCATAACAAAAAATACACCATCTCATTTAAAAAACCAAAGTTCACCCTCAAATGACCTTGATACTTTTATTTAGGAAAAAATTGAAAGACGCCATCTTGTGTCCCCCTCGAAGCCATGAAACTAATGTATCGAACATTTTTTTGTATCACTATAAACGCCTCACCCTGTATATATTTTTTTTGTATTTTTCTTTATTCATTTTGTATTTATTATTACTGATGGCTGACGGTATTGTTAATGCATTTTTGAGGATATCTGCGGAAACGATACTTGGATGTTATTGGTACTTGTAGACGGCAGTGATTTTGAGAATTTTCGTAATCCAAGCTGTGGTTCTATGTTTAGAACGCACTCATGCGAATTGTCCAATTTTTATGGAGACTCGATATTTTTGAGCTTACAATGACTTTACTCGTTTCATTAGTGTACTGTGATTTCATAAGGGATCCTTGAAGTGGATGCTGCGTCAAAGTGGGTTTGAGATACTCAGATAAAATGTGTAACGTGTGAAGGAAGTGGATGAGTGATTTAGTATTTTGAATTTATACTTTCAAAATATAATCTTGTCTTGGGGTCATGCACTTTTCTGCTTGATAGCTTTTATAATAGTATTTTCATCATTTTTACGTGGTTGGACGTCCTGAATGTTCTTGTTACCTTCGTTGCAGTATTGCGAATATGCTTCTCCCACTTTCCTATACTGCAAGGGTTGATTGAGGATGAAAAATAATTTTTGAAAAATTACTTAACTCCGACGTACTTAATACGTCTTTTAGCAAGTAATTGACCGTATATTTTTTTTTCGAAATAGTCATATGAATTAATTTCGATTTCTATTGAAACGTATCGATACGTTATAAAACAAAGCTAATCGAAAGCTATCGATTTCGTCTTTTTGAATGTTTTTTATGATAACGTCATATATTCATATAGCACCTACGTCTGATAATAAATCTAGAAGAAAGATTGTGTCTGTTCTTTAACCCAAGGAAGATAAAACTGTTCGAGACGTTCAACTTAACGACTAAATGTAACGAGTTTCTTAGGGTGATAAAAGTGATTATAAACTAAATACAAGAGATTAAAAAAAGGAAATAAAAACTAACCGCGTAATAACGATTTACTAGCGAGTCATGTATAATATTGTTCGAGTAATTTATGCTGCCTTTCGTGAGATTGAGAAAACCAAGAAATACAAGAAAATATTGAAATAATATATATATATATGAAATAAACAAAGAAACCGTACGATCGTCTTCTGGCTAAGTTGGTTTGATGTACACGTGTTCCGCAACGATTACCACTATTAATTCAATCATATCAGTTCAAACCACCATGTCGTGTAACCTGTATATTTTTTTTCGGGTAACCGACGCAAAACGTATGATTTTGAGAATGGATGTACAATGTTATCGTTTTATTCCCTTTTAAATATTTATTGTATAATAAATTGTAATATAGTCGTTGGGCAAAATAAAGCTCGTTTTTCTAGATATCGTTTTTACTTTATTCTAATTCCTATACCCTCACCTCCGCCTTAGCCCCACCCACGGAAACTGATCCTCTTCAAATCGTTATTACACAAATATTTTGTCAAAAAAATTATATCCCATTGAATCATATCTTATGGGGATTACAGACCAGAACTAGCGACCTACTGATAACGCCAGCACATACTACAGCGAAATTCAGAGAATCATTTTAATTTATTACTGCACGTTATTATAATCAAATTAGCGAATAAGTTAAAGAACTCCCTCCGCATGTGTATAAGAAAAAAGTAGAGAAATTGTTTTGTTGAGAAGTTATAGGAAATTTTGAAAATACAACTAAAATCATGGGCCAGTGCTGGATCATATAATAAGCAGATACGTAGTAAGATATGTACCTGGCATTAATAATATAATTTCAATACTCTCGTACTTGGCATAGTTTTTCACACATTTTTTTTGGGGTACTGGTAGGTCTTTAATATACACGAATATACTTTATTACATATTAATGAATTTCCGTCCCATTTAATTGCTTGCTGCAATTAGCCTAATGAAAGTAACTAAAATTTTCATACGTCTTATAAAAAATTACGTATTACCATGACAGATAGCAAAAACTGAGCTTCCACGAAATTTGTTTAATTTCACAGTATCTGTGCAAACTTCAGATAAAGCACAAGCCCTGCTCTATCCCAAAAGTCATTAATTGCACAAGCTCTTCGACAATCATGGAAGAAGATATCAGTGCCACAGTGAAAAATCCAAAATCGGTTGAAAATGTTTTGCGACCAATGTCATACGTCACTTGGTTAATGGGAGTTGGAATAGCCCGTCCAGGCGATTGGTTGATATCAACAATCATAATACGTTTGATACACCTCGGTCTGTGCACGGCAGTGATGGTATACGGGGTGTTGGATTTTTTTATAATTTTCAAAATCTTTCGAAACAACATGTACCGCATAATGTACTTTACTAACAAGAGTGTTTTATTCCTTACGTCCTATTATTACGTATTCATCGGTCTTCAACATTACAAAACGTGGCCAAAGTTGATGAACAAGTTGATAGCACTCGATAGAAAATTCAGTCGTGATATACCGATAAACAATCAGGCTGTACGGATTAAACAATACGTCGCGTTATTAGTCATCATCATTATTGGTCCAGTTGGTCTTATCGCTCATGTGGTATATTACATATTGACGTCGCCGGACAATCTTTTGCCATCCGATGGACTTTTATATTACAGTTACGCTCAATCGCTCGCTATGACTTTTGGCTTCAATATATTAGTCTTCGTTGTTTATCAAAGATTGAAATTGGTTAATTCGTTAATTAAACAAATGACGGACGTTTACACGGCTTCGTGGATAGTGCTGAAGTTACAGAGATTAAGGGTATTGCATCATGGTGAGTATATAGGGAGGGTAGTTTGCATCGATATATGTATATATATTATTATTGTTATTGTTATAGGTGTTTGTGATCTCGTCACTTTGATAAACAACACTCATGGCATCCATTTGATATTTGCATCCGTCAATTGCTTTTTAATGGTCGTTACCACCCTTTTCAGAATTTACATTGGATTGGTTGATAACAATAATAGTTTCATAATGATCAACAATGTTATATGGTTAATGTACGTGGCGCAATTTGCCTTTATCTGCACAATGTGCACGTTAGCTACACGAGAATCCCAAAAAACTGGAAGTTTGATTCATAAGATGGTACTGAATCATAAGCCTGTGCTTAAGAAACGACTTTACAGTTATAACGGTGGTAACAGACAGTCGGTTCAGACTTTGTCGGATTTAAGTAATTATGAGAGGGTATGTGTGGAAAATGAGGTGATGCATTTCTCAGCGCAATTGCAACAACATCAGATTGCTATGAGTGCTTGTGAATTCTTTGATATGAACAACGGAATGCTTCAGGCTGTAAGTGTTAATTTAAAGGCGAAATTAAATATATATATAATTGAGATATTGTATTTATTTTCAGTTTATTGGTGGAGTTACGACGTATCTTATAATATTAATACAGATGTACGACGCTAATAAAACTATGACAGGGAATAAAGTGGTTAGTACAATTGAAAACGTTACAGAGTATGAAATGTCAACTGAACTGTGATAAAAACAAATTCATGTAATCCTGATTGTATGAAAGAAGTTTAAAAAATGTTATGAGACAAAAATACCATTATCTGTATACAGCGGAAACCTTTTAGGCGATAAATCATTGTTTTTAACCGACGGACTATCCTGTTGGCTTTGGTTTCGTCTTGCGTTGATTAACGCTTTGTTATCGTAACGCGAGAGAACAGTTCAGCTAAAAATAATTGGTTGGTAAGCTGATATATAATTAAATAAAGAGATTGAAATTAAAAAACAGAAATCATATTTTATTAAACAGACTCACACGCAGACGAGTACTGATAAGAGATATACATATATATATAATGTGTAACTCAAGTTGGTTATATGCTTTTTTAAGGAAAAATGACTGGAAAATTGACAATCACAAAGCGAATTACGTATACGATTATTGGATATAGATAAAAATTAGAAATAGTTAACTTTGAATCCATTTTGGTTAATCGACCTCTTCGATTGTAGGTCCACCAGCTCCTCCTGCTCCTGGGGTAGCACCACCAGCTGCTGCTCCTGGAGGGAATCCAGGACCTCCAGGCATACCACCGCCACTACTCTGGTACAATTTGGTAATAATTGGACTGCAGATAGATTCCAATTCCTTTTGTTTATCTACGAACTCCTCCTTCTCAGCTAGTTGATTGGCATCCAGCCATTTGACGGTCTCGGAACATTTATCCAATATAGTTTGCTTGTCAGATGAGCTGATCTTGTCCTTGAGTTTTTCATCTTCAACGGTGCTCTTCATATTGAAGCAGTAGGATTCCAAAGAATTCTTTGCAGCAATGGCCTCGCGCTGTTGCTCATCTTCATTTTTGTATCTTTCAGCTTCGTTGACCATTCGTTCTATATCTTCTTTGGATAAACGTCCCTTGTCGTTAGTGATGGTAATCTTGTTCTCCTTACCCGTGGACTTTTCAACAGCCGTCACGTTTAGGATGCCATTAGCATCGATGTCGAAAGTTACTTCTATCTGTGGTACACCACGCGGAGCTGGTGGTATGCCAGTAAGTTCGAATTTACCGAGTAAATTATTGTCTTTGGTCAAGGCTCGTTCTCCTTCGTAAACTTGAATAAGTACTCCAGGTTGATTATCTGAATACGTTGTGAACGTTTGGGTCTGTTTAGTTGGGATGGTAGTGTTCCTTTTGATCAATGTCGTCATGACACCTCCAGCAGTCTCGATACCCAGAGACAATGGGGTCACGTCCAGAAGAAGGAGATCCTGAACTTGCTCGGATTTATCGCCATGAAGTATAGCCGCCTGGACAGCAGCGCCGTAGGCTACAGCCTCATCTGGATTGATGGATTTGTTTAACTCCTTTCCGTTGAAGAAGTCCTGCAGGAGTTTTTGAATTTTTGGAATTCTTGTGGATCCGCCAACCAGGACGATGCTGTGAACTTGAGACTTGTCCATCTTGGCATCGCGTAAAGCTTTCTCTACAGGTTCGAGTGTGCTTCTGAAGAGATCGGCACAAAGTTCCTCGAACCTTGCACGAGTTATCGACGTATAGAAATCGATACCCTCGTACAAAGAATCAATTTCGATACTGGCTTGAGTCGAAGAGGACAGGGTCCTCTTAGCTCTCTCGCAAGCTGTTCTCAGTCTTCTAACGGCTCTCTTGTTGTCGGACATGTCTTTCTTGTATTTCCTCTTAAATTCTTGGATGAAATGATTGACCATCCTGTTGTCAAAGTCCTCTCCGCCCAGGTGAGTATCTCCAGCGGTAGATTTCACCTCGAAAATTCCATCCTCGATTGTCAAGATGGACACGTCAAAGGTGCCGCCGCCAAGATCGAAGATCAGGACGTTCTTTTCGCCGGCAGCCTTCTTGTCCAAACCGTAAGCAATGGCTGCTGCTGTAGGTTCGTTTATTATTCTCAGGACGTTCAGTCCTGCAATCGCACCAGCATCTTTGGTAGCTTGACGCTGAGAATCATTGAAGTAGGCAGGAACGGTGATGACGGCGTTTGTGACTGTCTTTCCCAGGTAACCTTCAGCAGTTTCCTTCATCTTTATTAGGACCATAGAAGAGACTTCTTCAGGGTAGAAGGTCTTAACCTCACCCTTGTACGTTACTTGAATTTTCGGTTTTCCACCTTCATTGATGACGGTAAATGGCCAATGCTTCATATCAGCCTGAACGGTTAGATCGTCAAAGCGACGTCCAATAAGACGCTTGGCATCTATAGGACAGTAATTTAACAAAGGATTCGTTAGCAAGATCGTAGATCATCGAGAAGTCATTATAAATGCTTTTTAGTCTTATTGGGTACTTACCAAAGATCGTATTGCTGGGATTCATAGCCACTTGATTTTTCGCCGCATCGCCGATCAATCTTTCCGTATCCGTAAATGCAACGTAGCTGGGGGTCGTTCGATTCCCTTGATCATTGGCAATGATCTCAACTTTACCATGTTGGAAGACACCAACGCAAGAATAGGTGGTGCCCAGATCAATACCAACGGCAGGTGCTTTTGACATTTTGTCGTTTCTGAAAATTATACAATTTAACAATTAGCACTCCAGAAAAGTTCATTAAAAATAATCCCTATCGTTTCTTCATCTACAAAAAATAGTGGCTTTAAATAAAAATGTCAGGTTGTATCTTCATAGCTCTGCGTCAATTCGTCTTAACATTGTATTTACGCATTTACGTGGTGCGCACTGCGACGCACCTACCTACGTCGCAACTACGTGTCACAGATATTAAGAAAAAAAAAGTAAAACTTAATTCAAACTTTCTCGCAATGCTAATCAGTATAATACACTGTCACCCCGATTACGTATTTCGAGTATAAACCATCCCGAGGAACGTGATCAAAATGACGTAAGTCTAAATAAATTTGTATATACATAACAATTCTAGTGTATTCGACCAATTCATACTGAACATATACTTCACACCAATTTTCATCTATTAACACAACACGGAACATATGACACCTTGCACTCACCTTCGTTCGTATTTAACTTATCCAGAAACTTCTTAACTTCCACTCGTTTGTTTAAGCGTTCGAATTGCGCCGGTTGACGTCTCGTGTAGATCTGCCGGCTCCACCTTCGCGTCTGCTTTTATTAGTCTAAATCTCCCGCTTCGAGAATCTTCTACAGACTACCAATGAACGCGAAAATTCTACCAAATCTTGAACCTGATTGGCTGATTACCAATAGTGCCAGCAGTCGTATTGCTCGACACGCAATAAAAGTTGGTGGGAGTGGCGGAGGTCTCACTGGAATTGCATCGCAGACGTTTCGGCAACGTTTCGGCGCTATTTATAGTCGACCCTTCGCGAATCGGCTGTCTCTTTTAAAAGGATATACATATACACGTATGTCCATATGCACTACATGTATGCCTCATCCGATGCAAGTTTCTGATACCTGAAATTCGATCATCGGATCTCATCCGTCATTTCAAAAAGGTTTGTCAAATTTTCCAGGTCCATCTAAGTCATTTGATAAAAATTTGTCAAGTGCGTATTTGTTTATCACAATGTTGCCGGTAAGCTGTCTTTTGAAAAAATGGCATTGACATTGTGAGTCAGATATTCTTTTTAGTAATTTCAATATTCACAATAAGTGCTACATGAGTAATGAATACTGGAGTAATATGCAAGTTTCGAAGATATGTATGTATGTATGTATGTGCCGGGTAACTACTAGCAGCTTCTCCATTTATCAGCAGGAGTAACAGAACTTTCGGGAACAAATTTTTGGTTCGAATTAAGTTTGAAGAATTGTTTTTATCTTTCTACAGGACGATTTGTATAATTTAAAACTAGGCTTCACGCCAAGACCCGTAATAAAGTTGCGTGCTATTTCGAGTGAATAGGAGTTTTCGAGCTGCTAAATACATAGCGTAAGTACTTGCCTGGGCAAAAAGTTGTTCTCTTTATACATCAGCAGAGATCAGGATTTCAGTACGATAATTGATTGCATTGAAGGTAGCTAATATGAGATATTGTATGATCATGATAAAGTTCGTTTTATTATCGAATATTTATGAAAGGAGATAACGTATTTGTTACAACGTTTATAGCTGGAGGAAATGGTGAGGATAATAAAAAACTGAGAGATTGGGTGACTACATACATATATGTAGTGTGAAACAAGGACACTGGGTGTATTTAAGCAAATTGAGGTTTATTACTTAAAAAATACTAACTATACTTTCACATAGTGGTTCACAACTATCAGATTTCTTGTACTTTACAAACTTTTTTGTGCTTATATGTTTTGCTAAGTAAAAGATTGCTTTACATAATGATGAATGGGATGATATTCTGGTAGAATTGTTACAAACGAAGATGAAATTGTGGCTGAAGATTTAGTCTTTTTTTTCTTGTGTGCCATCAGGATCTTTATGCAGCTGAAAAGTATGACTGATATACCATTCCCATAGCAGTCGTAGAGAACCATGTAAAGCAACTCCACCATGTTGCGAACCCCAGTAGACCCCTGAACACATCTGTAGTAAAAATCTGTGAAATGAATATCAAATGTATGAATATTTCGAGCAGAGCAATACATATTTCGTCAAGTATAAATTATTTTATTTTCATTAGTCTTATCCAGAAATAAATCTTACTTGTTTGAGAGAATCAAGGGCAAGGTGAAATTCTTGAGCTGTTTGAATGACTGTTTTTTCATTACTATCAGGAGTCATTGTTGGTAAAATTTTTGGTGGTTTGTCTGCTGGACATTCCTCAATTAATATATCTTTGTATAGACCTTCCCATGTGTATCCACCTGTGAATTTTTGAGTAATTATTCTGAAAGAAGACTACATAGATGTTATATATTTTTACCTAATGTTTTATACATGAGGGTGAAGAACAGACATATTATTATTGGTGCTATAAACTGTAATGTAACGACACACAGATAATAGAATACTGCAGCAATCTGAAAAAATATATAAAGTTAGAGTATACAAGTATTATTTGATCTTTCGTATTATCTACCTTTTTTTGCAATTCTATATTTGTAATTCGACCAGCTTCTTTCTTTTGGTTCTCCAATCTTTGAGTAGCTAGATTTAAATAGGATTGTAGGTATAAAGGCATTAATGCCAACTTTAGTAAAACAGCTATTACGACTGCTACGAGTCTCATACTTTCAAATGCTGCTACCGTCATACTGGAAACAGATTGGCACAGTTTCCTTGGAACTTCATTATCATTTAAGGGAAATAGTAATTTCTTACAGTGGTCCAGTCATTCCAGTGAATATTCTAGCAGTCAAGTAGTCTCTACTTATAGGTTTTATCCATAAAATGACTAATAGAAGTGGAGAAGCGTATGAGATATTCAGCAATAATAACAATAGCTTATTGTCTTTATAGTATCTATAAGAAAAGTTATATGAGTATATCAATAAATTATCAAACATTCAGATAAAAGTTATAAGGTTTATTATTGTACTTTAAAGTGTCCCAGTGCATTTTAGACATTCTTAAACCCGGGAATGTAAAGAGAGACCCAAGTAGTCCGCACCACACAGCAAGGAAGAACTTCAGTACTATCTTAGATGCAGGACCCCTAAAAATACAATTTATGGAATATGGATCATAGAGCAATGCAATGCGATGCAAAAGTAAAATGAATCCTTACGTTGAAGATAGACCTTGATTGTCTAAAAAGAGAGAAGCACTATGATTGAAGCTTGTATAGGCTTTTTCTAAACCTATTTCAAGAGTATTTTCATCAATTATTAAAATCATCATAGCAACAAGAAGGTACGCGAACCCTGAAACAATGCACGTGGATCTCTCGCCTACACTTTCTTCTCCTTTGAAATATTGTACCCAGAGGGTAAGCAACATTTTACTATAATCAATTTAAGGAAAACTTTCAAGGCTGTTGAATATAAGCATATTTTATGCATGTATTAATTACTGCAAGAAATAAAAGGATACAGTGCAAATCCCAAAACTAGGGCACACCAGAGTATGCTAAGGTTGATTTCATCTTTGATAGGATATAAATGATTGTATACCTAATGGATAAAAAGTAGATTTAATAACTTCACATTCTTTATCTTCAATTACTATTATATATACTTACTTCTGTGAGAATATAAACCAGCCCAGCGTAAACAGAAAAGTCTAGCAACCATTGATATTCAGTATAAAATTTTAAATGTACTACGTCAAGTGGCATGACTTTGGCACTCTCTAGGGTAATATTAAGATTTCTGGGAACATGAAAAGTATCCCCTATCTTTCCATTTTCCATGTGTTTACCCTTTTTTGGTTTTTCTCTTGGTACACCAGCTAATGATCTGAGCTCTTGGTCTGTTGGATACAGATAACGAATCAGTCTGAAAATATACATTAAGAACTTGGAAGAATACTGGGCAAGATCATGTTTTTATTAAAAAAATTATACTTGTGGTTAATTGCAGAAAAAAGCACTCCGAATGAGTTAAATAACTTTGGAAGATAGGAAGGTTATCAGGATAATATAATAATAACTCAATATAGCAAGGTATAGTGTTTTAATGCAATATTTTAGCATACAAAAAAAATGGTTTTTGTTCAATAAAAAGGCGGATAATTGACAACAAACTTCTTTAATATCAGCATACATACCCAGTTGAACATAGAATCCATTGTGCAAATGAATAATGAGAACCCAATTTCTGAATGACACTGACCATAATCAGTGTGATGACCAATTGTGCACCCAAGAGGGCCTGAAAGGAAACATCTTTTTATTTTATATATCAATAAGATAAGTTCAAAGTTAATAATTTCAGTATTTTACTTAACCTATACACTGTAGAAGGCATGTGTTAAGGTTGATTAAAAATACTTACCATACTAATCTCTAATTATATTAAATTACTGCAGCGAAGAGAAGCATAGATGTAAGACTAAAAATAAAAAGGGGTCATTGATCAAAAATAATTAACACTTTGGTGCACGCAAATAATCGTTCAGTTAGTCCCTCTTCGGCGCAGGTCTCACGACTTTAAATTACACATACGTATACTAGGTCCCAGAATTTATAAATAGTCGGAATTTTCAGGTCAAAGGGTTCCTTATTACAAATAGAATTTAAAAAAGCAGTATCCATGCCAATTACGCAAAATTTATGTGAATAAGTATATTCAGAATATTTTTAGTCCAATACTATGAGCTTGATCGGAAATAATCAATACTCTTACGTGAAAAATAGTTAAATATAAAATTTTAGAAAGGTAATATCTTCGACTCAATTTTAAATTACCATTTATACCTATGTTTTCTATAAAATTATAAATAATAACCTAGTCGTAATATAGAAACAAAGTAAAATAATTTTCTACATTTGCCTATTGGTTCTTGTCCACGCTGGGATTCCAGAACCTTATCATACATGAAACATATTATCACTGCTTGTTCCAGTATTTATATAGTCAGAGATGAGCAGGGAGATACACAACGCTCCGGTTTCAGGCGATACCAAAATCATGCCGCTAAATCGTAGCGGCAAGTCTGGAAGTAGGATTCTGTGATCATCGCCTCCGTCGACAATGCAAATCCCGTCGTAGTCGAGCTAAACGTGAACACGAACGCGTAGCTTGGCGGGCAGAGGTTCTCCGCTACTCACCGTTGGTTCCCAGAGCAACTCTTAGAACAAGACCGGGAACTATAGAACTTCTAAAGAATTATTGAAAAAGCTTATTGTTGAAATATTTTTAAGACATTTTGAAGAAAGTGCCAACTTGACACCCGTGTAGCACCTCAATTTTTACTAAATATTATTGGATCTTGATTTACTTTCAAAATTTATTCAAAATATAAAATTGAAGCTAAATAAAAATCTCGCAGAATATACGGAGCAGATAAAATTTGAATTGAAATTGTAGAATATCGAAAATAAATTACATTCAAATTGAACTATTAATAAATTAAGTGTTTGTAACATTAAAATAATTAATTAAATCAATAAAGTAAAATATTAACCAAAATTGTGAAGTTGCCCAAAATTGTGTGCGCGCAAATTCGTCGCGGCAGGACTCGTCGAGTGGAGATGGCGAAGAGTGGGGGGAGCGCTCGAGGCAGTGCCCGCACTCCGAGCGCTCATTCTTCCTGGAGCCGGTCTCCTATACTGGTCTCTTGGAACCACCCCCCATATCCATTTGCAACCTTCTTCCATTATTATAGTTATTTCTTCTTTACTTCCTTATTTCTTTATCTTTCATTCTTTACTTTCTTATTTATCTCTTTCCTCATTTCTTCTCCACTTTTATAACTCTATTCTTTACTTTTCTACTTCCCACTTCTTTATTTCTATCTTCATTTCTTTCTTCTCGTTTCGCTTTGTTCCTTCTTACTTTCAATTGTATTTGTCTTACTTTCCCTATTCCTTTAGTCGGGTCGTGCATATTAATTCAAGTAGTCATATAAGAGTAGTCACCCTGTTAGTGCAGCTAGACTTAAGACCATGGTGTCGGGGGTTGCCCTTCCGCCTCATCCGCTGAGCTTGCTCAGTGGTTGGTGGCCCAAGTTGTGGCCGCAACAGGACCTTATGGGTAACCCGACGGGGGCCTTGAGCCCCCTTAGGGTATCTAC